AGAAGTAGCTTTACACCTTAAAAAGAGCTACTCTTTTTTCTAGAGAAGCTACATGTATGTTTAGCGTAACTAAGGTCTATAAGTTTACTATTAAACTATAAAGTTTTTTTTTTAAAACTATTTAAGTTTTAAAGCTATAACACCTATTTTTTTTTCTTTAAGTTGTTCTACATGTTATTTATTATAAGTAAGTGCTTTTTTAATATAATCTTTAAAGCTTTTTAGCTTTTTTATGTAAGTAAAGTTATTTTTAATTATATTTAAGAGCCTATTATAGAACATTTGTTTTATTACTTTTTAATTTGTTTATCTATAGATAGCTAATTATTCCTAGAAGCAGGCTGCATAGTATTAGACAGAGCCCTTGCTTTATTATAGAGAGTTTATTTTATTAATAGCTAATTTCTCTTAGTTAACTAGCTTATAAATTATAGTTAGGGCTACTTTAAAAAAATTAATATTTCTAAAAATCTTCTATGTTTTTAGTAGTAGAGCTTTCTTATTTGTTTAATAGTTTATCTAGTTGTTAGCGTGTAGTTAGAACTATATAGCAGGTAACTCTTCTAAGTGTAGGCCTATTTATAAAATTATTTTTTTATTAGTTTTAAAAGCGCCTTTATTATATTACATGTTAAAGTAGCACTTTATAAAGAAAGGTTTTAAGTCTCTAGCTAAGCTATTAAATGCTTTAGGTAAGGTAAAGTGTAAAGTTTTTTTAAATTTAGTACTGTTTTTTTTTAGGCTATATTTTAAAAGTTAGCTACTTCTAGCTAAAGGGCCTATAGTTAGAGGACATTTAGAGGTTCTTATTATACTTATTACTAGAGGAGTTGCTTAAGGTGCTTTAGCTTGTTATATAGGTATAATATTTATTAGTTCTATGCTTCTTTAGTAGTATTAGATAACGCATTCCTCTATGCATCTGTCTAATAGCTAAAGCTATTTCTTATCTGTTCTGTTACGTGACTTGTTTAGAACGGGGTTAAGGATTTTCCATCCTTGATTGTTCAAGCTGTGGGGCACTGCCAATTGGTTGCTTACGGTCCAATCGTGGGTCGTAACACTAGGCTTATAAAAAAGTTCTGTGCGCTTACAGTAACTAAATAAGGATAAAAAAACCTAATCTATAAATATTATAAATCTCTAATGTTTAGACATCTAGGGATTAGCACTCTCTAGAAGAAGCTAAAGGCAGCTATACTTTAACTAATACCTAAGATAAAGCAACTGTGCATAGAAGTACTTAAGGAATGTAATGCATGCAATAAGAACAACCCCTGTAGGTATAAAACATATAGATACTTTTAATCTATTAAGGCCCTAAAGCAGCTATAGATAATAATTACTATAGACTTTATAATAGAACTTCCCCTGTTAAAGGAACCTAGTATAGAAAGGATGTGTAACATAATAATAGTAGCTTTTAATAAAACTATAAAGTTTCTATATATATAGCTATTAGAAAAAACTATTACAGCTAAGAAATTTATATATAAACTTAAATAAAATATAGTTTTAGTATATAGATGCCCCTAGATTATTATCTTAGATAGAGATAAGCTATTTACTAGCAAATTCTAGAAAGTAGCTATAAGACACTTTAGAATAACACACAAACTATCTATAGCTTATTACCTACAAATAGACAGTTAGACTAAGCAGATAAATGCTAAAGTAGAAAGATACCTAAGATAATATGTATCTTATAGCTAAGATAACTAGGCAGAATAGCTCTCTATAGCACAACTCGCTATTAACACAGTAGAATCTGCTATAATAAAAGAAACCCTGTACAAAGCTAATTTTAGCTATTACCTCTACTTTACGCTCCACAGAATTTAGCCTACAGATCTACTAGAATTAATTAACTAGCTATTAAACCTATAGAACATACATTAGAAATTAGCGTTTAAAGCTAAATCTAGCTAGGAAATAATAGAACAATATGCAAATTAAACATAACAACCTAGACTAGAAATCTACCCTAGAGATCACGTATACCTCTTGTAGAAAGAAGAATAGGACCCTACAAAGTCCTTTAAACCTAATAGGATAACTGCAAGCTAAAGCTCCCCTTACACATAAGGATACACTTATAGTTCTATGTTTCTAAGCTAGAAAAAGCACCTAAGGAAACCCTCTTATTAACATAAGAATAGAAGGAGACAGAAATAGAGTATAAGGTAAAATACATTGTTAGTAACTAAAGAAATAAAAAAGAATTTTTAGTAAAATAAATAAAATAGCGTACTAGTAAGAACACCTAGGAACTAGCTAAGAACTTGCAGAATGCGCAGCAGTTAGTACAGAAGTACCTCTAGACTCTTTTAAAAGAAACTAGCTAGGTAATAAGGCACTTATTTTAAAAAGAATAGCTACATTATTATTGCATAGTAGCAGCCTTTAGAGACAAGTACTTACAGAAAAAGGTTAGAGAAGCAACTAGCCTTTTACTGCTACCTTAAAAGCTGCTATTTTATCTAAGAAGAAGAGGTTTCTTTTTAAATACCTTGCGCAATAAACCTCTAGCAGATCTAGTTAGGTTTTAGATATAATTTTATCTAAAACACTTCTTTTCTAACACCTCTTTTATCTTTGCTACCTTCTTAAAAAGCTTTTCTACTAGGTGTAAATGTTTATCTGTAAGCTTCTACTTATAAACCCTTGCTACTTTAGTAGACTAAAGAAGCTCCTTTCTTTCTTTCTCTAAATAATTCTATGCAGCGTTAGAAATAAAGGTGTTACACTAGTTATTCTTTGTTATACACTCTACGCACTTATCTAAGGACAAGGTTAATATATAAAATAACTTTAATAACTAGTAAGTGTTATAGGGCCTTATTTTTATTTAGTAAAAAGAATTAAAATAAAGAGCAGTGTAACAGAAATAAAATAAACACTTCTAGTAAGCTATTTAGTATAAAAAAGATAGATGTTATAAACGCTTTCTAGTAAGTAAGCACCTACTTTATAAATAAACTTTTACTAACGCAGTTATGTAAGCAGAGCAGTAAAGACGCTACTAAGGAGGGGAGGCAGCGTGTTATAGTCTATAGTTAGACTAATATAACTCTACCTAAAGTACTCTATAATCTAGCTAGGTTAGGGCAGAGCTTGTTTATAGACTAATTAGAAGACATAGAGGCAGCGCAGCTGCCTAAGATTACAGAAGAATGCATTATCTAGTAAGAAAGAAGGCTAAGAGAATAAAATAAGTCTAAGTAAGTTAGACAAGCTTACTGTATAGTAAGCTTACCTAAACTTAAATAACTTGTTCTTAGCACTATTAGACATGTATATAGTTCTAACCTTAAATAACTCTTAAAAAGTGTGTTTAATGTTTAGTTTATTCTGTATATAAACTAAGTAGCGTTTAGCTTTCTAAAAAGCTGCAATACTATTTATATATCTTGCAACATATACCTTTAATTCTGTCTAACAGGACTGTTTAACCTGGCCACTATACTGCTGCTATAGGGACAAACCACAATCTAGTCACCCTACCCTACTCTGTTAGCCCACTAGCCATTACGTAGGACTGTACACCCTACCGTCGGCCCCTAGCCTCCGTCCTGTCACCAGGAACGACATTGACCCGAGTGCTTCCCGAAGCAAGGATTGTAACAGCTAGTCTATGCTAACATAGCCTAGATTACACTTAGTGCGTAAATAATTAGCTATATTAGCTATAGCTGCTAGCTAAAAGGAAAATTCTTACATATATAGCTTAAGTATATGCTTAATAATTACCTACTTTTTATTATTACTTAGCTTTTATAAGTTAGCTATAAAATTAGCTTTTAAAAGTTATCTAGTGTGTTAGTTATTTATTATTTTTAAAAAAACTTTATACATAGCTATAGTATATTACTTTAAAGGTGTTACATCTTATTTAAATGTAACGGCGCAGGCAAGACAATGGGTCCGAATGCGGTGGGAGTCCACTCAGAGGCATATGGGAGTGCGTGGGGACTCTGAACCTGGGAATGCCATTGACACCTATAGGCCTTGTACGAAAGGATATCAGAAAACTACTGAGCTAGCTACAGGGCGAGGTGCGACTAAATACATGAGGGAATAGGGGTAACAGCAGGGGGCAGGGCAGAGTCGGGGCCAGGTCGAGCCAGGGTCGGAGCCGATACGGGGACCCTTCGGATGGGTTCCGGGCGACCCAAGATGGAACGAGAATCGTTACAATTTAAAAGCCTAAAGTATAAGCTATATTTAATGTTCTTTTAGCGCGTCTAAGTAGTGTTATTAGAAATGCATTAGTGTAAAAAGAGTAGTTTAGTAGTGTAAGGCTAGATGTCCTAGAACAGTCTAGTATAGCCTCTTCTAACCTGTTTAGAGGTCACATGACCTGTGCTTTGTATATAAGCATGAATCCTAACAAGCGAGGCTTAGCAGCGATTCGTCTCTCTTACAATACACTCCTATTTTTCTCTAAAACCTTGCTCTTAGTGCTATCTATGCTACCTACTATCCTATCTTTACAAGTAGGGTCTTAGTAAAAGTAAGTAACTTAGGTGTGTAAGCAACTTGCCTGTAAGTATGTTACCTACTCTTTATTATTACCTAGCTTTGATAAGCTAGCTATAGAATTAGCTTATAAAAGTTATCTAGTGTGTTAGTTATTTATTATTTTTTAAAAAACTTTATACATAGCTGCAGCATGTTACTTTAAAAGTATTATATTTTATTTAAAAGCCTAGAGTGTAAGCTGTATTTAATGTTCTTTTAGTATGTCTAAGTAGTGTTATTAGGAATGCATTAGTGTAAGAAGAGTAGTTTAGTAGGGTCTTAGTAAAAGTAAGTAACTTAGGTGTGTAAGCAACTTGCTTGTAAAGTATGTTATGCTATTTATTATTATTACTATTTTAATAAACGTGCTGCTAATATTAAATATTTGCACTATAAATATTAGCAATTACTAATATTTAATTAGCTATATTTTTGCTTCTTAAAAACCACGCTGTCTGTTAGTTCTGTATTACTACGTGATGCTGATTGCACTACTGACTGTGGGCGGATTTGGAGTCTCACAGCAAAGTGGGGCCAGGGTGTTTTGGGTAATCGCAGTAGCTGAAATGGCACGCCAGGTTATCGTGGTGGGTAGCGAGGTCAGGCAGGAGCGTTAGATAGATTTTAGCATATTCAAGGAGCAGCATGTGCTAGGTAGCAGAGAGAAAAGACCACGCTTCGAAGTCGTTTGCCGCTAACGACGCGCCCGGATAACACCAAGAAACAGGCCCGCTTAAAATGCACCGCCAGGCCGGAGCCTCGCTAATCAGACAAAGAAGGTAAAAGCATTCCGTTCCACTCTTATCCAATCATACCACAACTTCTTAGTCCAGTAATAACACAAGGCGCCTCCTGAAATTTTCTTGGTCCACCCACGTGACCGTGAGCTTGAAATCAAGCTCGGACCGCATCTCTTCCAGAGGGTCTAGTCGCCCGTGTAATTTTTGGTGCGCAAATGACTCCTATTTCTCCAAGACCTTGCTATCAGTGCTATCCGTGCTACTTACTGTCCCATCCTTACACTAGCTTAATAGTTCTTTGTCCGTTTGAATGGTTTCATTCATAGGTGTACTCTCTTCATCCTCGATCAGCTACAGGTTTCCTTCTCCTTGCTAACATGGAACCTCATCGTTCGAGGTGACCACACAACCCAGCATCCAACTAGTATGGTCTTCTGTAGGGATAATTCTATCGGCTGAAAATGACTGGCAGCCATACAACCCACTATGACCTACCTCCCCTCCCATATCCACGTCCACCACTGCCTCCCCTCCAATTACTACGGCCTCCTCTCCAGCCACCACCTCTGCCTCCACGGCCCTGAGGTGGTATCCGCCCAGGAAAGAAACTCGCCACATATCCACTATCTGCAAGCTGCCAGTCCACGGTGGTTGGGTTAACCTCAAGAATTTCCTTAGACATCTCTACACCCGGCTCTTTTCTCTTCCTTATCACATACGCCTGAATCTGTGGGAAATGCATGACGGAATACCCCTGCTCCACGCTCTCTATGATCGTCTTTCTTAAGTACGCTGTAAACACCTCCTTAGTTGGCATCTGCTTGATCCCCATCATTTTTAAGAAAGCCGGAAACCCATTGATGTCTCGAATACGCCGGATTTCACCGGCCATCCACGCAGACGTTCCAGGTGGAGGTGCTCCATGCGTATCGAACAGTGCGTCACATAGCTGGTCGAGCGACTTGCCTGGATTACGGGCTGTGGAGCTGAAGAGCTTGAGGAACATCAGCAGACGGTAGGATGTCTTTGATGCTTCAAAAGTCTTGGCAAGGCGATATTCAGAAATGGCAGACGGCTCGAGGTACGCAAGTTCTGGCATGTTCGCGCCCTTAACGTCAAGCATCCATACGACATTACGCAGGACAGCCTCCTTGATGATTGTGAACGTCAATTCTTCGGTTAAGCCAGCGTCGGAGACCAGGGCAGCCACAAGCATATGTCCAAGATCCGGGAAGACTGTCTTGTTGCGCGGGCCAGTTAGAAAATTCGCCACTGTTGCATTTGCGCCATTGACGATAGCGGGGTCCTCAGTGGCACTGCAAAGAAGGAGGTGGAAAAGCGCGAAGTACGCTTCCACAGCTTTCTCCGACGCATGAGTGAGCGTGCTCCGCGCATCCGAGCCTTCCGCATCGTTGGAAAACTGGACTACGATGTTGTTCATGAAGTGGTACAGCACGTCCACTTTGCTTGACTGCTCCATGTGTGCAGCCTTCCGCAATGAACCTATGGAATGCATTGCATCGAGTCTGACTAGATTCCAGTGACGCCGGGACAACGGAAGCGGAAGCCAAGAGTTGAACGGCATGCCTAGGATCGATTTACGCACTTTGAGCATCGTGAAAGCCTCGTTGGAGAGGAGGTCAAACTCAGTCTGGAAGACTGGTCGGCGCCCTCTGCTCTTGATGGAGACGCCGATGCCGAGCTTGGTGTCCATAAAGCTCTTCTTGAGACAAAAGCACACCAGCTCTCGGGTGCGGATGAAGTCGTAGGAATTAAGCAGTGCCGTAAGGGAAGGTATTGCATCGGCAAAAGAGAAGATGTCCGCCGTGCCCAGTTGATCCAAAATCAGAAGGACGACCTCATCGGAGAGTTTGAACAATCCACATTTTTGGTTTACGTCTTGGGGGAGGTTTCCATCCTCTTTATCCATGGCTGTAACGTCCTGCATCGGGCCAGGCAGCTCCTGATGCATAGCCCGATTGCCAAATATGCAAACATTGCACGTGTAAGGACGTGGGTGCTGTGGTATAGCGCGGTATCCGTAGCCATTACGTCGATAGGTTGCGAGCTCGATATGGCCACCATACTCTTGCTCAATTCGCTCGCTGGAGAAGAAGCTCAGTAGCTGGATGGCTATTCCCTTGAGAGTGTATGCGGAAGTCCACCCCTCCTCAGTATTAAGCATAGACGCGCAAATATAGCTACCGAAGATGTTGGGATGTTCGATCTGGCTCTGGATAGATATTGTCGGCGGAAGGAGAGGATATCTCTCCGGGAATTGAATTGTCAGGTGCAGCGGGTCGCCGCCATTCGGGGTTAGGATTAAGCAGGCTTTGGTGACATCCTTCTCGTCCAGGTACAGGGAGATGTTGGGGTATGGATCCCTTTGCAGCTCAGTGACATCCTTGAGGAGTCGCTGGCGAAGGACGACGGATTCCGCCATGGTTGCTGCTGAGCGAGATGTCCCACGCAAAGGTGAATGTAGACCCCCTGTTCGAGGAGTTAGTATCTCTACCAAACCCGCGACACTCATTGAAACTAGGTGAGAACGCAGTGTTATATATCTCTCTGCAGACTCTAGGCACCAGGTGTCTAACCAAAAGTGCCTGGTGGAAGGGCGATGCAGGTGACGAGGCTGTGGAGGAAGCCGTGCCAAGACCTGCCGTTTGCCGCCCTTTTAGCCACACAAGGGCGCGAGGCTGCGCTTTGACTGCCACCTTCGCTTTCTCACTTTCGTGCAATGAGGAATAAAGTTTATGCTGTGGCGATATATCCGCTCTTCTGTACTGATTTCGGTAATAATGTGCAACATGATATTACAGAACGGGGAACATAACTAGGGTATAGTCTGCTAATATTATTAGAATACCACTAGGATAAAAATTCCTACGTTGAACAGTCTTTCTCACGTTCTATGTATAACAAGATGTACTAGATGCGATATTATCCTAATTAGAGTACGGTATTCTGTTAATTCTAGACATTAATTGCAATGGAAAATTAACTGTTCTCTTCAGCTAATAAAGAGTAACTCGAGGTGTTTTTTCTAGAATATTAGGGCACAGGAAAGACACAAGCTATGCGTAGGGAAGCATATTAGGGCTTATATCCCTGTACGCTATCTAGCCATGCCTGTGCACAGATTATGCATTGCACTACTGCCCGAAGATATGTTATGACATATTAGGTTACATAGTTAGGGTAGAGTGTATCAGTGAAACCTCTCTACGGGAAATAGAACTGTGCCTTGCATTATCAGTCATATTTGTTTGGCGACACGAAGTAAATGGAAAGTTAATCCAAATTAACAGAAACTAAAATATATGGATATAAAGCAGGCAAAATGATCTATAACTCTACGAAAATATATGCGACACATACTAGGTCTCAAACGCCGATTTCCACCGCTTCAATCCTCCCATCACACCTCTGGCCAAACACCCACCTCGCCTTCCCCACACTCTCATGCCTTAAACTCCTCCCTCTATCTACAGCCCCTACCCAGCGCCCTCTCAGTACCTCATCCAATCCCTGCAACACTTCCCTCTCGCTCCATACCAGACCCTCTACATCCTGACTCTTTTCGAACATGTTGTCTTTAATCCACGCCTCGGTGCATCGTAAGCTTTCATCTTCGCCGCGATACCAGACCTGTATGCACTGCTGACGGGACAGATTTCCGGGGTTGTACGTTTCGCGGAGGAGGATGTTGGAGCGGGGATGAAGCGTTTTGGAGGCGGCAAAAGGCCTAATGGGTTCCCAGACGCGGCGGGAGGTGTTTTTATATAAGCCACAGAGCGCCCCATCTGGAGAAGCGAAGAATATCATGTTGGAAGCGTTCTTGTCATGCAAGAGGTATGCCGAGATCGCTGAGCTCGGATTTGCGGTTCCTGGGTCCGCGATTTCGGAAACTTGCCATCGAGCGCTGTTGCCGTTATTGCTTTCGTCATCACTGCCATGTTCCCGGTACTCCGCAAGCTTCACAGCACCATCGGGTGCAATGAAAGCAAGTCCGGCATGTACTTCTAGAACCCCAAAACAAACCCAGCACATGCCCCCCCCTGCCGCAATGTCGACGCTACCATCTGGCGCAACAGACTCCGGTTGCGTCCATACCGGGGTCCGCGAAAGTCTATATATACATTGTAACCCGCCCTTCGCCGTAATCCAGCAAAGATATCTGCGTCCCGCGACCGTATCCGTTAGGACAGCTCCACCCTTTTCCATCGAGGCAATGCCCTCTTTATTCCACTCCCTATCAAACTTAAACTTCTCAAAATGCTTTCCCCCATCTTTACTAATCTCACACTCCAACTTCCCCTTCGGCCCAACCCAAAATAACTCCATCCACTTCTCTTTCCCATTGCCTTGATATGCTGTGGCTGCAATATTAGAACCTCCTCGAATCGCGTTCCCAGAATGACGAAGGTACTTGACTTTCCAGTTCTCGTGTTTGAATGTTATCGCCTTACTTGTGATCTTGGATTTGTGCTTTCGGTATGTCTGGACTATGTTCCCGTTATCCGCTGTAAAGAAGATCCGCGTGTAGAGGTCGCTCTGGTATTGACAGACTATCGTAGCGAAGTTACCTATAGGGCTGACGATATCTGCCCCAGGAAGCGCCTGGGCTGGAGGAGTGGCTGACCAGGTCTCCGGGATATGGAAGGAAGAAAAGGAAAGTTGGCCATGGGTGTGAGGTGTTGTTGGAAATATACGGATAAGAATATCCGTTCCTTTGACATTCATCATGACATCTTTTCTGAAGACCGCCTGGCCTTCGTTAAAGGATACGGTCGCATTCTCAATATCGAACCCAGAGGAATTGAATATGGCGACTTTCATTTTTTCCCACGCAATGCCACTGGCCTCAGTCCTCACCCATGATACTAGAAGCGAGCCATCTGCTCTAAGAAGTGCGTGGAAAGGGAAAGCTGATTCACCCATAGGAACATGGATAGGGAATTCGAGGCTGGGCTTGCTTCGCACATGTTCGCCATTGTCATTAACGACAATGGCGCATACAGATACCGACTTTGGTCGGGGCTCGTGTAGGTCAATTACAAACTTCACATTAAGTTTGTCATTCTCCGCAGGGTGACTCTTGAACGTATGTACGCCTTGGTCAAACGTATTTTTGTGAAGACCCGTGACGACGAAGTAATGAATAGATTCGTGGTCTAGCTGAGGAGGATCTACGAGGAGTGATAGATGCAGACGGCGTTCTTCAAGAGACAAGAAAGAGGAATCCTGGATGATTGGCGCGTCGATAGGAACTGCAAGAGCCTCCGGCTTGATTGGATATGGGAGATATATGATACCCCTCTCATAATCAGGCTCTGGAATTAGATAGAGCTCGGACTTCATTGCTTCCTCATCCAGATACAAGAGGGACGTGGGGCTAGCAAAAAGATCGAGGGTTCGCCATTGGCGGTCTTTATGGGCATACAGCATGCCCTTGATCTCCTCGGCCGCTATGCACGTCAGAGTCAATTCTTCTCCCAGAAGAGTCGACTGTGTCTGCATCTCGCAATGACGAACCTCCAAGGTCTCCGCAGACTGAATTGGGAATGAGTCCGCCTCATTTGTTGAGGGATCAGTGGCCACTTGACTCACTTTGGCGAGGAGGTCGCATGGCTCAATGATGTTGAGACTAAGTAGTGGTATCGTTATTTTTGTTCCGCTAAGAGTGATTTCGGATACTGTTGTTTCTCGGATCTCCCCAGTCGTCCCATTCTTTAGCTTTGAGATGAGCTGCACTCTGTGGGTAACTGTGGTGGAAATACAGGGCGATATTTCCAACACCAATGCTTTTAATTCCTTCGTGATTGTTAGGTGAACTTCTTCGGGTACATTAAGCATCTGAAGACGATGCGCATACGTCGTAGTCCACGCACTAGCTACAAAATCTTCGCTCTCGTCCTCACACCTGGCCGTGAATCTGGCCCTGACCTTGGCATACATAGTCCTTGATTGGAGGTACTTTTCGTCCGGGTACGAGGTCCACGTGGTTTCTCCAACGGTAGTCCGAGTAATGGGACCTTCCGGTGTATCTTTTGGGCCGATCTCCACATCCCACGAGAAGCCCTGATAGTCATCGAAGTCGAAACCCTCTTCTTTTGGCAGAACAGCAGACCAGTCTACATGCATGGCGCAGGACCGATTCTCATCGTCAACCACATACTCTAGCCTGGGCGGGCCACTCAACACGAGCATTCCCTCGATTTTCTTCTTCACCTCTTGGAGCGTCGCCTGCTGCCGTCGCTGATCCTCCAGGATCTCCGTTTCTCGCTGCTTGTACATTCGGTTCATTTCGTCGCGGGCGGACGCGAAATCCTCACCTTCGCCATCGGTGTCACTATCGGTGCTATCGTCGTCATTGAGGGGAACTGAGCCAGCAACTCCTTTTACCGTCTTTCTGACTGGGGCAGTCAACAGAAACCCGAGCTTAATGCCTACGCCCGAAGTACCCATTGCAATACTAATCGGAGTCGTGATAGCCCTCACGGCGGTAGAAGCGATCAGGTAAGTAGTAAAGACCGTGCCAATGGGGCCTGTAAATGCTCCGATTGCTCCTGTTCCGAGACTCAATGATGCACCAACCGCCGTGCTAACCGCGGAAGCAGCCACGCCGCTGACTGAAGCCACGGCTAATGTAGTGCTTATCGCATGTTTGACGAGCTCCTTGCTTTTCACTTTCCGGCAAATCAATTGCTCCGTTGTCCTCTTGCTCAATCCTTTCGCAATAAGAGCGCCAACGAGGCCGGCAAACTTCCGCTTTTGCCTCAAGATTTGCTCTCCAATTTTCTCCAAGTTCTTCCGTGTAGTCTGTTCCAGCGCCTCCGGCAAGCTTTCTTTGCTTATCGGAAACGGAATCGGCACTTCCAAGTTTCCGAGATCGATAGTGGTGCTGAACTTACCGATACTGATCCCAACGCTGACTTTCGCGAACAGCTTGAACAACTCCTTCGAGACTCGATGATCGGCGAACGGAAGTCTCAGAGAAAACCTCACATTACACTCCGCATCATCTAGTGGTAATTCTAATTGTCCGCACTTGCAGCCTTTATCCCTTGTAGACGCGCTCTTAATGCCTTCCGCGAGATCTTTCCCTGGGAGATTTTGAAGGAGGGTAAAGTCACCCGTGCCGCATTCACCAGACTCCGAGAAACTTAAGTCGAATTTGGGATTTTCGATGCCAAACAACCAGCCCTTGTACGTTGCCTCTCCTGCGAACTTTGAGTCCTTGTAGGAGAGCCGCAGGGAATGCCCTTCGCAGCCAAATAGAGTCAACCCAGAGTGAAACTGGAAGTCAACAGCATTTGATGTCTTGGTGAGTGTGATCATCGGGCCCATAGCTGAGGCTTGCGAGGCTGGACCAGCCAAAGGAGTGAGCTGTACGATACCGAGATCGATTGCTCCATCACATGTGCTCGTTAAAGTGAATCCATGTCCATCTTCGCTCATTTCGATCGCAGTGTTGAAGATCTTCCCGAAAATGGTGACGGTAGCCCTCACATGGTATCCTGGACGCAACTCTAGGCCTGTTTCCTCGTATTTGATGATGTCGTTGGACAGAGAGTACGCCATATTCAACCCTGATAGTTCCATCTTGGGCACGTCTACTTTAGACCCGAATAGGGATTCGATCCATTCAGAAATAGGAATCTTCGTCTCTGGCGTGAATTCGATGGCGGCCGCTTTGGGCTTCCCACCTGGAAGGAGAATGGATCCGGTTGCAACGTGCTTGCCTACATGTGCTTCACCTTGGAGAATTAAGAATAGCGATTGAGGCACCATAGAAGAAGGGTTCGGAGAGGGAATACTAGCAGAATCAACCCGAAGGGCGCTCGCCATGGTTCTTCCCGACACGCGTATGTTCCGAATTTCGAGTCTCTTCATCACTTTGAAATGTGCGACAACTGGCTCCCGAAATGTGATGTCGTCAGGTGACTCAAATGTCACTTTCCTATCATCAATTGTGACATTGACTCTAAATTTAAGCGGCTCCTCAATCGTCTCGTGCTTAATTTTGATGAAAGCATAAGCAGTGAGCTTCTCGTTCTTGAAATCATACTGTCCGTTCCCCCAGAGCGTGATGCAACCGCCTAGCAAGCGCAACCCTTGGAATGAAACCTCTACGATAGAGTCTTCTGGTGATGGGCTGATGTTCGCAAAAAGGGTCATTGCTGCATCGGGAGACTCTTCTAAAGTAGATGTTAAGGTGCGGAACGGCGCGGCGGTAGGTGGATTCGAGCCAGCTAGACGGACAGAAGCAGCTATCAACGCCCCCGGCCCCACATTCTTGAGTTGTTCTGCTCGTTGCTTGCGTTGAAGGAACTCGATCAAGGGCCAATAAGGCTTGGCGATTTCCATGCCTGGGTCCTCACTAATCAAAGCCTCTAAGAAGGGTATTTTCGTAGCGTGGGATAAGATAACGAGAGCTACTTCCGTATCCCTAACGACGGTTTTAATGTTCGACCAAAGCGAGGGCCACAGTGTGGCGGCATTCTTCGTAGAGAGAGCAATGATGGACTGATGACTTCCAAAGGTACTGGGCACGCGCCGGAAAATTCCTGAGCCAAAATCACCAAAGTGACCCGATAAGCAAATACTAGAATTCTCAAAGTCGGCTTCAAGGGTTAGTCCAATAGTGTCCATTTCGAAAGATTTGAGCGCATCCGGAAGCATACTATCACCGCTACTAGTAATGCGGCCAGCACCTGCTAGAACAGCTTCCAGATTAATATTTCCGACGCCATTGCTAGGATTCTGTAACGTGGCAGTCAGGCATGGTTTTCTGTCCGTTCGCAACTCGAGTTTAGCCCGAGAAATGATGTCCCCCAGGCAGACGTCGCCAGAGAGGGAAATGTTGCAATTCATCGGCACAATATCAGCCATAGGAACAAACTCTAGGTCTACGGAAATCTGCTCAAGGTTAATCGACATACCACCAATATTCATTTTCCACACAGTTGTTCCAGATACCGCCAACTTTAGCCTGCCGGTCTGCGGCAAACTCAGCTTCAGAGTATCGAATTCAAGACTTGGCCGTCCAACTAGAACTGGGGGAAGGACATATGAGTCCACATCGAGGCCAACCAAGTCGAGAAGCGAGCTGAAATTGAAGGGAACCGCTTCGGCAATTGTTTCGGGTTCACAGGTAAACCAATCGCTACCGTCTTCGCCTCGAGAATAAGCTACTCTGAGGCTGACCTCTCCGATGACTAACTGCGCTGAAAGCTGGAAGGCAAGATCGCGTTGTTCCGCGTAATTCAAGAAGAGTGTAGGGTTACTGAGCTGGATCTTTGGGGTGGAGATAAGGGGAAGGCTGCGTCCTAGACGAACCCCGGCCTTCAAGGATTCAATCCGGATCATCCCCTCATTGCCCAAAGAAATGCTTCCTAGAATACCCTCGATTTGCAGCTCGCTAGGAAACACGAAGCCCTTTGGCTCAGCAAGAAAACTGGCGCTAGCACCAGTCAAGGAACACAAGGATGAGGTGCTGATTGACGTCCCAGGAAGCGGGACTAAAGAGAAGGCAAGGGAACCGGCAGTGGGCCCATTCAGAGGAAGGGAGATTTGCAAAACCATTCTATCTGCCCCAATGTCGACGTTTCCGATGAAGAAGCAGGATGGTAGATCTGGATTACGGTTATCAGTGCTAGGGATAGTGGCTGTCCCTACGTGGGCATCGGGCCCGCAATCTGTCGCAGTGTCCCCAGACCGGGATGGTGGAATAATATCGTTTCTAATCCTATATTGAATCCTCGGAGCGCGTAGCATTATCCCATGGAGATTGATGGATGATTCGTTAGATACGATGATGTCAAAGGCTTCGAGATGAACACCACAGTCGTCAAACTTCATAACAATTGTGACGGAGTCTATACTAGCATTAAACTTCTGGCAGAAAGATTCTAGTCCGAGGATGGTGTTGGGCAGCACAATATCTGCCACTATCATCGTGAGAGTGTATGGCGCTGTTGGCTTGATCTTGATAACAATGGCCTGTGTGTCTTCTTGCGCTGCTAGAGTGACATCGAGATGCGGGGTGGAGAGTTTAAGGGCCCAGTTGATAAAACGGATGTCTCCGTTCATCTTAACAGACATATTGGCCTTGATGAATTGGAGATTCTGGAGTAGTGGGAGACGTATTGGTCCGAGACCTGGCCGCAATAGCTCTAGGACATTGATTGCCGTCAAGTCATTCCGAGGAAACACTCTAAGTTCGAAACAATCCTGAAGCAAGGTAGCATTCGCATTGAACTGGGAGCTCGCAAGGGTTGCAGTGAAACCAGAAACAGATACTCCCTGTTCTGAGTACACACAGCTCATGGTACCGTTCTGGAAATAGAGCTGGGAGAGGAGAGGCGGAACAGTAGATATGGAAACTGGGAAGACTTCTGCTAGTAGTTCAAGACTCCTGACATCTTCAAGCGCTTCAAAGGCGAGTTTGATATCGCAGTCGCCGATCGAGGTCATAGAAAACGATAAAGCCATGCGAGGGCCTCGGAAGTTAATGCAGGGAATGAACCAACGTAAATGGTCGGTAATCATGATCTGACCAGAGTCAAGCAAAAGATCGTCCAGGAAGGAGAATATCGAGTCGAAGATGTCAGGACCTATAATGAGTCGAAGCAAGGCCAGAAATGTCATAGATTTGGAAGAGCCGAATTTCAGAAGAATCCCCAATTTCCTAGTCTGCCAAATGATATGGGTATCGCCCAATTCCATCTCGAATTGGGTTGCTAGAGTGTCTATTGACGAGGCAAAGAGGTCACCGAAAGCGGACTCGAACATATCGGTCCATAATTCTTTGCCCGTGGCAGAAAGGCAGGTGCGCCCTTCGATAAATCGGGCCTGGTCGAGGAACGGGAAAGGGGGCCAACTCAAGCCATTGTGGAAGTGGCCAACGATCTTAGGCAGATCTATGGGTGCTGTAGGCTGGAAGCGAGCCTTAATAAGAAGTTCGTTGCAGCTGTTCCAGTCTACAAAAACGTCAAGGTTGTCTTCCATGGTAGAGGCGGTAGCAGTGAATACGTAGGTGTCTGTGTTTTCTCCATGTTCGTCTTTGATTTCGTGGAAACATGCCTCCTTGCTATATGATAGTCTAGCCGTCAATTGTGTCAGGGTAAGATTATCCATGACCAACTCATCGATTGCTCGGATGTTGCAAGAGAGTCCAGCTACTTTGAAAGTAGAGGATATACTATCCCATCGAAAGGCTACTTCCACTCGAAGAAGCTCAATGTCCAAGACTTTTCCAATCAACGGGAAGTCACCGCAACCCGACAGATTGAAGACCTCAAGCAAATCAGCAAGTAAGAGACCCAGAGGAGAGCCGATAATAATGGATCCATGTTTCTTAGGCCCTGGCATTTCAAAAGAGACCTCAACCAGTTTTCTCAATTTTCCAATGCGAGCAAAACCGTGACCGGTGCATGAAAAGTTCTCTAGGGCATTAACGATATGGACACTGGCATTCTCGACTGCTAAAATACGAGGTAATAGTGACAACGTTGAGGCCTCGGCCTCAATGGTCCATCTGGCGTATTCCTCCGTTTCGCCGGGAGAAGCGACGGGAGACCAAAAGCGGCGTAAATGCAACTTGGTCATTGATATGATGCCGGGAAGAGAACTATCAGCAAGGATCTTCGAAATATTTCCGACGGGCATGACACCGAGCATTTGGGCGACACTAATCATTCCCCCGCTGCTTGGAGAGATAGTGAAATCGGAACTAAATCCAGCGTGCAGGTGCTGGTACCGAGCGTTGAGGGTGAGATATAGGCGCGAGGGGGCGGGCAGGACTGGAGCTTTGCGAACGTCGTCCTCCAGCTCCTCCACTTCACTACTGAGGTCTAAATCGAAGGTGATATCATCTTCCTCGCGAGGCCCAGCCTCTGGATCTTGTCCCCAGGAAAGTATGTAGTCCGCTTCCGTCTCGGCATTGGAGAAGGAGTTTTCACCGGAACTCGAAACTTCGATGGTAATTTTGATCTTTGCCTCAAACTCTAGGTCTTCCTCTCCTTTTTGACTAGTATTTCCTCTAGGTGAAAAGGATATCTCAACGGGCTCAACCGTCCAACTCGGAAGAATTTTCTTGGAAATGATCGACTTCCATCTATCCCAAAAGGCGTTCGCAGCCAGACGTAGGGCTCCCGATTCGGCTGACATCTCAGAGGTAGGCGCGGATATTGTGATATGGTGAAGCTGAATCGAGGAAGGCATTGACGCCTTTGATGAACTGGATTCTTCCTTCGGCTGGATGAGTGAGAAAGGGTGGAGAGGATCATACAATTGGCCGGGTTCTCTAGCCGGATTGTCGACGATTCTGGATAAAACAGAGGTGTCTAACATCCGCATTGAGTGGCTCGAGTCGGTTTTTGCGCAGGTCTCAGCGGTACGGTCAAACATTTGGTTAATCGCATTGTTGCTGGGATTCCCTGTTTCAAGTTCGAATGGTATCTTTAGCAGATGAAGACTAGCCTTTGGGAATAGAGAGATGAGATCTAGCAAGCTGACACATTCATCGATTCGGACCACCACACTTCTAGATCTCGTTCCTACCAACTCAAATTCGAACTGCAGCGCCATCTCTGAATCTCTAAGAGCTGTTTCCGCAGACAAGATCAACACGAGCTTAGCGGCCTCCGTGCCAGGGATTTCAATGACCAAATTAAGATCGGAAACACTCATTTGGGCTCCACACAGAGAGATAAGTGAGTTTGAGTCGGCTACCTCCTCTAAAGGAATCGGGATATTGATCCGCTTGATTGCTAGGTTTCCGGTTGGTGTGTGAAGATACTTAACATCAATATCGGAGAAACTAAGACGAGTCGTAGTAGAACAAAATCCCGCGATAGGTTGGGGTAAGCGATGAAACAGGGCTTGGTAGACCTCATTGCCAGGGAAGAAGATTGCAAGAATATCTCCGAGGGTTGTACTATTGAAAATTTCGATATTGGATATCAAAGGCTTGAAGAACATTGCAATGTTTGAGCTTTGTGTGGTCGTCGTCCAAGAAAATGGCAGGGTCCGCGATGGAAGCCACCCGCACATGAATGTCCATGAAGGATCCATATTAGGAGAGACGATGCCATCCGTTCCTTTGAAGGACCAATGTATCTCCTTGAATTTTGAATTCGAGATCCGGTCGAGAGATATGCTTTTTTCCGTAGCAGAGAAACCCCACAATTGGCCAAGGTGGTCCTGCCACCGAAGTGTCCACGATTTAGACCCATCGTTCTCCCAAATCCCCTCGCCAATTTCAAGACGGCATTCTACGCCATTAGCATTCGTGATTATAACATTAAAGGCATCCACCGTCCAAGATTCACATGCCGTGACGTGCGTTTCGACGGTGGTGGGAAACGGCGTTTGAGTGGTCTGTCCCTCGGTACTTTCCGAGACGTCGAGGAAGTGAGTCTCTCCCGCAAATATTGTGAAAATCGACCAATGTGAGCTGCAGTTGACTCTGGGAGGAAGTGTCCAGCCTGGAACCGTCGGGGGCCTAGAACAAAAGGCACTAAATAATAAGATTTCCTTCAACGGTGGAGCCTTGATCCATGCTAGAATTGCTGCATCGGCGATTTCTCCAGCAGAGTATTCTAAAAGGGAATCTGATTGAAGCGGTTTCGATATGAAATCTTGGATGTAGACCCAGATGGAACTCGGTTCCGGCTCGATGGGTGGTGGGGTCAGGCTCTCAAAGGATCTAGCTAACATGTGGGCGAAGAAATTTTGCCTCTTAGAAAGAGCCTTGTAATAGGATACAAGGAATCCACGATCATTATCAGGTACATCGCGAACCGGTAGCTTCTGGATAACAAGGTCGACAATGAGTTTTAGAATGCGGAGCGATGCTCCATCTAGTGCGGCTACCAACTCCGGCACACAGCTTTCGATAATTGGCAGAAAGGAATCAGATTCGAACGGGCCGATGTCACCTAATGCCACCCGAATATATAACCCAATCAGAATCCACACACCAATTTCGTGTTCTACTCTTGCCAACGCATCATCTGCTGCTGCCTCCAAGGCCTTGGCTCCTGGTGTCTCAGTTTGAATACCAAGTGGCTCGTCCCGAGCTTCTGAGATGGCGTCTAGTTCATCGGCGGATTCATTGTCAGCATTTTTTTTCATAAAGATGATGGCCGACTGTTGCAGCTCCTCCGCTGGGGTTTGATATCCATTACCGAGAGATACGATGTTGACGGCAAGAGTAGGTTTCGAGATCTCTTCTGATTTGATTGCAACAGGCGTTGGGGTCGTTTCCGTGACCGAGATATGATGAGTCTCCATCTCGGGAATGGTCTGGTTGAGTGGAAACACGGAGAAACCGTCACGATATCCGCATTGTAGTAAAACGTGGTGCTCGGGGAGAGTGTCACAAAGGACGATATACTTTATTCATAGGGAGCGGGAGTGGGAGGAAAGAGCCCAAGCCGGCCACTGGAGATTTGAGACGGGAAAGAAGAGAAATGAATTCCATCCAGATATTCAGCTGCACATCTCGCCCAGCCGGCGGCTGCCGGATTCGCGACAGCGCCCCAAAAGTGAATGCCACGTCGCTAAATTGGCGCTCTTGGCACGCCTCGAAGTCGTTGAAAGGCGCAAGCCGAGAAAAGAGAGAGGGGTGAGTGAAGGCTTGAAAGTCAAGACGAATGACCGAGGCGGGGGAGCCGAATATGCAGGTTCCAGCTCTCTTGGCGCCGGCTGAGTTCGGGAAAGCGCAAGCCGTCACTGTTATGGCTTGCGTAGGATGCAAGGCAATAATGAATGTTTAGTCCGTAACGGTTGTTAAAATATGGTCGCGGCACGCAACAAGTGACAAAAGGAATTGTCCGTGGAGAACAAACCACATCGCTATTGGGCGATGGACGGTTTGTCGGTGGGCACACCGGAAACGGCCACGTGATTTGTGTAACACCAATGGGCCGAGGTAACTTTCAAACGCTCCTCAGTTGCGAAGTCCTCTTACTGCATCACCAACTTTCTTCAGTAATCAAAGCTTCTAGTCTTCCCCTCCCCCAGCTGCGCTACAAACATGATCACGACTCACCCCCCATATTAGATTAGACCCGCCCTCCTGGTTGCTCCTTCCGCCCATTTACCATAAAAAGCAATTGGGTGTTCATCAGAATGCTGGTAATCAGGCTTCTTCTCCATCGATTATTAATTTTAGTCTCCTTCTTGTCGTGACGATGAGCCCACATACCCCGAACTTCAGTTCACTTTTCGACGGGAATGCCATGACTGCTGCTGAATAGTTTAGGCATCCCGAAACTAAACCGCAAGGGGCAATCGGGCTTTCATCAGACTGGCTGCATTCATCTTTGCTGATGGCTGGATTACTAATTCCCAGAGTCTTCATATAGTGACCCCGAAGACTCATTCAAGGGCCAAAATCCCCTTCCCCGGCCGTTCCTAGCAAAGCCCCCGGGACACCCCTCCCGAGAACCATCATGTCGACCTACGAGACTGCACAAGACCAATTCATCATTGTCAATGGTATCAGGTATGCCTACCGACGTTTTGGTCTCACCACTGGGATCCCACTCTTCTTGCACATCCACTTCCGGGGAACAATGGACCACTGGGACCCGGCCTTCATCAACCCCCTCGCAGAACATCGGCCCATCATCATTCTGGACAACGCTGGTGTTGGACGCTCTGAAGGAAATATCCCCATGGCATTCACGGCCTGGGCTCAAGTTGTTATAGACGTGCTTACCGCACTGGGCGTAAAGCAGATTGACCTCCTTGGGTTCTCCATGGGAGGTTGTACCGCGCAGTTGATTGCCTTGAATGCACCACATCTAGTCCGACGCCTCATCCTTGCTGCGACAATTTCGAGCACAGGAGAAGGCGTGGTGCACGTCCAGGGCATGGAGCCGTTTATGAAATTGAAATCTGCATCGACGAAGAACGAGCAGCTTGAGGCTTTTCTGCTTAGCTTCTTTGGGCCGTCTGAGAGGAGTCAAGCCGCGGGGAAAGCGTCGTTCGAACGCATCCACTCCGCAAGGCCAAATCGGGTTGACTACATAGATGTAGAAACCGCGGAGAGACAGACCGTGGCCTATTTCAATTTCCAGAAACCCGAGAATGAGGATGCTGGCTCATATAACCGATTTCTCGAATTGGAGATGCCGGTCCTCATCGCAAATGGTAGGTCTTTCCTATCCTCACGAGTTTATTGGCTGAAGGCCTTGCAGGAAGTGATGATTTGCTACTTCCTACGGAGAACAGCTATGTAATGTGGAAGAAACTCTCCAATACGGATGCTCAACTACATCTGTATCCCGACTCTGGTCATGGCTTTCTCTATCAGTACGCAAATCAATTCACGAAGCTCATCAACAATTTCCTTGACGCGGAGATATCTGCAGCTGGGAAGAGCCGCCTATAAGCATGTGCCTATTTCTAAAGTTAAAAGCGTCGTTGCATTATGGAATAGTAAATCTACTACCACAGCATGGCGGAAGAATACATACACACGCGTGAAGTTTGAACACGACAGGGGAATCTACTAACACGCAAATTAAGCGGCCAATGAGGTTTGCGCTCAAATTCCAACTTTCGGGTAGGGTCTTCTACTCATTTCCCAATTTAATAATTGTTTTCTATGAGATCTATTACCCTGGACCACCGCATTACTTCTTCTAACATGTTGCCCGTTTTCGGCCCCATTTGGGAGCGTCCAGGGCGGCTTCAGTCACGTTTCAAATCGCGATGTGAAACAACTCACGTCCACGAGCACAGCCAACAGCCATACAGCAAGCGCCTTTCCATGTAACGTTATACGCGTCAGAGCGACAAACCTAGTCCTGTGGGTGGACACGGCGGACTGCAGAAACGCCCGCTAGTTCTTCGATACAGCCTATTACACTACTCGGGATGCGGCACAGCACAGCTCAAGAACCTGGAGTCCGAGGACCACATGTTCATTTTGCACTTATAAAATATTTCCTTTTCCCGAAGGCCTCTAAATATATCTACTATTCTTCTTGCTACTTGCTCAACCTCCGTCACATTTCACGCATAATCATGGTTAATGACACGTACCGGAAGCTCAAAGCGGCGGCCAAACGTGACAGAATCTTTGTAAACTCAATAAAATATAGCGCCTTGAGCTGTCGCAATGTACCGGAAGATCACATGGAAAGTTTCGCCATCGTTCAACAGCTCGGTCATGTCACGTACGCAGAGTACGGCTACTTGCCGAACATGTCACCTGAAAAGCCGTGGCAAGGAAAGAATAAAGAAAGAGCTGCCAGAATCTTGCTCTATGCAACGAGGTGTCGCAAAGAAAACCGGAATGAGGCTGGCTGGCGGCACGAAGTGGAGTCCCGACTCTTCGAGAGATTCGATATCGAAGTCGCTTGGTACGTCATGAGATATGAGAGCATGAGAGCATACTTGGGACATTATTCACAATATATAGTAAAAAGTGTCGCAAGCGACTATGGAGGTCCGAGATTGAAGCCAATCCGTCCTTCAGTAACAGTCGCACGACGTCACTCGAAGACCGCCAGAAGCAAAGAGCGCCGTGCACCTGCAATCCTTCAAGTCGTCTAGATGATTGGTAAAACATGAATCCTGGACCCGGTTTCTACGATACTGATCCTTGGTTAAGCCTAGATGTAGGAATTAACGACATCTTTTCCGCCCGAATCGAGGAAACTTGCGTCAATCCTAGTGGGACAGATACCGCTTCCTTCGGTCCCTCAAAAAAGCCGGACCGAATCCACGGTCTCCAGCAGACCACGAATTTTGACACCCTGCTTCAACAACCATATGTTCACACAGACTCGTCCGGTCTTGCTCTTCGCGCTTTAGAGGAGGTTGTAAAAGTCAGTATCAACCCGGACAATGGTGGCTCCGCATTGCTATTTCCTTTCCTGATTCTCGAGGCAAAAGGTGAGAAGGGCGTAGATAATTTTGAAGAGATGGAAATCCAATCGGCGTTTCCAATTCGAAATGCCCTGAAACTGCAATATGACCTTCTAAAAACAAAGGGTAACACAATGGACGTCCCTGGCGGTCCTCTGGTATGGTTCCTAGCCAATCGCGGCGAGGATTGGAGAGTGTATGGAGCATGTATCCATGAGCATAACGGACGGCCTGATTATGTAAGTGCCCCCATATATGGTACTACTCGATCAAACAATAACATCCCAAAGTTGATCAATTACCTCTGGGGAGGAAGTATTACAGGCTACGACGAGGCACTTCAGCTCATTCTTATCCTGGATTACATTCTCGATTGGGCCCGAGACATCTACCGACCAAATATCCTGCGTCAGCTGAAGATGCTTACCACTGCAAACATTAGCGACGCGATGACCATGGGACTCGATCCTGATATCTATTCACTTCGAGGAGATGTTGAGCCCTGGATGGAGACTATGGAACCGGGGGAGATTATCGATGGAAATTTGTCGGGCGAAAAGGCTGACGAGCCTCAGAATTCCGCCTCCAATCAAGGAATCTTAGATCAATTCAGTAACAAGATTGGCGTTGTGCGCGATGCGAGATTCATGGAGTCTCGCATCCGTGGTTTATTCATTACACCAGACAATCTCCAAACATTATTACTTGGGTTCGATACCACGGACAATGCAAAACGGGTTGTCAGGACCATGCTATCGATTCTAGCTCGTCGGAGTGTCGTCTTGGAATCCGAAAACGTCCTCAGAGCAGTCGAAGATCAATGGATAGGCGCTACTAGGACAACTGGTCGCATCGCCGCTCGTAACCGAACTGTTTACGCTCAGTTTCGCGTATCCTACTTTATTGATCCGATGTGGCAGCAAGTTCGTGAACTTACGTATCTAGCGGTAACTCATGACGCGAAGGACGCTCTCATACAATTTGCCGACTTCCGAGCAGCGGCGAAGCGCTATCAGTTCAGACCCCACCCTTGTTCCGAAGTCGGCCTTCTATCAACAATCAAGATCTTTCAGAAGCGCAGCGTGCGATATGATTTTCGCTCTTGCCTTCAAAGGCGGACCTACACGATCACTGTGAGCTATGCCATGATACATTGCGTCGACACAGGACGTGACCTTCGTCGAGAAAAGGTCATCCAGAGTCAAGATAAGGATAAAAAGAGTCCTGGGTTGCAAATGCAAGGAATTGTGCATGCTATATACGAGAGGTTTCGTATCGGTCAACGCCCCCCCTCAGAACCTTTTCTTCGTGCCTCTGCTTCTATTGATTCTAGAGGCCGACCACTCTGGAAAGACTGGAGTCCGGGAGATGAGCTTGGATTTTGGGAGAAGCATTGGGGGCATGCTCTTGTTTATTCCCCCATCCCAGATTCAGCCTCTCGATCCCCAATGACTATTTGTCTCTATATTCTCAATGGAGAGATAGACACTCTCACCAACACCCAGATCGTCCAGAATCTACGGACTGTCTTGCACTTTCAATCCATGTACCATACTGTACGGCGAGGCAAGGTCCCGAAGACGAACCGAAACTATCAGGAAAATCGACCAGCGCCAGACTTTTCCATCGTTACACCGCCTAAGGATTTAGCAGCGCAGTCGTTGATGAAACTACCAGTTGCAATCTTCAGTTGGATTCGAGCGTTGCAACCACCGCAGGACGTTCTGGAAGCTTCTCGCTCCCAATTCAAATCGCTCATTCAAGATACCCATACAGCACGAGGTGAGGTAATCATAACTACTTAGCACCACGAAAAAGCTATCTAGGAGGCTTGCATGAGTCTCTAAAGATCGGCATGCCTATGCTTTGCTAGGTTAGGCAGACCTTAGAGACTCTGTTATTTTTTTTCCAACAATCCTGTCATTGGTGGAAAAGTTACCCCTTCCAAAGCTCTTCACCACCCCCCTTATTGTTTCTTCCCTTAGGGTGTGATATTGGCGTTCCGGTAGAGGTCCTCGGACCGCCCGAAGGAATGCGCAATGACAATAAGGCCGTATGGAGCAAACTTGATGCCAAGGGCACAGCCAAAACTATTTTTTGATCCGGTTGGAAAGACACAGACACCTCTGAACGAGACTAGTACTGAAGAATATCTGGACCATGTGTGTTTAGGGAAGGTGCTATATTCGAAGACTTCCATGTCACAGGATGTCTGAAGACCTTACATGCACTTCATAAAAGAAACTTCAGCGTGCGAACTGCTTACGATGCTTCTTAAGTTAGCCAGCAGCGCTAACTAAGTAGTTTAGTCTAGCACGCCCCAGGGCATGAACGGTTGAGCACGTGGGATTTTCGCAACTTTTGGGACTGTTTACCAGGCCCGCCTACTAATACTGAAAATGAAAGATATTGAATTAATTAGCGCACCCATATGTCTCTCATAAGGATTCATTGCGAGAACTGCTCAGTGGGCTCGAGAAATAACTTGTGTCATAGATGTGAGCGGCCTTGGCATCCCCGCATCTTTATCGGCCAATCGCATTTCGCACCGTTGCACATCATGGATGCACAATTGAAATATCCCAAATCCCATATCGTTGCTATTCAGCATATTTTTTTTTATCACATGTGCCCTCGGAAGCAAATGAGATCTTGCTTTCAGCTTCGCTTCAGCCCTTGTCTTGGGTTACCAGCTAGAGGCTGTGCAGGCGTGGCTTCACCGGTCACAATCTCCCCATCTCGAAGCATAGCCCACTAAATGCCCACATAAGTTCGCTTGCTCATCCAAAAACTTGTCGTACAATCTACATAACCTCCCGCAGAAGTCAACCTATTCTTAACGTTTCCATATGTTGTCGAAAGCATCTGAAGCTGGGGCCAACAGCGAGCACAGCCACATGAACTTTGAGCCCGGGCCATCACACCACCCCGACTACATTCTCAGAGATCCGAACGATCCTCCAGCCTACGATGAACATGGACCTGCATTACCTGAGGGCATCCAGCAGATTGCGGATGCCATCCGAGAACAAAATAACCATGATCTTCCCATTTTGGAGTTCCCGTTAATTCGTAACACATTGCGCTCCGCAATTCTACAGCAAGATATTGTAGACAGCTTTTTCAATGCCATCCGAACCAAAAAAGACGAGGTGGTCGCGGCTTTAATCGAAAACAATATCGTCACCCCCGAAACGACCGACAAGGATGGCCGAACTCCTCTCTTGGCGGCCATCGAAGCCGGCAATATCCGCACTGTACAGGAACTCATGGACTTTGACGCCAATATCAATGCGTACGGAGTTGTCGGAGAGACTTCCGAATGGACGCGAAAGAAGGGGTATACGAAGATTTATCGCACCCCGCTTCAGCTAGCCGCAGCACAAGGAAACCTCACGATTGTCAAATTGCTCATGGAAACTTACAATGCCGATGATTCGATGATAGCGCCCGATGGAGAACTTGCACTTCGCCTTGCTGCAAAGAACAATCACCGTGAGGTTGTGAACTACTTGCCAACGAGAAGAGGGGGTGGTTGGCGGAGATGGAAAGCCAAGCACCATAAGGCAATGAAGAGGACAAAAAAGGCAGCAAAAAGCATCTATCAGTTCTTCCGTTTTTGCCTTTGGTCAGTACCAAGATTCTTTCTGTGGTCGGTACCGAAACATCTCATCATCTTGCCTCTAGTGCTTGGTTCGCGCTGGCTATGGAAACACGGCTCTGAGCTTCCCGGAATAGTTTGGAGATGGCTGAATAAAATACCTCAAATGATATGGGATGTTCTGAAAGAGGTACCAAAGTTTTTGAAAGAATGCACTATGGAGCTTGCACAAATGCTCTGGCATCTTATCAAGGCTACCCCAAAAGCCATCGGGGGAATGGTTGTTTGGTTGTGGCAGGGGATCAAGAGTATGGGAACTGCAATCGGTTCCACCGTCGGCCGACTCTTCTCATTCATCCACACTTTACTCTTCGCCATTGTCAACCTCTTCCGTGGCCTTACTCTACAAGACGTTTGGAATGGTTTCATGGCTCTTCTCCGCGCCGTTTTTGTTGACGGACTAAAGAAGCTCTGGAAATGGTTATGCACGTTTGGGGAGGTTACGAAAGACATCCTGGAAAAGATGTTTGGGTGCATAGGGTTTCTCGTGTGGTTGATCATTCGAGGTTTGATCGAGCTTATCATCTATGTCCCGAAGAAGATGCTGGAAATATTTGCCAGTATGGGTAGCTCGATTGCTGGAGGATTTAGCGAGGTTCTGATCTGGATCAACCCGAAGAGAAACTGAGGGGCAAGCGCGGGCGCTTGAGAGTAGTTGAGTTAACTGTACCTTTTCCCTTCTTTTTTAAGTTATTCCTGCCCTTTTCGGCTACTGAATCTCTCTTGTGCTTTGTTGTTAGAATACCTGTCTTAGCTTTCATGCGATATTCAGCGTTAGTTAGTCATTCCGGTACGTGTACGTGATCCACCTATTGGCCCCAGGTACCGAGGTAACCTAGGATAGGCGAACTTCGTTAATCGTCTCATAGACTTGAAATCTTTTCTGCTTCCCGAGGTCTTTGCTTTGGCACAGAATATTTCGTAAGCGTAAACACTAGTATTTTGATCTACACACGTGAGTGGCTTCTACTTTGCGAAGAGACTAGCTCTATTGCATCGCTAGCTTACAGTCTTGGCTAGTCCATCAGGCAGCCTGGAAAAAACCATCTTGTTCAACTTGCTCTTGTAAAGCCTGGATGCTACACTTCTTCCACTCGGCAAGAAAGCGGTGGGAACCACCGCACTTGCTGCATTCCCTCTTCCAGCTAGCAACTTGCTGTTTCACTTCCTCCTCACCCTGGTCCTCTGGAATAGAAGAAACGTTGAGCGCTGGATTAACACGAGCCTTAGCAATGCGGTCAGCATGCTGCGTGGCTGCTTGGTCAGCATTTTGTTTTTGCTTTTCCTTCTCGGTGTTAACTGTCGTCGCTTTCACGTCAAGCTGGGCTAGTTTTGCCGCATCCTGTCGCACTTTCTCTTTCGCACGTGTGGAGGCCTCCTGCGTTCGGTGTGCCACGCTAGTTATAGGCACGTTCCTTGGGAAAAGTCGAGACTTTGAAGTAGCTAGGCCTCGTTTGGGAGTACTCGATCGCGTGGAAGGCGTAGACTTGGGTGCACCCATAGCTCTACCAGCCTTCACCTTCTCCTTTCTATCCCTGCTGTAGCTTCCTTGATGAATCTTTGTCTTACCTATATTATCCAACCAATAGCCCACCTCCGCCTCCCTCGCCTTGACCTTCTCCTCGTACTCATAGATTTTGATCATGCAATGAGTATGCTCTGTCGGCACGCTCCTACGCTCCTCCGCCAATCCTCTCCATATTTGTAATGTATATTGTAATCCATCGAGCGGTAAATGTGCCTCTCCTTTGTCTCGTTTGATCCGGTCGCTCTGGAGCTTTGCTATTTAAACGCTGAGCTTAGCCCTAATTGCTGCCCTCTTTGCAGTGGTGGTGAGGATCGGTAGGCATCGTGCGGGGGCTGAACGAATATTGTTTCCCTTCGAAGATTGGCTTGAAGAGATCTCCGAAGATCTGTGTTCTAAGTCTAGGCCATTATCATATTCTGCCTTGGTCACAGGATTGCTGAGAACGTCGTACGCTTGCTGCACCTTCTGAAACATAGAGGCATACTTCACTCGCTCATCAGTAGCAAAGTGGACGGTCTTGTCTGGGTGGTAGATAAGTACCAAAGCCTTGTATGCAGCACGAATCACGCCAGCGGGTGCATTTGGCGCCAGGCCAAGCACGGTGTAATAGGAAGGGGTATACATGCTGGTGGTGTATGCGGTAGTGGAGTTGCTACTACTCTGCTGTTGCTTCTCGAGGATTTTATTGAAGAGAGGAGCGGTGAGGTGCTCCATTTAAAGGCTGAGCTATTCTCGAACATTGTGCGCAAAACCTTGTGCATTGCTTCTGCATTCATAGGCTGATGCACGTTGTTTACGACATCCGTCTTGTTTCTACACAATGAGTTTGTTAGATTGACGAGTGTCCTGGGGATAAGAGAGACTTATGGGCTGGCCGAGACGGCTTGGGAGCAAATCGAGATCAAATTGCGCTCCCGCACCTGCCGCACTGCAATTCCCGTCGTAGCAATCTTTCGAAATCGCTTTGCTAGGATTTGAACAGCTTGTGAGTTTTGCCTCGTGGACATGATGTAACAGTGTTTGCGGCGTGGGAAGTCGTCCGGAAGGGCTAGGGGCAGTATTGCTTTGCACTGCTCATTGTGTAGAGTGTCCTGGGGCCTTGAATCCATTGTCTTCATCAGAAATTGTACACCGAAAGAAGACCTCTACAACGGATGTGGATGCTGCGTTGTGGAAAATATGCGTTGTGGAAAATATGCGTTGTGGAAAATATATGTGGGCAATCGTGACAGTTCGGTTTTAGGCCGGGTCCAGGGGAGATTTGAGGAGGATAGCAAGCTTACTGGAATCTGTTCGTACGCGCTGGGGTTGACGGGTTTAAGAAGACATACTATTGATTGCGGAGCAGTAATCAGTCTATTGGACCGTAAAGGAATACTTACTAGCTCGACGTCCTTCCCATGGGCTATAAGCTCCTCCGCTCACCTACCACAAATCCATATAGCCTAGATTACGTGGATTTCATCGCACGCACTCTAGGTGATTCCTCCTGATGTGGATGTTTTGGATTTAGACTCACACTCTAGTTGTATTCATTCATCGGGTTCTCTGCCGATGACCGTGTGCTGGCTGTCCTCGCTGTAGATGGCGTTCAGCAGCCGACCTCGTCGGCATTGATGGGAGTCCCATCAGTTTTGAAACGGAATTCCCGGTTCGCTTAGAGGAAAAGAATTGGGACCAAAGAGGGTAGACGTGTGTGAAGATAGGGGCCTCGCAGGCTTTAGGGTGGCGAAGAGGCTCAGGGAACAGACTTGATTATGTCGCCATTCTCATGGCAAGTTTCGCAATGCGGGTCACAATGCCGAGGGAGACATGGGGGTTATGATAGGGATCAGGCAACTAATCAGATATGATACAGGAGGAACCCCGATGTGTATTAGCTAATTTAGAACACATGCTCTTGCTAGCCAAGTTCAGCGATGATACTATTGGCAAGGGTGTGCAACAACACTCATTCCCCCTTCCTTGATGATGTGATCCGGAAGGGACTTTCCGCCGGGATGCTAAGCCGAACCCATGTCTTCGGCTACCATAGTACCAAGAGCTTATATCAACGCAACCCATTTCGTTCGCATTCTCGATTGATGGCTACAACCTGCCACAATGATGTGGGGATAGTTTCAGCTGAGATGCTGCTTTAGGCATGAAACGAAATTGGCGGGACTTAATACAGGATTCAAGGCAGAAAGGAGCTGACTTCTGGAAGAAGCAATTTACCACACGACCTCGAGGTAGATCGGAAAACCGTCGAGAAACGAGACCTGGAGCTCTTAGTTCTACGCTTGTGGCGTGTGATCTCTCCATATTTTAGAAGCGCGATTGCCTTCGTGAAAATCCTTTCACTCCAGATCGGTCGCAAAGACTTCACAGCTGCCGTTGTGTCTTCTCGGAGTACTTAAAACGGCAATACCCTTGGCTTCTTTACGTATGATGAACGTGGGCGTGGGGGGGCGATGAGCTGTTTATAAGATAGCCACTTGGTTCTTTGGGACAGGAGATGAAGTTATGGGGTGAAGGATTTTTCAGAGAAGTACTCGAGGCATTACGAAAATATAGATGTTGGGAAGAAGAATCCGTTGCATGGAGAGTTTTGCAATTGCGATAGAACCCCGAGAAGAAAGGAAATTGTCGGTCCAGACCCGCTACCTGCGCAGTGGCTGAACTGCGGACCGCAGGGCAGCCATCCTGCGGGAGATCGCGTGGAGAGTGGGGAATCGTATGCCAACTTTATAGAACTGCGACACCTGCATGCAGTCCTCACCTCGACACCTCAACACCTCAACAATCCTCACGACCCTACAGCCCCCCAGCACCAAGCAGCACCGCGACGATCAAAGTTTTGCATGACCAAGACGCTGTGGCTGATGGAGAGTAATGTCGCAATACCATCATCAGGTAACGACTGGTGCGCCGACCTTCACCGCCGCACCTGCGAGATCGAGTTTGTCTGGACTTGATGATTTCCACGCGCTCGTAGCACCCGACATGCTGGACCCTTCCGAATGGTTTCAAAGCCCTGGCGAGCATCCATACCTGCAATCGGCGCCTGTCTCGCCGCAGAACGAGTCCTTTTCGCCGAACTTTGGGACTCGATACTCGTCGCATGGCGTTACCGCGACCCATGGAGGGATGCATCGTAGGTCTCATTTCTAGTTATTTCTGTCTCTAATTTTCCTTTTCTTTCCTTTAATTGAACTGGCGTGTCACGCGACTCATCCACTGATGATTTTGTTTCATTCTGGATGTTTTCTTTCGTCGTGGCAGCCATGCACGCAGAGGCTGGGGTTGTGGTGTACCGCATGTCGTCATCACGCTAAGTTGCACGCAATTGCACGTGACTGCTCCTGAAGCCAGCGACTTCTCCTTCATCCCCCACGATTCTCCTCTTATTACCCCACGATTAAATCTTCTCTGTCGTCGAGTCTCCTCCCTTTATGCCAGACTATCCACTAATGGGCCGGACCAGCTCCGCACCACCCCACGCTGAGTGCCTCTATGGACGGTGTACCCATGCATCACGACCACGGCGTTCCGCTCCAGCCACGCCTCGATGAACTCGGAACCATATCTCCTTTGCAGTCAGCCTACCCTACGTATGCCACTCCATATCCTGACAGCGCTGCATCCTCAGCTCCCTCGGAAGACCCCATTTATACGGACCCCGCCGCAGACGAAGACAAGAGAAAGCGTAACCAGGCTGCAAGCGCGCGTTTCCGGCAGAAGAAGAAGCAGCGAGAGCAGCAGATGCTTGAGCAGAGTCGGGAGATGGTAGATAAAACTAAGAAGCTGGAGAGCGAGGTCGACAACCTGAAAAGGGAGAACACCTTCTTGAAACGGCTTCTGGTGGAGAAGGTGGACAACATGAGCGACAACGAGAAGGCCTTACTTGTGAAGACGACCGGACTAGGAAATAAGGACTGAGATGTGTGATGTGGTTGATGAACAACACAGCATGTCAATGAAGCCGGAACGGATCAACGGGTGATCAAGTCTCAACTTCGGATAACGAACTTATTGGATCGCGTGAAGATCCCGCTGCTTTGCGAGGCGCTGAGCGACGGTGGAGACAGGTTTCAATCACGACACGTTGGGTCTTTCGCAATGTCATGTGAGCACTGGTTGCCATTCGGGATGAAATGTGAGCAGTAGGTTGTGCTGTCATTGAATTATCTGACTACTCAAGTTTCCCGCCGGAATCTCTCAACCGCCCACAATAAAACCCTCACCATGCGGTGACTTCTCGCTCCTGCGCTGATGCCTCGACTCGCCGCCTAGCAGACTGAGTTATACCAGTTCAAGCTCGCTGTTCCACCGTGTCAGCCCACATGCGCCATAACACGTTAGATCGACATTGTGTCAAACAAGGAACCTTCTCGTCCCACTCCAATCACATGACGGCCTCAGCATCCAGCCCTATGCGACAACCCGCCGTGGAGAAGCCCATGTAACTTCGAAAACCGATCAGTCACTTACCGATCACATCAGTCAGACCGCAAGACGCCACAACGCAGTTCGAGACAATGCTATAGAAGTTGGTGTCGGCGCAGAAGCAAGTGAAGTCGGTAGCATTTGGGTCGCAAGTCGAGCTGCTCGCGTTATCAGTGAGGCATTTTTGCTAAAAATCATGGAAGGTTAGCAAACTCCTGGCTCGTATCCTGATGGCATCTCATAGAGGTGGAACATTGAAGACTGACCATGCAGGCAGGAGCCCCAGAGATGTCGACGGCCAAACCGGACGCGGAAAAGAGAGCAAGCGCGGTAGTAAATAAGAAACGCATGATGGAATGACTTTAGAGGTTTGGGTAACAGGGCTGGGAGCACACTGAGAGGAGAAGACTGGTTGGTTGGATATCTCTTCGATGTGTGGGAGCTGGGCTTTTATCTTTCGATCTTCTGCATCAAACAACCCCATCCACGTTCGGCGCTCATGACCTTTTCCCACCATAGGACACGCGGTGAACGCAGACCGAGGCATGATATCCTTCCATTAGGTGAGTATCCCCAACGACGTCCCCGACGCTAATTGCACGATCCAATATCAGACTTTCACATGAACCTCATACCTCGGCGTCGCATGATGTATGAAGTAGGAGCAATGAAAATGCTGCAGGGCACGATGCTCCGACCCTGTATCCGCATTGGAGCCCCGCCGTCGATCCCCAAGATTTGCAACCCTCCGAACCTCGTGATCGATACCCGGCGGAGCTTCTCACTAGATCCAGATCCAAAAACCAATCGAAGGGCATAATAAACACCGTCGCACACGGTTATTAATGACCACTTTCGTACTGCCCAATGCGGGGTCGCGGAATGCCCTGGGTGACAGGAGGATGCCGCTAGAGCATTGTTTGTGGGGTAGCAGGGGTGATAAATTGGGAATGCGGAGAAAACGCGGTGTTGTGTCGACGTTTGGACAACCGCCGAAGAAGTTAGGAATTTAGTATGCATCCTTGCGCTTTGAAAGCACATCATCCTCTCTCTCACTGATTTCCCTGATTTCTTTGCATCTTGCGTTCCGAGAGCCTCGGGGTCACATTAAATTTTCTGATTTACATATTTCCATAACATGTGGTATACACATGCACAGGCACCCCAACGTACATAGTTAATACTAATGCGAGAATGAAGGTTTTCCTATTACACCTCGCGCTTACCAGGAAGAGAACTAACAGATGCGTTTACATGCATCTTACCTCACGTTACCTTCTTATCCCTACTCACCACTCAGTCAAGGGAGGCGTTCTAATCCAGCGACATAGCTGCACTCAACATCCAAGACCCCGACATCTACACATCACATGCAAGGGAGGGTCACATATACTTTTCCAGCACGTTGCAGGCATTCCTTGTTATTAGCAATCAGAATTATTACGACCTTGTTTGAGGGAATTATGGGGTCTGAATTTCAGCTTTGTCGCGAAGGGAGATAGGAGGCGTCAATTAGGTAGTCAGAGCGATATTAAGCAGATTGAGGGACTTTGTAAGCCCTCAGGAACTTGAGAGAGCTCCGAGGTGAATGGTCCTCAATCGTAGATATCAATGACCATGTCCGCCCGCGTCCCCTACAGCGACGCTATCCGCGTCGTAACTTGCCTGGAAGCACTGCCCGCAAAGGTCTCTCCGTCCTTCCCTGTCAGACATCTTTGAAAACAGCGAGGAAGCCGTCGGTCGTTTCCTCAGCTCCTCATTCAACATCCATGACGTCCATCTGAACGGCGTATTTTTATCGTCGTCGCCAGTCTCAGAAAGCTCTTCTGCCCAGTCCGAAGAACTGCTAATGCTGTTGTACGTGTGGTAGTTGCCCGTCTGTCGGGTGAAGAATGCGCCCATTTCCGCGACCGTCTTGCCTTTGAGGACCGTCACCATCTCAAAGAAGACGCAATATCGGGATCAGCTTTTGTACCGGACAACTTCCGGGGCGGCATTACCGTCTTGGATACGTCTCCGGCGTTTGCTTCGCGGGTTAGACGTTCCCAGTCATATGAGATGCCGAAGTCGGCAAGGGAGATGCAGGGTTCTTTTCAAAGACGAGTATGTTTAGTGGCTTGATGTCGCGATGTCGGACCTTGGAATCATGAACTTACTTGAAGCCTTTCGACAGTTAGCCGAAGAAGAGGCGTAGAGAGTATATCAAGCGAGCCTCTCATAGCTGTGAAAAAGGTGGCTAAGTTGCAGTCCGCGCAGCGTTTCCAACAGGAAGTAGTACGATTAATACTTTTGCTCCACCTACAATCACGTAAGGCAAACAAACGTAACTACATTTTTAACTGTTACAATTTAATTAATAAGGCTTAAAAGTAAGCAGTATATAATTAAGGTAGACTTTTTTAAGGTTGCAGTCTCTGACGCGTGTGAGGGCTAGGGGAGCGTGTTTGTGCCACTATTTACGTGTTAGTGTAGCCTTAGAGCTTGCCCTATACTACAACAACCTTAGACAACCTTATTATAGCAAAAGATAACAGTCCCTTGTATAGGGAGATAGCACAGAGCCTTTAGTAGGGGGAAAAGGACAGTTACTTGTAACTATAATTATCTTTTAGGCTCTATAATTAAAGCTTTACAACTCTAAAAGAACTAGCTATGTTATAAAGTTATTTTTAGTAAATTAAATAACCTTACATGCTATATTAAAAGTAAAAGGGACCCTACTACTTTAAAAGCTTTAATAGTTATGTTGTAACTTTTAGTAAAAAGTTAAGCAGTATAAGCAGCTTTAATTAAACTATAACTTAATTGTATTAACCCCTACTGTCAGGTAAAGCAAACAAAAGTATATGATAAGTAAGACGTAACTTGTCTAGAAAGCCTAAGTCAAATTGTACTACTTCCTGATGGAAACGCTGAGTCCGCGACAGGGTCCATGATTAGCGCGATGTACTTGGGGTCTGTGTAGATACCAACCTAACAGATGTTAGCCCTTGAAATGAACTCGGGCAATATCCGTGCTGTGGTAATGATGAGAGGTCATTGATCCCCAAATTTTGTGTTTAGGAGCCGGTTTAACTTACCGATTCAATCGTATGCTGTTAGCGAAAGCGTTTCAAAGTCTCACTCCGCCTCGATCACTTTGCTCCCGTCTTTCCCCCATAAGAAACTCTCCCCTTCCCGCAACCTCTTTCTACCGTAGGTCTTCACGGGACAGTGCTAACCAGTTTATTAACAGTCCCCTGAGAACCACCCTTAAGAAATCCTATCGTCTCACTCCGTGTCTTCGCGTCTGGCATGAAGTGCGCATGCAATCGCCCTGGGAATTTTTTGAACTAGAAGGCCTTTAATACCACGACCGCTTGAATTTACCATAAGCTTGAGCGTACAGATGGCGCAAGGTCTTGTGGACGGGAACCACAAATCGCTCAGTCCCTCGGTTAGAAAACGACCAAGCAGCTCTCCAACCCATTTCACTAAGCAAATTGAGTATCTCGCTAATACTTGTTACCTGTTAGTCTGTGAAAGGCTCTAAAGCTTAGCTAGTAAGGTTAAAACTTCTTCAGCGTATTCTTACACTTAAATAAAATTCTTTATTAACGTACACTATAAGCAAGTTGCTTACACACCTAAGTTACCTACTTTTACTAAAACTCTACTAAACTACTCTTTCTACACTAATACATTCTTAATAATACTACTTAGACATGCTAAAAGAACATTAAATATAGCTTATACTTTAGGCTTTTAAATAAGATATAACACTTTTAAAGTACTATACTATAGCTATATATAAAGTTTTTTAAAAAATAATAAATAACTAATACATTAAATAACTTTTATAAGCTAATTTTATAGCTAACTTATAAAAACTAAATAATAATAAAAAGTAAGTAACATACTTTACAGGCAAGTTGCTTACACACCTAAGTTACTTACTTTTACTAAGACCCTACTAAACTACTTTTTCTACACTAATAGATTTCTAATAACACTACTTAAATATGCTAAAAAAAATGTTAGATACAGCTTAGACTTTAAGCTTTTAAATAAAATATACAACTTTTAAAGAAATATCCTGCAGCTATATATAAAGTTTTTTAAAAAATAATAAATAAATATAGCACTAGATAACTATTATAAGCTAATTTTATAGCTAACTTATAAAAGCTAGGTAATAATAAAAAGTAGGTAATTATTAAGACTATACTTAAGCTATATATATATAAAGATTTTTCTTTTAAATAGCATTTATAGTTAATATAGCTAATTCTTTACATGCTAAGTATAATCTAGGCTATATTAGCATAAACTAGCCTAGTATGTTTATAAAGCGTTATTTAAAGCTTAAAGTAAAGTTTTAAGTATAAGTATAGTTAATAGATATTTAGCTTATAATAAAGCTTATTTTACTAAAGTTATATGTGTTATTATTTTAGATACTATACTTAGCTTTAATATTCTTTATAAGGCTAAACTTACTCTAAATTACCTTAGAACTTTTATAAAAAGCTTTTTTATAGTTATACTATACTTAAATATTACTTTAAGCTTTAGATAACACTTTTTAAACATACTAAGCTAGTTTATACTAATATAGCCTAGATTACACTTAACATATAAAGAATTAGCTATATTAGCTATAAATGCTATTTAAAAGAAAAATCTTTATATATATAGCTTAAGTATAGTCTTAATAATTACCTACTTTTTATTATTACCTAGCTTTTATAAGTTAGCTATAAAATTAGCTTATAAAAGTTATTTAGTGCTATAGTTATTTATTATTTTTTAAAAGACTTTATACATAGCTGCAGTGTGTTTTTTTAAAAGTTTTATGTCTTATTTAAAAGCTTAGAGTATAAGCTATATCTAATATTCTTTTAGTGTGTCTAAGTAGTGTTGTTAGAAATGCATTAATGTAGAAAAAGTAGTTTAGTAGAGTCTTAGTAAAAGTAAGCAACTTAAGTGTGTAAGCAACTTGCCTGTAAAGTACGTTAATTATTAAGCATATACTTAAGCTAGATATATAAGAATTTTCTTCTAAGCTAGTAACTATAGCGAATATAGCTAATTTTTTATACACTAAGTATAATCTAGGCTATATTAGCATAAACTAGCCTAGTATGTTTATAAAGTGTTATTTAAAGCTTAAAGTAAAGTTTAAGCATAACTATAACTATAAAAAAGCTTTTTATTGTAACAGCGTAGGCAAGAAAATAGGTTTTAATGTAGTAGAAATCTACTTAGAGGCATATAGAAGTGCGTGGGGACTTAATAACCTAGGAATTCTATTAACACCTATAGGCCTTGTACAAAAGGATATTAGAAAACTATTAAGCTAGCTACAGGGGAGAGGTGCAACTAAATACTTAGGGGAATAGAGGTACTAGCAGGGGGCAGGGTAGAGTTAGAGCTAATACAAGGACCCTTTAGATAGGTTCTAGGCAACCTAAGATAGAATAATTTATAAGAATTATTATATTTATAAGAATTCTAAAGTAATTTAAAGCTAGTTTAGCCTTATAAAGAATATTAAAGCTAAGTATAGCATCTAGAATAATATTATATACAACTTTAATAAAATAAGCTTTATAATAGACTAAACATCTACTAACTATACTTACACTTAAAACTTTACTTTAAGCTTTAAATAACGGTTTATAAACATACTACTTAAGTTTATATTAATATAGCTTAAATTATACTTAGTGTGTAAAAGATTAGCTATATTAGCTATAGCTACTAGCTAAAAGAAAAGTTCTTATACATATAGCTTAAGAATATGCTTAATAATTACTTACTTTTTATTATTATTTAGCTTTTATAAATTAGCTATAAAATTAGCTTATAAAAGTTATTTAGAATACTAGTTATTTATTATTTTTTAAAAAACTTTCTACATAGCTATAGCATGTTACTTTAAAAGTGTTAGATTTTATTTAAAAGCCTAAAGTGTAAGCTATATCTAAGTAGTGTTATTAGAAATGTATTAGTGTAAAAAAGTAGTTTAGTAGGGTCTTAGTAAAAGTAAATAACTTAGGTGTGTAAGCAACTCGCCTATAGTATACGTTATCCTATATATAGTATATAGATACTGTATTACAAGGTGTGTTATATTTCTAGTATAGAAACTTTCTTCTTTTATGTTTTAACAGCCCTTACTACTGTTACTATAGCTTCTACTACTTTTACTATAGCTTTTACTATTTTTACTATATCCTCTTAGCTATTGCTATAGCTCTTACTACCCCCTGCTATTATAGATGTAAATAAATACTCTGTAACAGAGCACTTATACTTAAGAATAATACACTTTACTTCATTAGCTTTCTACATAGCTGCATTCTTACACCACCTCTCTACTTGCAACACAGAGCCCCGTCCTGACATCGGCCCAACTAGACCGTCGTAACAACAGCTCTCTATAGTACAAACAGCTTTACATATAATATTTGTTACAAATAGGCAATTGCTAGCTTCTTCTAAAAGAATCTCTAGTTTCCATAAGGATCAAGTGGAGAAGAACAATACGCGAGGGTTGCTAAGAATTCAGTAGATTTTTACATACGCTAAATGTTTCCCACACCCACCTAACAAGCCGCCCTGGACCTAACCCTAAGCAGAGGCTACATCAAACCCCGGCTTAAAAAGGACCAAGATCGCAGTGACAACCTCGTAATATCCAACCATTGTATTTGCGAATACTCTTTGCAACGCATTGGGCATCCGGTCTCCTTTCGCGGCTTTTCTTCAACATGGGCGCAATACAAATGCAGTAGAACTCATCATCCGAGAAAAAGGCCTCAATCTGCTCCAACTTTCTACCGAACAGAAAGTCCTGTCGGGGTGTTGGCAATGTGATCGAGGTCTCATCGGAGCTATGTACAGGCGACGAAGTAGCAAGAAATTTGTAGTATTCTTCGATCGATTTCCTTCGCAGAACCGCCATCATCTCCGTGAAGACAGCACCCAGCGCAAATACATCTGTTCCGCGCCCATGTCGATTACGACAGTCGTCATTGTCGATAATTTCCGGAGCCGCGTACATGACAGATGATCGGGCAGGGTTCTCAGTGGATGTTGTCTGGCCGATTTGGAACTGTGATGCCGAGCTAAAATCGGTAAAGTAGATTTCGCTTTGTCGGTGGATGATATTGGAGGGTTTGATGTCTTGGTGCCGGACCCCCTGGCTGTGGATGTATGCCAGCGCTGAAGAGAGACACTTGAACCAGTTCATGAGCCATACTCGTCGGTCTTTGATCCATTCCAGAGTCTGTGTGCTTGCTGGATCCCCTACTATCTCCAAGAACGTTTTGAGATCTCGCTCTCCTACAGGTGCCATGAGGAGGGAGTAGAACTGGCGTCCAGTGCCGGTACTGGGTATCTCGGCGTAGCTGCCGACAATCTTGACGATGTGGCAGTGGGATAGATCCCGCAAGACTTGGGCTTCCTGCTTGATGATCTTGAGATATTGATTTCTCCTATTGTATGGAATCTGGACCCGTTTCCGAACAAAGCTTGGATATTCTGGCGAGACCCGGACTTCCTCAACTACGCCCAGAGATCCGTGACCAAGCGAATCAACAGTCTGGAGCAAACGCGCGTTGATCTCTTGGCACTCTTCATGCCCGTATTTCAATCCATATGCTTCAGCCTCCCACACCCGCTCGGCCCAAGCATTAGCTGCCGGTAATGGTGCGGGTGGAGCCGGGGGTACAGATAACAGAGGATAAGGCTGTTGACGAGGCAGCTCCATGGCTTGAGCCGCTTGACTATTTTCTTGTTCCATCTCCCTCTGCGCTGTCATAGTGCCCTGGCTATCTTCTCGCCTGCTAGTGCCCGCGCTGCTCGACCAATGTGTTGATTCCGAGGCCTCAAATGCTTGCTCCGGCGTTGTAGGCATGTTGCGCGACGAGGATTTGCTCGCTGGCGGCGAGAGATCTCTCCGTTTGCTTTGATCTTGCAGACCCCAAGGCATTATATGGTCCTTCTCTGGTGAACTCGTATTGAGCTCCATGCTCTCATCCATTATCGTATCGATAATTGTTGTACTCGAAAGGTGATTATTGTCTTGCCAGATATCATTGAAAGAACTTCCCAAGGAGGCCGAGGGCTCCATACGGGCGAGCCCGGCAGGATTGTCTAAAGGTCGCGCCATTAGCGCAGGAATTGAAGGCCATGACCATTTCAGCGTGTCCCTCTCCTCACCCTGCGCATCAATTAGCTTCTGCTGGCCGCGGTGCTGAGGATACGGAACTGGAGGGGGGGGTCGTGGGTCCAAAAAGGAATTGCGAAAAGAACGATGGCCGTTTTCCTCCGCACTCGAGTCGTTCCGTGGCGGAGGGGGCAGAGGTGGGAGCTTCTTCTGCGCTTCGGCACTCGCTGTTGTCCGAACCCCCCTACCGACTGTATATTCATTGTTCTTATAGAAATTAAGAATGTCTAAAACTCTCTTCAAACTCTCTTCGTCGTCGGGTTGGTGATTGCATAAAATCTCTTGCCACTCTTTAGGCAACCCAGAGTATTCTCCGGTTTCACAGTCGACAGCAACGTGCGTAATGTGAATTGGGTCTTGAGGGGGCGAGATTCGAAGCTTCCCTTTCCGCCAAAGTTCCCTAATCGGCATTCTGGAATACAACCAGAAATATCAGAGCCGTGAATGGTAAGCAAGGTTTGGCGCCGTTTCATCCAATCAGGACGGTGACTCAGTTCTACCATACGACGACGGCGACAAGAATCGGGTGAGTGCAACAACACTCCGCAAAATGCATGGAGACAGCGCACTGAGTTGTTTGAACAGTTAGCCCACTTTTGCTGGAGCTGGTGGTCAAAGTTGAGAAGGCTGAATTTCACGACGACCTGTGAAGGCGGGGATGCCTAAGCCTGAATAAACGGACGAGGCACAGCCACCGCCACATCGCTTCCCCCAGGCGGCTCAGCTCCTGGAAAGCAAAAGAGGAGGGCAGACTTTCGCGTATGAGGATTGATAACATTTTTGAGCCGTGACTATAGTCGAGAGTTATTCGTGGCACGCTATGTAACTAGGCTAAGCCACTAGTGGCTGTACCTCCCTCTTTACTATGGCTGCCCCACAGGCTCCCATTAATACAAACAATGCAACACACTTCTGCTGCGCCACCCTACCTTTCAGAACTTTTGCCGATTTGCTAGAATGCGCATGCGTCTTCTACTGTTAAAACAGGACGAAATAAGTCTTCTCGAAGAATCGTTGGATAAAATCCATGCCGATGAAACTCGCGACTTCCATCTGGGTTCCAATCGCCATGACTCGAATGCCGAAAGAAAAGAGGTGCTGAAGAAGTTAAAAGTATCTATCGAAGCGTACGGTAGTTCATCTCTTCCATAATTCCATTCCCATTATATAGCCATAACCAATAGCTCAGACTCAATGATAGATCAGAGCTGCCGAATGTTGTCCTTCCCGCAAGTCACTAATCGTGACATCAGCAGCCTGAAAAACTGGCTTGAATGTGTCGGCAGTATTTCAATGTACGAGACCACGTATTTGGACAACTATGCGGACCGATTAAACATTACTGGTTCATGAGATGATACCATCACCAGCATTAAAGCAACACTAGAAGACTGCCTCTCATGGATCGACCTTACATTGCCCAAGGTATATCATCCTCGTCGCCATAAGTTTTCAGGCCAATCGCCGTCACGCAAATGAACAGTCCATCTCCAAATGTCTTCCTAAACGCAAATCCTCCATATCGCAAGACAAGAACTTCTTATACTCGGCCCCAAAGCACGCATGTTGTGCAGGGTTTTACCAACCTGGCTCGCAACTACCCTACTCCTTATTCCAGTGATCATTCTTTACGTCGTCTCTAACCCAAAAGTGCGGCTTGCGATTATTGCACTAGCAGCCGAATTCTTCTTATCTAATGTGTCTGTATTCGCGAAAGCGCGAACCATCGAGGTTATATTGACGGGCGCCAGGTGAGAGAGTCCCTAATTGGCTCTTAACTATAGCTGAATAATAGGGGCGGCAGAGCGTAGGAGAGTAATGTAAGTCACTAGCGATTTGCGCTCTGCGTGGTAGCTTGGGAGGCACCCTGGCACAGGGATGTAGCGTGACGCACTGTTACAATAATAGTTAACTTAGAATTTTATAAAAAACATACTATTTTATAGCTACAGGTTATTTCTATATTCTATTAAATTCTAAGCGTATTTAGAAATGTAGTAGTAAAGTTATTATAAATCTAATTCTGTTCTTTAACCTCTTAAAGTAGGATAATTTACAAAGAAAATAACAAAAGTCCCTCAGACAGCTAACAAGAAAAACGCTAGCTACAGGGGTTAAAAACTGCTAACCCCAGGCCATACTCTGTGTGGAGTAGCGTCCTCGGTTCTCTCATCCCCCCCGGATGAGTTAGCTGAGACAATCACTTGGCTGAGCAAGCTGAGGCAACGGGTATTCCTCACAGGGTTTCGCGCTATGCTGAACACGGTTAGCCATTTATAACCCCACACCCCTGCCTAATTCCCGGTGCCTAATTCACGATTCCACGATTAAAGCTCTTGATATCTCCCTCCATCACCTTTCACTCCCCTTTCAAACAACGAATTTTCCAGCACATAGAGACTAATGTCATCACCCTTCACCCCCGAAGAAGGCGATGTTCGCAAAGCCCGCAACCTCCTCTTCCAACTCGGCCTTCCCACAGAACTCGTCCTCGAGATCCTGGACCACGCACGCTACTGGCCTGAAGTAACCCACCAATCCATCGCCGACTGCCACCTCCGCGATAATGACTGGACGCTGGCCTTTTCCGTTGCACACCTGTATTTCTTCTCTCAATTACCAGGCTCAGAGCATACCCAACCTGCCAACCAGATTCGCAAGATCAGGGAAATCGAATTCCTAATTGTAAGCCACGACCAAGGCTGGACGACCGAGGACACGAGCGGTACGTACGACACATCTTCATGGTTCGAGGCGTCAATTTTTCGGCCAAAGAGCTGTATGCCATCTCGTTACGATTCATTTGACAAAGGAGTGCGCGAGTTCCTGGATTGTGTTCACAAGAAAGACGTCTGGACGGATCCGGAAAGGGCAGCACTGGACTTTGCGGATTGGGGGTGGAATATGGTGCCGCGGCCTTCTGGGGATATGGAGCCGCAAAGATTGCATTGTCCTGAGATGGCGAAAATTGTCTATGCTGAGGGCTATGTGCCGGCGAGTACTGAGGAAGGGAGGCTGGCGTGGTGGTTGCAGGGGAATCAGGTTGCGAGGGGGACGGAGGTGTTTGATGGGGACATGGTGAAGAGGTATCGGGTAGTTTGGGGTTGTAAGAAGAATCCGAGGTGGCAGGGGAATGAGGGGGCGGGGAAGGGAGACGGGTTTGTGGATTCCTTGAGGACGGGAGATGTTGTTGGGGTGTGGGTGAGAGCGAAGGTATGATTTTTCTGTTCTAGGAGAAGCATCTAAGAGCTACCAACTAACACGTATATTTAGCGGCGTGGCTGGGAGAATCGCGTTTGCGGGGTGCGTATGACGCTGCGGTATACTATAGGAGCCTAAACTATCTGCACGAATTATGCGGCACTACCCAGGGTCACCTCTATGTCGCCTATGGTCTTGTCACTTTCTTAAGCTATTTCAACACAAGACTGCGCAAAGGTTATATCGCTTCTTACTTTAGTGACCAGGAAGTTGATGGATCTAAACTTACCCGACAAGTCCAGCCCGACACCATAACGGGTAATACAGTCCAAAAAATCATCGCTGATCAATGATTAGGCAGCAGATATTTCTATTTTAATAGTTGTTATTGTTTCGTCCAAACCCCACAGGGAATATCCAAGGGCTCTAAGATTAATTTGAGAATCACTGCTATGGTTATAGTGCTTTTTTGCGCTGTTCGCTAATAACTACGACTTTACTGTAAACACTTATGTACGGGAAGTGCAATTTATTCTATGAAAGATACTCTCACTGACCGTGTGGTTAAGCTACGCGTAGATTCGTAGTGAGATCTAGCGAGAAAGAAACTCGCAGGGGCGGAACTAGGAACCGGTTGGTGAAGGGAGTTCCATGGTTGGGTAGGGTTTCGACAGGAGAGAATTAAATATATTTTCCTATACAAAGAGGAGTGTTTGATGGGTGGTTTAAGTCGCATATATCTGGATTCTATGGTAAGCTGTCGGGACGATGGAGTAGTGCGTCGAGAGACTTTGTTGAGTAGACGAGATCAATCCAATGTCCTGGGCACACAGTCGTGATATGTATACGATATACATCCGTAATATTAAATTAAAGCCTAGCCCGTAAAGCTGTTCACGTGGGTGATTGGGAAGGTGAGCATTCGGTTCAATCTCAACGCCACAAGTGGCTTGAGCTATCGTGGCGTCAGGCCTCCGGTTTCAGTCCGCGTGTCTCACCAAATGAAGCCTTCACATCACGCAACCAAGAGTTCATTCGCTGTATATACATAGAGATTATTGACCGTCGTTTCCACAGTCTCTACTCATCTCATCCTCGTCCTTGCCCCTCCATATCCCATCCTCCCCTATTCGCTCAGTCTCTCTCGCCATGCTCGACTCCCTGCCCACGCCCTCGCGCGACCTCGAAGCTCTCGCACAAGAAGAAAAGTCCTTCACCTTCGCGCATTTTACCTGCGAACATGCCTGGGTAATCGGAAACATCCTCCGCAACGCCCTTCGCACCGCCGACGCCTCCGCTATAATCCACATTTCGCTTGCCTCATCCATAACCCTCTTCCACTCGCCTAGCATGCCCGGCATGATGCCGGACAACGAAACCTGGGTGTCGCGGAAACGCGCGACAGTGCTTCGCTGGGGGCATAGCACGTGGTATATGCAGTGTAAGTTTGATGGGGATGAGGACGCTTTTGCGGGGAAGTATGGGCTGGGGAGTGAGGAGCGGGGGAAGTATGCGATTCATGGGGGTGGGTATCCGATTTTTGTGAAAGGGGTGGAGGGGGTTGTGGGGTGTATTGTTGTCAGTGGTTTGAGGCAGGAGCAGGATCATATGGTGGTTGTGAAGGCGGTTGAGGAGTATAGGGAGTTAAGGGATGGGTTTAAGAGTCCTATGAGGAGTATGACAGTAAAATGATGGATGTATTCTGAATGCGAAGAGGTGGTGGGAGGGTAGCTGGATAGGTGTGCGCCGGTAGCGGGGATGTCTATGTCGAAGGCGGATTAGGAAACTGCGTCCCATGTTGACGACGGTCAGTCTTTGCTACTCAGGGACGACATACCTAGCTTGGCCCCACCCGCCCTCACCAACCTCAAATAAATACCCTGCGACAGTCGCTTCGCGTAGTGTTGGGAGCCCGACAGTAGAATTCGTCTCCGACTTCACCCAATCTGTGTATCATCAACTGAAGAAGCCCGTGCTTCGGCGAAACCGCAACTCTGCTCTCATCATCACGGATTCAACCATCTCGCCATCAGCATCCTCGACATTCAAGAAGTAATTGCTGCCGGCATGGCATTGGGTTGACCGCTCCTAACCCCCACCACCTACGTAAGCTGCTCGAATTCGCGAGGTGTTGGTTCCGCCCGAGTCGGAATTGAATTTCCTGGACGTTGGCCTGTATCTATGCTCGCGTTCTTCATGGAAACTTAACAGGTTGACTGCTCCTATCATCAGCTCTGGAACCTGGGGTATTTCATGGCCAAGGATCGCGAGAGTCATGGAAAGTGGTGCTGATATTGACGAGTCGGCCTTCGCATAGAATGGTGCTGTGGGAAAATCTAGAATCCATCCCAGTCATGATTGCGCCGGGATTTTGGAAGCGGAAACGGGAGTGAGAGGCGTGGCGGCCATCTCAAAGCGCCTAGTGTAGCGCGTTAATTTCACCTTAGGGGCGTTATTGAAATTGATCTGAGGGACGGTACCGTGGCATTGCGTTGGGCTGTGTTGTGGAATAATCTACGGCTGGGACTTTGAGGCGGCGCACCGAGTATACTAGCTATTTAGACGGGTATTGTCACTCAGTCTCTAGGACTTCCAACTCCCCGTTGGTATTCACAATGTCTATCAATGCAGTGGGTGTTTCGCATTAGTCATTCAGCAGTGGCTCCCCCAGATCGGGGACCCGGTTGATGCGTTGGCAGGAAAGCTTCTTTGAACGTCAAACACTTCGTCTGGCGTCCCAACACTCTCACCATGCACCACTCACCGCTCTCTTCTACGCCGTCAATCTGGACGCGGAACATTTTCGGGAAGATGTACGACCAAATTGCTGTCGGAGATTTTGTGTGCGAGCTTATGCACGTGATGCTGCACACTGCAATGCAGCAGCCTGCAGGCTTGGCTCCGAGTCGATCTTCGAGTGGCGCCCTGGGCCCGTGTATGACAATCTCCACCGCAACGAGGGCGAGCGGCGAGAGCGTACCGTGCAACCAGCAAATTTGATCATTGGCGGTCTTTTTTTCTTTCTAGAAGACTCTGCCATCTCTCGTGATTCAGATTCGACAGCCTGCGCAACGCTGCGCATCCGTTTGCACAGTACTCCCACGTCGCAGACGCGCACATCGACGTCCGACGCTCGACGACGGCGACGACGACAGTCCCGATCCACGATAGCCGTTGAACGAGCATGTAGCTGCCCAACATGGCGCGCTCCCCCTCCCGGTCCAGCGACGGCGGCAACTCTGAGCACCACGTGCGCTCTGAACCGCGCCTGCTCAAAGCAGTCGAAGACAACAATCTCTCCGACGTCATCGCCATAATTGAGGCCGCGAAAGCCAGGAACCAGCCCTCAGACCACCTACTACGCATCGGGCTCACGCGTGCCTGCGAACGCGGGAACCTGAATGTCGCCGAATACCTGCTGAAGAGCGGCGCAAAGCCAGATGGCACGCCAGGCGGCCGCTTGAGTCCGTTGTTGCGGGCAGTGGAGAAAAATTTAGTCGCCGTCGTGAAGCTGCTCGTGAAGTATGGTGGGAATGTCGATGTTTGTGATAAGCAGGGCCGCACGGCGTTGATGACTGCTGCGTGGAAGAATCATTGGCATGTGTTGAACGAATTGCTGAGACATGGCGCGGATGTTAATAAGCGGGATAATGCGAAGCGCAACGTATTACATAATCTCGCAGCCGACAAACATTGTAATTGGGGTGCGGATGTCATTGAGTTGTTGCTGAGGCAGAGTGTCGCCATTGATGGGCCTGAGGGCCAGGATGAGCTGAAGAGGAGTCCGTTGCATTGGGCGGCGGTCACGGGGAAGAGGGGGTTGTGTGAGATGTTGCTGATGAGACCTAGGCTGCCGAGAGCGAATGTGAATGCGGTTGAGATAAGGGAGAAGACGAGTCTGCATTTGGCGGCCGCGCATGGGAGAGATGATATTGTGGAGCTGTTGTTGCGGTACGGCGCGGACATTAAAGCAAAGAGCGACGGGTCCTGGACCCCGCTCCATAATGCCTGCGAACACGGGAGCGTGAATATTGTGCGGACACTGCTGGCGGCCGGCGCGGAGTTGAATGCAAGGCTCTTGAACGGCATGACGCCTCTGCATGTTGCTGCCCAAGCCGGACACCTCGAGGTCGTCCAGTGCCTGCTCGAGCGCAAAGATTTGAAGCGTGCGGCAAGAGACACGTTCGGCATCACGCCATTCCTCCGAGCAGCACAGAACAAGAGGAAGGATATTGTTAGCACCCTCGCGCCTTTCAACCACGTTGAATCGCTGAGTGAGGATGCCCTGGGCGCTTGCAATGGCTTCAATGCGACCATCGTCGATTTCGGGAACTTCCATAACGAGAACAGGGTTAAGAGACGGACAGTATACGAGTTGTTGTATGGCCGTGACACCATCAATCCTCGGAAACCGGCGGTCACAATTCTACCCAAGGACTCAAAGGCTACCAATTTTAGATGGATACACCTTCCCGCGAATAACATGGCCTGGGTGGAGGCTCTCCTCACGAAGGCCTTTATCGAGGAAGGTGCAAGCGATGTTGAGGGCTTCAAGGCATTGGAGAGGTCATTCAGCCATCAACACCGTGGGCAACAGATTCATTCCCATTTCATGCGACCGCTTTGTCAGAGCACGCCCAGGGCGCCGAGACATGCTGATGACTCCGATTTCTCAGGGACAGAAGGCGAGCAGGTTGCACCCCAGATAATCATCAATGGGAGCTCTGGGCTTGGAATTGACACAACGGCTGGCGCTCAAGAGAAGATACCCCCAAAGACGCCTGCAAGGACCAACACAAAAGGCACAGATCAGACAGACTGGACCGCAGGATCAGGCTCGGGGACAGGAAAGGAGCGTAAAGAACACGGAAAAGGGAAAGAGAAGATGAAGAAGACACCGAAGGCGAGCAACATCAAGCATGGGAAATCTGGGGGGACTGATACCCCAACCCGGCATTCTGATCATCATTCAAGACGGAAGACTAGTCAGTCTATCCCCGAACACAAGCATTTGAGATCCCCTGGCAGTCCAGGGCGAAAAGATCCCACACAGGTAGCAAAGGGTAATATTTTCACTTTCATGCCATACTTACATTTCGAAACAAACCGCCGTCGTCAGGAAATGCAAGATGCCATCGGCCGCGCCCAGAAACTTAAAGAGAAGGATCGCCACGATGGGCGTCCCGTCAAACCCACCCTACACCGCGCCACCACATACGACGAAATGCTGCTCCGGGCCCATCTAACCTCATCCACAGTCTCCCTCCATGTACGACGAACACTCGACCAATTCTTTTACCATAACATTGACACGCAATCCCGCGACCAGGATCAAGTGGTCTTCCGCTACCAAACCAAAGGCCTCTCCGCCGAGGAAAGTGGCGTAGATCCTAAAATTTTCATGGTCGACCAACTGTGGATGTGGATCCTAGGTAAAGACCTAATTGTGACGTCCTTCCCACAACGGTGGCAGCAGCCCAAAAACGATCCCCTCAATGTGCTCGATGGCATCATCGAGGACATCAACTCTAAGACCCGGGACCCTGTGCGTAGCGTCTACGATCTGGCCATTATTATAACGAGTAGATGTTCGGGCGTGTTTGACAGACATCGCATGGGCGATGAAGACTACCAGTTCTTGGATATGTTCGAATCCTCGATCGGAGACGCGACCGATCGTGAAACTTTGCTGTTCAAAGAATTCAACACCGCATCTGCGCAAGCCTCAGCATGGCTACAACACCACCGACGTCCGAACCGCTTCTCCCAACACCTGGAGGCCGAGGGCCGCAATATAGAGCACCTAAATCGCCACTCCAGCCCTGGGCACTCGCACGCGCATACACTCAAATCCCCTCCAGTTAAGGAGGAAAAATTCCGCTATGACGACGGACCGATACACGCACCGCTTTTCGTGGATAAGTTGCTGGATATTGGGTCTGAAACTGATCTTCTTGCCGAAACGAAGGATATACGTGATGAGCTGAACATGATCGCGAAGGTCCTGGAGGACCAGCGTTCCGTACTACCAGACCTAGAATCGAGTATCACAGACATCTATCGTGAAGAGCACAAAAGCCAAACAGACCTAAAAAAGCGGTTTCGGGAGCAACTTAAAACTATCGATGTGCATCTGAAAGATATCGATCGCATGGATAAACAAGCCGAGCGCATTTACAAATCGATAACAGATCTCTTGGACTTAAAACAAAAACATGCTAATGCCTTTGAAGCCCGATTCACTCGCGACCAAGCCGCTGGAACCGCTAGGCAATCGCAAACTATTATGGTTTTCACCATTGTCACCATCATCTTCCTACCCCTCTCCTTCATCGCCGCAATCTTCACAATCAACATCCAGGAATTCCAGCACGGAAACGGAAACCAGGGCTTACCATTTTCGTATGTTGCCAAGTTTATGTTTGGGATTGGTTTCGCGATTTCGTTACCTCTCATTGGTATCGCAGTGTCTCTGGACGCTATCGGCGATTTCTTCCGCGAGTTTAAGAGACGTTGGAGGGAATGGCGCAGGAGAGAACATAAATCTAAGCCCGGTGTTGGGAGTGGTAGCAGCGGAGATAAAATGGATCCCGACATCGAATATTCAGTTGATATGCGCGCGCTAGAGCAGGCGCTTTCGGCCGGCAGGAGTACAAGGGGTAGGAGGAGTTATGAATCGGGGTATTTGGGAGGCGCTTTGTTGCCGGTTACGAGTCGGGGGACTGTAAGCACGGGGAGGGTGAGGAAGATAGAGGGAGATGGAGCGGGTGGTGGAGGCGGGTTAAATGGGAATGGAGGTGTGAATGGGAGTGTGGGTGTGGTGCCTATACCTGTGGTTGAGAGAGTAAGTACCGGGTTTAGGATCAGGAAGAGTGCGGACGTGGAAAGCGGCGTTTAAGAGATGTGCTCTGATATTCAAAATCATCCGGTGCGCGCGGCGCACCCAGGCTGGCATTAGTCCTGTACACGGAAACGCATGGTATAAAGGGAGGCACCAGGCATGCGCTGATCGATTCTCCCCTGAGACTTCTCGTCTTCGCAAATTTATACCTTTACATCGTCACCGGCGTGAAGCGTTTCGCGGCGTTTCTCTGTAAGTATATTCCTAGTTGCGATTGGAGGGAGCGTTGGGTGGAAAGCGAAAAAATGCTACAGTATTCACGCCGTATATACCCTCTTCTAGGTCGTTTTCATGGTAATGAAATAAGCATATGACTTCCGAGTTGGCACATTCCTCCGCCACTTTCTGCGTGGCTAGTAATTATTGCCTTGATGATTAAATTTCGTTGCACGCCGTGCGAATCTTTGGGCACGAGTGGCTATCTGTCAACTCTTCATTCATTCATTCATTCACTTGTTGACTCTTTGCCGCAGAAAATTCCTTCCGGCTTAGAATAATTGGAGGTGACTGTAGCAATATGCTAGAAATTTACCTTTCTTCTCAGATGTCGTTTCTTCATGAACATGCGGCCAATGATAAATGAGCCATCAAAATGGATTTTTAGAATAGCGAAAATAATAGAGACTAGGACACGATTCGTGGAGGCTCCTTGGCACCCCTAGGAGATCTGGTCGCTGCCTGGCCGTTGCGTCTTTGGCATTGACTACGATGACCGCAACCTTGGTAGTGATAGAATTGAACCCGCTCCGACACTCCGAAAGCTGTTCACTTGATCGATTTCTGCTTGTCCTCGCCGCCTTCAATGCTACTTTTGCCGCCGGCTTCTGCATATCCCCTACCAGCATTCGTTCCCACCACCCCGATTGTAGCCCAAAACTTACTAAAAAGCCCTCAATTGGCGACCGCGCTAGCCACAAAGTCTCCCTAATGCGTGCGCCTCTCTATTTCTCATTTCACCCTAGTCCCAGGACAGCCGACTGACCGAACGCCGCATCCGCCAACTCAATGGAGCACTTTGTAACACCTACGTTTCCCCCAGCAGAGGACAATTCGCTAGTCTAGCGTTCACTCGCTCGCTGCAAGGATGTCACTCCGGCTCTAGCGAGTACATGACTGGGGTTCCAGACCAGGGCAATGTAGGCGACGTCGTTTTCCGTTAGTGGAAGCGATTATCCAGTGCGTGTCAATTATTGGTGGACGACTGCCGCCGCTCTAGAGCCAGTCCCTCTTCGCTACGTCAGGCGTTGGTGAATCGCGATCGCCCCGAAAAGGCGCTACAGGGTAAGGAGGATTTGGGGTGGTGAAGATCCTGGGAAGGGGAGGGTGGTTTAAGATTTACGGTGGGGTGCCGTGATCTCTCATTCCTGCCTACCACACAGAGAGAAACGGACGCCGGTTTAGAATTGCGGATTGATTGTACGGCGAGGTCGGCTATGGGGCTGTTCGCTAAATGATCCGCGGGTAGATGCACTAAGATGGAGAGTGTGCCACTGGATGGTGTGGTATCGGGCATGTGTAGTTGATGCCCTATTTTGACGAGCGCTGCTTGGAGAAACGTCGCTAGAGTTCCTGCCTGATGGGGTAGACCTTAAGTGGAGGAAATCACACTTAATAACTAGTGATGAGATCCGGAGGTGATCACCTGTCTGGAGGGAAGACACGATTCGCGTGGCATGGGGCTCCGTACGAGACTTCCATTTATACTGTTTATTTACTAGCAGGTTGAGGAAGACGATGTGTTTCCCTATCCTCGTTCTCCGCCTTCTCTCTACCCTTTTTGTTTACATAAATCTCATGGCAGCGAACCCTCATCCATCGGTGGTCAAGCTCCTCTTTAATTGCCCAGCTTTCCCGCATTTGTCCACCACTCTGGAGTATTTGCGCAACCTTTGCTGTCCAGAAGCTCGGCAGCGTCCTAGATATCTTAAATACTGAAGAGTAACGTCCACCGTATTCTATTAAAAAGGGTTGTCAACGTCAGGGTTGATTTTAGGCGTCGACGCTATCCATTTTTCTTGTGAGATTTGTTTAGCGATGAAGGTTTGGTTGGATTGCAATGGGAATCAATATGCGAAGTGCTCTGTCAACGAGAACCTGTAGTGTATTGAACGTTAGCTTTCTATCTAAGCCTGCTTAGGCGCGTCGGTGCCCGTGTTGCTCTTACCTATCCTCCAACATTTCATTTGTAATGATAGATTCACTCAGTGGACGTGACGCCTAGGAGGTTTGTCGAACCTTGTCATCGTCCAAAAAAGGTTTCAACTGCTCTTCTACCAGCGTTCCTTTGAGAGGGAACAGAATTTTGCCATTACCGTTGAGGCTGACGTGGAAGCCTGTTGCACAGAGAGTGGCCAAGCCCGGGGCGAAGACTGCCACTACTTCAGTATCACTGGGCTGCCCACCGAGGGTGGTGGTTAGAATCTCCAGTTGGATTTGGCATTTCCTGTTCCGGATGGTTGCCAGATCCTCCAAGAATTCGGTTATATTAGAATGCAGGCCCTCGACTGATCCTTCTGCCCCTTCTACTTCCTCTAGGTAAATGAGGACTTTGACTCTTCGTATCAAATCTCCCGGAATAAGTTCTGTCTTGAAAAGCGTGTCTTGGGTTAACAATTGTTGCAAATCATCAAGGGAATCGCTGTCAAAGCAAATTTGGTCGGCTGTGTAATAGGTCTCGGCCAACTCTGCAACAAATGCCTTGCCGACAAAATCCGGGTTACAATAATGATAGCGGCGAAAATTCAATATTGGGTTGCCGTAAAACATAAAAAAGCGATCCTCGGACCGGATAAGTTCTTCATACACCTGGTCGCGAAGCTCTCGAGGCAAATTCGTAAAAATAGTTGCGCAGATTTGAGCGCAGGAAGCTCTCGCATAGCTTGTCACTACTTCGCTTAGGATCCTTGAACAATTAGTACGTCCCTAGTTGACAGCAGATATCGCAGACTCACACTTTCTGGTTCGATTGAAGCTCAATTGAATCGCTGCTGATGGCTCGATACTTCTGGATGGCTCTGCAAAAGAGATGAGTACTCGCACGAGTTAATGAGCGCAAAGGAGGCCAAAACGAACTGAATTAGTTCCTGTTCGGCTTCGATCATCCGCTCTCGCTCGAGGCCAGCGGTGTCAGGGATATCGCGGCAACCCATTAGTTCCATCCTGTCCTTGAAAGATGGAAGTCCGAAATGGGTTGAAGGTGAGTGGGAAAGCAATAATGATGGAAGTGAGGTAATGGTAGAGTTTTGTTTTTGGTGGCTTGGGAACTTCGGCTCTGTGATGCTGCTGTGCGCTAACCCAGTTGGAGGTAACACGTGACATATTCCCTCGATGTACGCAGGCTGAAGAACGGCTTGATGTTGTATTTTCTATATTCCCAGGTATATACCCGAAAACTAACTATTCATCGAGACTCAGATTTGGTCTCTTGGGTGGCTGGTGTTGATGAGTAAACCATGACTCCCGTGTTCGCGAACATGGAAAATAGCCTCAATGAAGAGGCTCAATGCCTCGTAACAATGATGAGTCAGGTCTATTTCCCAAATTCCCGTCATCCGCTCATCCCATACCCTCTTCCAGCGCTCTGCGTTTCCACTCGTTAATCCATCGATCTAACAAAACAAATTGTGGCGGATATTATGGCTGCTGCTATCCATGAATCGCAACAATACGCATTATCTATTAAAAAATCGGCAGTCTTAACAGGTTTATTTGCACGATCAACTGAGTGCTGGTCCTTACACCCAAATGCTAAAAGAACTATTCAAACTTATTTTTATCATCCAAATTGGGTGGGTGAACCGCGAAGGGACAATATTGAGGCCTAATACGAACTCCGGAGGTTGATAGGCACACAGTTTCCATGACACGGGATGGGCATCACAAACAATTAGAGCAATACGAGGGGAGTGGTAAGAATGGATAGAGAAAAGTTGGATGAATGATAGGTTAGATGAAGGAGAGGTTGGATGAATGATAGGTTAGATGAAGGAGAGGTTGGATAAAGGAGAGGTTGGATGAAGGAGAGGTTGGATGAAGGAGAGGTTGGATGAAGGAGAGGTTGGATGAAGGAGAGGTTGGATGAAGAAGAAGTGGAATGAAGAAGAGATGTGTGGGGATGAGGGAAGAGGAGCTATATATTTGGTTTGTTCTTCATTCATGCGCATCTTCGCACTTCCTCTAGACTACAGCAGATCTAAAGAAACGTATGGCAAATGTGAGTGTCTGGGAAGATGTTAATGGCAATGCTACAAGGCAGCAAGGCGAATGGAATGAACTTCTGGTTCAATCTTCCCTCGCGACTTTACAATTTAATAGTTTAATCAATGTATTTAAATGCTGCACACATCTAATAACTTAGGTGCTTAGTGTCTTTATCTCACGAGTCATACCCTCTGCAAGATGCACCGTGCGTCAGCAATAGATAATATCTACCAATTACCCTAGCACAGCGCTATGCCACGCTACGCTTGGTAAATAACTCTAGAGGGTCTAAGGAGATATAGTTAGAGCTTTAGTATTTTTCAACTTCTTTATTAGGCAAATTTTCTTTACTTAACTAACGTACTTTTTTATTTTAACAAACCTCTAACAGCTTGCTGTTTAAATAGAAGCTTACCTAGGGTTTAAACTATTTTGCATTTACAATTTTGCTTAAACCTTAAAAAGGTACGAATAATTAACCAACAGTTGATCTGCGTACAGAATAGTATATATACCTGTCGCGCGTAAGGACTGTAGTACAAGCAGCTTCTAGCCTTGAAGTGCATTATGCTTTGTAAGGACTAGCGGCCTTACAACTACTACATTAGCTAGAGGAAAGTTAAGAGCTGAAGCTAATTTACCTACTTATATATAATTAACTTACTCTCTTAGCTTGCTTCTAGCTGCTCTAGTAGTTAAGTTGTATTAAAAAATGAATTAAGTGTAAAGCGTCTTAGAACTAGCTTTAGCTATGTACTTTACCTTTAAGTTATAAGTTTAACTCTTTTAAAATATAGTTACTATATAGATTAGCTACTTAAGTGTTAATTACATTTCATAAATATTTATTTTAACCTGTTGTAGGTAAGACATTTTTAAAAAGAGTTGAAACCTAAATAGAGATATATATAAATTTACTCTATTTTTTTAACGCTTTGTAAAGAGGTTTAAAAAGGTAAAATTAGTAGCTATAGTACTGTAGTTAGTTTAGATAAATCTTAGTAAAGTGTTTAATCTATAAGACAATAGTGTCTTAATAGTTAGTATATTAAGTAAAAGTTATCTAGTACTATAAGTAGATATAGTAGCTAAGTATAAGCACTTAGAGGATAACTTATAATATAGTATTAATATAAAAGAAAATTAGTTACTTATAAACTATAGTTTAAGTGTTAATAAGGTATAAAAGCTATAAAATTCTATATATAAGTAATAGAAACTTTAATAGTTAGTAAAGTATTTAACTTAATAACAACTAAAAAGATAGTAGTTAACTAAGAGGTCTATATATGCAAGAAAAGAGGTAGGTCTTGGCAACATGTAACTGTTGTGTGAGCCATGCATGACTACTGCAAACACTTCTTCTAATATTGCTTACATAACTACTAGATGATTCAAGGGTTTGAGTCTTGTCGGGGCTCTAGCCCTTAAGTGCAAGGTAGATGCACGACTACGCAGCAATATCGATTTGATATATTTGGTCGCCGCTAGGAACATGAACTCCTTCTTGATACTCAAACACTCTAAGGAAACTGTCACACCCGTCATATACCTGTGAGGAAGATATGGCTGGAGGCACTTACCCGAAATGAGAGCACCGCGTTTGGTAGATAGGCCAAGAACAACTTTCAGTCGGCTTTGTAGAAACACGTCAGCCTTATCTCTGGGATAGGTCATCGGTTGTAGCCACGTCAAAATTTGCCCGAATTCCACTCACATCAATAATGAACAACCACCTCGACAAGTTGTCTCCGATGAAGTGCACCTTGACTGTGATTGTTACCAGCCTTAGTGTCATCAACGCAACGCAACGGGATGAGTACGAGGACTAAGCGCTTAATATTCGGGATTTGGAACTAAAAGCCCAAGGACTATAGCTCCTGAAAGGGCAGTGAGCTTTCATTGCTCTTGGAGTGAAAGTCCATTGGTCTTCGTAGAATCTCTATTCATTCATGAAGTCACTTTCCCTTCAGTAGTAACTCTTTCCGCGAGTACTTTCATCATGTCTATTCTTAATTCTTTATTTCTATCAATAGGGTTTAAGAATCCAAATTTCCCGGGCTAAGTACTTCCACAATTTGGAGTATTACTTGCATCTGCAACGCCAAGAAATCTATCTCCCTCACATCTAGCTCGCTCAACTTTGTTATCTTCTCCTTGACATTGCCAACTAAATTTTCAAATACGGATAATTGATTCAAATTATTTCGAGCTATATTGTTCCACAACCGAGAGCGCATATTGTAGGGCTGGAGCCTGAGAAGTGCCAAGGCTTACTCGCCGTAATGCTGTACCTAAAAATACTCACCGCCAAAGTCCGTATTCACGAAATTCACTTTCATCAACACCGTGTTCGGCCTTCATCGTGTAACATTTACTTGTAAAGAAATACATGGAAGATACCTACATTGAAAGCTGTCGACAGCGAGTATGCGCGTTGGTAACTCCCGTCCGCAATTTGGTGAATGCTAACAACATTCACGCAGAACTGCTCGAAGGGGTATGGGTGTGATGATTAGGTAGACGAACACGATGATCTGGTGATTAGGGCTTTGCTGAGTCTTGAGCTAGGAAGAGAAATCTTCAACGGGAATTTGAAAGACGAAAGTTGGAGGTTGATCGACAGATCGCAAACCTCGAAAGCGACGGTGATGAACTAGAAGAACAGAAGTCGACATTAGAGCTAGAAGGTTTACTCCAAGTCCCTCGGGAAGAACACATTTGGGAACGGTCAGTCCGCATTTACGATTCGCAATTAATACTTATGGCTGGCAGCGAGTTAAGAGCAGATATCGAACCCTACGCGAAGGCGATTTGTCTAAAGCTCGCCGCCGCCTTCTACGTCACTCTACCTCGCGAGATTCGCGACCTGGTGTATTCATATCTCACGAACTCAGGGAATAACACCGACCACGTGATCATTGTATGTGATGGTAAACCATCATTTCGAAATCGCTCGTATTGCGGTCGAGCAGATACTCGGACCAGCAAGGACTCATTCTGGGATATCTCTGTTCTGGAGTATTACTTAAATTCAGAATATATGGGTCTAGCGGTCGCGAGGGAGATCGCAGAAGCATACTACCAGACAAATACCTTCTATTTCGACTACCATGACCTTCCCCTCCTTCACAAATTCCTGACATTGGACCGCTTCGGGTATGGTCTTGTTCCTGCGGGCCTGGTTCGGTATCTAGATATCGTATTGGATGGAGACTATGGCTGCCCTTGCAATAGCAGAGCTCTTTGCCACTGCGATGTCACTCAAAATGCTACAATAACACCGGACAAGGCGATACGATTGATTTTAGAGCAATTGCTCATGGTCAAGACTAGACAAATCAGTCTCAGGATAACAGTATACATCATGGACGGGCTCATGAAGGTGAAAGAGTTCGTGGGAATACTGCATATCGTCTTTCCTATAATTTGCCGGCTTAAAGAGCACGGTTTTCGGGTGACTTTGAGGTCGTATACCAATCGTAGCCGGGAGTGGACCGTTAAGGATTCTAGTGAGCATCCGATCGATCAAGTTTTGGGGGCGATTAGAGAGGTGAGTCTATATATATTAGAGGGTTGGCAAGAGCCGTCGGTTTGGGGGCTAATATATGGGATAGAAGTTCATCGACATCTTGGATAGCTCTTTGAGTAGCACGCATTACTTGTTAGCGAATGAATTCGACACACATTTCTCGTCATAATCGACGAAAAGGAACACCGGGTGGCAAGCACAATGGAAAGATTCCGTAAAAGTTAATTCTATCCGATGCTTCAAATCACATTTCATATAGAAACCGTAGTCCAAAACAGTCAGCCGAATCCTTTTACTATCCCTCCCATTCTACAACCACTATCCCCAGCTGACTCCCCACCGGTCTTCTCACATCTACAACCCTAAATCTCTCATCCGCCTCTTGCACTAACTCCCTCCAATCCGTCTCATTCCTCTCCTTCGCATTAAATAATACCTTCATCACCATATCAAACAACTTCACCGGCCTTTCCTGATACGGTGTCAGCACCCCAGGCTCCGGCACTACACTGTCCATAAGCACAACCCTCGCACTCTTCTTCAACGCTGGAATTAGATTCCGCAAGATCTTGACGCAATACTTGTCACTCCAATCGTGGAAAATCCAGCGATAAAAATACACATCTGCATCCTTAACAGGCTGTTCGGAGAAGAAATCATGGACCTGGAATTCCACTTGTCCTGGTTTCGCATCTTTTGGTGCATCCGCGATGACTTCTGGTCGGTCCTGGACAATGACTTTCATCGCAGGAAATATGTTCGCCAGTGAGAGGGCTATGCTGCCGTGGCTGCCGCCGACGTCGACGATGGTGCCGAAAGAGTGTTGGCTCCAGTCATATCCTTCAACCGCGTGCACGATACTCATTTGCGGCATGTTTAAAAAGAAAGTCATCCCGTCGGCAAAGATCTTCGCCTTTCTCCCATCTTTCGCAAGTTCCTCAAAAAAAGCTGAATCTGTGTTATGTGCAAGACTAAACGCTGTCTCGTTCGGCTCCTGGGATGCCGGCCACCTTTCCATCATGTCGACGAGCCGGGATGCGCCGGGCCACATGGTGTTTAGACCGGAAAGCGTCCACTCGCGCAGCCAGGGGACAACGGCAAGTGCTTTCGACGTTGCTGAATGCGCAATCACGCCTCTTTCGGGTTCTTTGAAGAGGTGATGTGCGATACCGTGGCGGATCACGCGTTCGGCGTCGGAGGGGTGCATGTTGGATGCCTTTGCAATCTCGGGGATTGTGGAGGTTGAACCGGGAGGGAATGTTGAGGGCATGTTGAAACGGCATGCTGCATGTAGGCTTACGAGACTTGTATGCTGATTTCACCTCAGGTCTGTGCCGCCTTACAGAGAATGTGCATATGGTCTGTGGAATTGATGCTCACATCCGTAACTTGTGTGTATATAGTTCCGACCGGGCCACGCAGAAGTTGTTGTAGCTCATCCATCGCTTCTAATGCAGCGTCTCTTTTTGCTGATACTTCCGGAGGAAGATCTAGAACGGGAGGACAAGATGCATCGAGCGAGGGAGACACGATGTTGTTTGCGAGAAGGTAGGCGTCTACTTCCGCAGTGTTATCTTGGATTTGGGTCGATAGTTGGACGATTCTACTTGACAATGCCATCTTGTCAAATCACTTTGCTGTTAAAATTTAGATGAATCAGGCCCGTTGGTGGGTTGACCTTTTCGGGGACTTTATATCGATAATTATATCTGCTCAATACGAAGTGAGGCAATCATTTTGCCCCGCGTTTCCTGTCATCCACCAACCTCAACACCCCACTTCGCTCTTCGCTTTCGACTTCTTCCATCTTACGCTTGGGTGAGATTAGGAATGTTAGTTGTCTCTCTTCGCGCCAAAAGCTAGGCGGTCGAGCGGAGGGATCAAATTGTGTGGCTCCGTTGATTCAACACCAGGTCAGGTGTCACATGCTCCGCAACCCCGCTATCAGGAGCCTGGTCTTCGGGTTCCGAGAGAACTGTCCGCTCCGTCCTCGAAAGCAACCTCGAAAATTGAAACACCGTATATTCCGCTAAGTGCCAATTGATTCCCCCCTTTTCATGGTGCAATGAAGACATGGTGCGATGAAGATACGTCCTGCATCAGGAGCACGTACCTGGGGTCCTTCAATTGCCGGTGCTGACAAATCGCTGATTGGTCAGCACATCCATTATTCTCACCCAAGCATGAGGTTCAAAATCGATGCTTGGTTTCATCTGAGCAGAAGAAATAACCTTTATTGACCTCCCGGAGCGAAATAAAACCCTAATATGTCTCTCCCAAAGACATACAAAGCATACCGCCGTACAAGAGGCGACCTCCCCCGCACGATTGAGCCTACAATCGAGCATCTCCCAAAAGAGCTAGCCCCTGATGAAGTTATTATCAAAATTCATGCCGTATCTCTGAACTTTCGAGATGTAGGAATGCTGAACGGAAAGTATCCGGTTCCGGTCCAAGAACACGGAATCGCTGCATCTGATTGCGCCGCGGAGGTCGTAGCCATTGGGTCTAATGTCAAAGATTTCAATATCGGAGATCGTGTTTCACCGTGCTTCAATCTATCTGATCTGACGGGCAAGGAGAGAGATGGTATTTCGCAGACGTTAGGGGGTGATGTGGGGGTTTTAGCAGAGTATGCCGTCTTTGACCAGAAGGTCTTGGTACATTTGCCAAAACACCTGACTTGGGAAGAAGTTTGTCGAATCTGATCAGCTGTTGATTTAGAGAAAGGCTGATCGCAATAGGCTTCGACGATTCCGTGCTGCGGCGTGACGGCATGGAATTCTCTCAAACGTCCGAACCTGGTTGATGAAGACACTAGTGCTCTTTTGCAAGGTGCTTCGGAATTTCATCGTTTATCATATATGCGTACTAAAATAGCCGTAGGCACCGGAGGCGTAAGCATGTTTGCGCTTCTAATCTGTATTGCAGCCGGCATAACCCCCATCATAACTTCCTCTTCCGACTCCAAGCTCGAATCCATCAAGAACCTCAGCCCCGCCATCAAAGCCTTCAACTACCACACCCACCCCAACCAAGCCGAAGAAGTCAAACGCCTCACTGACGGAAAAGGTGTCGATATAGTCATCAACAACACCGGCCCCGCTTCTTTTCCCGCGGATCTAGAATCCCTACGACAGAACCACGGAACAATTTCGCTAGTGGGGTTTCTGGAAGATAAGAAAGCGGACTGGGATCCAAATGCAATTTTAGGGCTAATGGTGAAGGGGGCGAGTATCCAGGGTATTCGGGTGGGTTCGAAAGCGGATCTTGAGGAAGTTAATCGATTTTTGGAGGAGAAGAGTGTTAGACTTGATAAGATTATTGACCGGACCTTTTGGTTTGATGAGGCGAAAGATGCGTTTGATTATTTGTGGTCTGGGAAGCATGTTGGGAAGATTGTGGTAAAGATTTGAAAGAATCGAATTACTCGATAGAAATCTTACTCCACGCGATGAACAGTTACACACCCGATTAATTACCCGGAGTAAATATATATTACAATATCTTCGATCCATCAGACCAGCGTTTCCTGAAACTTTTTTATTGGTGTGGAACTCCAGTCTCTTCCATCTCCTTCTCCACCACCTCATCAATCCCCACACCCTTCCCGCTTAACCACCTCTTATCCATCCCAGACCCATACCAGTCATTCTCCATCTCTACCGTCGCCTACTCTCTCTCGTCCACCCAGCGTCCCATCCTTGTGTCCTCTCACTTCACCTGCCCCTTGCGCTGAATTTAGATTCCTCAATACAAACCCACCCTCCCCGTCCAAGAAAATATCACTCAACTTCACGGAACTATGTACGACTACCAGCCCATGGAACATCTGCAAAAAGGCTTCAAGCTCCGCACCACTTTTGCACCACTAATGACAGTGCATCGACTCTGCCGGACTGGATCGTTAAGTTTTATGCTGTAGCGCTTGGTGCAGATAACTCTTATTACAGGTCTCTTAAAATTTAATTTTACTGGGTGGGAGCGGTCGATATTAATATCGTTTTCTATATCCGTGCAAATGGCATTGCTGCAGTTATTGTTGTTAGCATTAGCTGTGGTATTAACATATCAGACCCGCGTGACACGCTGGGAAGAACCTGTCTAGATCAACTTCTTAATGGTTTGATAGGATTGCCTGACAAGAGTCAATGAAGAGCTTTTAGTCCGAAATGCTTGGGACGGGGTTTCCGTTGATAGCGGTACGTAGTTCAAGCTGGGCAGATGATTTGCATTTAGATTTATCATGCGAGGAGTCTTTCGGCAAGGCCGGAGGGTAGAATGTGAGTGCAGGGCGTGTGGATCGGTGATACGCAAGCAGATTGAAATTTCTAGGGAGATAAGCAGTCCGCTCTAACAACAGGAGCTTATAAAGAGAGAAAGAGAATAGCGTAGTGGTTCTATACGGAAAATTCCACATTGCAAAAGCACAACGCGTCGTGAAATCGCTGAATCTCTGTTTAGGGAATAGAAGGGTGTGTTAGCTGAATTTCTAAGGATGAATTACATTGCGCAAGAGACTGAAGTGTATATGGATTGTTAAATCATCATAGCTGAGAGGAGGGAGAAGGGAACTTTCGTAACCATGAAGACGACATGAATAAAGCTACCAGTTTAAGATAAAGATAAAAGCGCCAGCCGTCTGTAAGGACTTGAGATGGGAGAGCCTAGGTAGCAACGTAGAGTGATAGATTGGGTCAACGAGGTGTATTCAATAGGTTTGTAGATGAGACGAATCAGTGCCGGGCCGGACTATTCGTCTTATCAAGGCTAAGAAGGTGACGTAAGCGCCAATGAAGGCTTAAATGGGCTACAGGGCCTTACATCTGTTTCTCTCGGTAGTGAGTAACCCAAGGTGCTAGGAAAAATATTGGACACTTTGAACTTCAAGCAATCTTCCACGAGCTGAGTAAGGTCTAAGGAGCGAGAGAGAGCTCTGAGGTGACTATATACTGTACGAGAAAGGAGCTAGTCCTAATGAGTGAATAGCGCAGTGCATGGGTATGGATCACGTGAGACACATGCGACAAGCAACTCAGACTATCTGCACATGGTTAATGTTTGCTATAGTTCTGTTTAATTTCTGTGCTATACTTTTCCTTAACTTGCGCATCACAGCATATATTTGCTGATGACTACACCCCAGCATTATGTTGCGGCTCTAAGGCCTAAACGACACCCTTTTATAGGTATTAGAGGTAGTCAGAGCGTTGTAAGCCCGAGAAGTCTTTGATGGGCTGCCCTATTAACCTTCGGCCTAGCGTCCCACAATACTATATAAAAAATATAGCTCCGCGGACCCTTAGTCCATTGCCAGGTTAGTACCGCTAATCGAAGCGATCATCTATTCTGGCTAGTGAAAACCAAAAACAACCCCGCAGCATATCATAAATCATCACGACGAAATTTACCATTAGTGGCTGTGCGAAGACTCAGCAAGCGGCCCGACCTCAGCTATGCCTGCAGTCAACCAACTCAACTGCCTGAAAACGCATACACAACCCTCTGGTCAGTGCGAGCCGGCTGTCCTCCCTGCCAACGGTAGTAAATAGTGGAGAGCTTTGGGAGCACTGCCACCCTTCTTGCTTCTGAATGTGACTGGGAAACTGTAACTGGCCCTCGGCTAGATCTTCCCTTTTGACCAAGAGGAGCACAAGGACTTGGCAATCATAGTTGAGCCTACATTTTCAGCCTCGTCAAGCTGCAGATGGGCCTCTCTCTTTCGCAGCTTCTCAGCCTCGTGAGGTTATGCACGCCCCTTTCTTGCTCCTTCCAACTGGTCACCTTGCTAAATTACTCTACCCATCCCTTCAGCCATGCCCAAGCATAATCAACGCCCGCTCGCTTTCGATAGCCGCGATATCCACGGCTCACCAGTTACCGCTCGCCACGTAGCCGCAAAAGACTGCTCCGCACCACCAAGATTTGGGGAGTATAGCAACGTCAGCCACCTCGTCCTTCTTCGACCCTATTGGGAGAGCATTTATGAGATGTGGAATGAGGTACAAGTCATGTGGTCGCCTGGCTCGCTCGAAGAAAAGGTCAAGTGTCTGGTGTCGTTTGGGACGGCGTTCCGCCGCGTACGCTGTCCACGAGGGGTCTCATCGGCAGTGGCTAGAGTCTGCTTGCGGAGCCATTATCCCGGGGTAAATCACGGTTTGGCGACATAGGGCATTACTACTGGTTTAACGTGTTGAGGGGGCTCCAGGATACTGGTCAATAACTTGAGCAACTTTACGGGGACCAAGGCAAGCCGAGTGAGGCGGAGAAGATGTACCAGCGACCGCTAGAGGGCTACAAAAGGAAGTTGGGCAGGACCCACATCGACACTTATAGCGGTCAACTTGCGCAATTTCTACTCGGGCCAGGGCAAGCGGAGCGAGTTGGAGAAGATATACCAGCGAGCGCTGGACGGAAGGAAGGAAGCGCTTCGGTTAGTCCACACACTGGCACTTGATTCGATTCACCATCTTGACTATCTTGACCTTTTGCTCGTGGGAATTTTACTGCTTATATTGACATTATCTACGTAGACTTGAATTAGTTAGGCGAGGCTGAGAAGATGTTTTAGTGAGCGCTGGAAGGATACGAGGGGGTGCTTAGGCCGTAACTAGAGCGTAGATAACTTGAGTTATTAACTCTCCTTACAATATGATTCCATTTAGGCAACGTATCGATCTATACGTAGAGGTTTTAAAAACCATTAATATAACTATAGAAGGTACGCTCGTTTTACTCCCTTCATAGTAACTAGCTAAGGAGTTATCTTAATATCCTATACTAGACGTTACAAGAAAGTAACTGCTTTACCACATTCTTGAAATATTCAATTTTTAGGTCCATGTCCCCTAATTCACTTTTGGTAGTCTGCAGGCAGAATAGAATCGCTGATGTGAATTTCTTTCCTAATCGGAATTCAAGATCTTCCGCTTCCGATTCAAGTAATCGCGCCACGAAGTTTGAAGGTTTTACACACCTATCCCTCGCCTTCAGCCGGCGAAAATAGTTACTGAGCGGCCTCCACTTCCCAATTTCGAAGAGTAAGAGTCCGATCGCAAAAAGGTCATACTGAAGCCTGAAGCTAACAGCAGAATCGTTCTGATAGTCTGGATGGCAGTAGATGTTGATCTCCTCGTTTAGTACTGGACGGTCTGAAATTCCACCTTCCGCTGGGCGAGAGTATCCAAATCCGACAATACGCGGAGACTGTATCGAAGCGGTAGGTGTCTCGGGAAGAAAAATGACGTTGTGGCTGCGGATATTCTTGTGCATCCACCCTAACTGGTGAAATTGCAGAAATCCCAACGCAAGTTCATAGGCAAGACGAAACCGAGAGCCTAGATCGGGTTGGAAGTATTCAAAATCTCTCTCCGTGAGGTAGTCATGTAAAGTCAAAGATGAGGAGGAATGATCGTGTGGAATCTGTGGAAGGCTTGGGACCGTAAACGCAATTCCAAGCCTTGCTGGTATATGGTCTTTTTGGTCAATATAACCGACACAGTCAAGTGTAAGGTAATTCTTCGGTTGCCCCGTAAGTTCTTTGAAGATTCCTGCCAGCTTGGCTGCTTGCCTGGTTCGCCGAAGTCCTTCTTCTCCACACGCCTCGGAGGTCCGTAGGGTCCGCCACTCGATGAGAATCTGTTTCTCGTGGAGTTTTGCATAGGACCTTCCATCGTCAATAGTAGATATCGAATCGAAATTAATCGCTAGAGGATGTGCAGGAAGAGCCGTGGGCTGAACAGAAAGCGGTGCAACAGCTTCCATCTCCATTTCAAGTCGCAATCGGGCCAAGCGTGCAGGAAGAGCCAAACTCTCGTAACGCCCTACTGTTGCCATCTCAAGTGTCTGCAACATTTGCAACGGTTTACTCCAATTAGCCCCGAGAATCGCAATCCTCATAGCAGTATTTTCGGCGTCAAGACTCTGTTTCTGACTTTCTGTGAGCAGTTGATTGAGCCCATCAACGTATCTTTTGATGCAATCGACAAAATTGGAGGCTTTGTTCTCGTCCCAGACTGCCCACTTGATTTTGCGGTGCAGGTGCATTTTTGTCTTTAGATTCTGTGTTATTCTCTTTTGTCTGTCTATTGCTTCTAATAGGTTTGGAACCGCCAGAATCGTGTCTTTGACAGCCGTGGGTAGGAGCGTGGAGTCGGTGTGGGAAGTCCCAAGTTCAGAGTCTTCGGCGAACGTAATTCCATAAGTTGACTTCAGCTTCTCCGTATTTTCGATGCCCGAGAATATCTTAGTGAGGATATCAAGAAGAAGTGGTTCGATTGGGACAAGGCTTTCATGCAAAGCACCCCTGCTGAGTCCCGAATTTTGACCCCAGAGGATCAGCCTTGCCAGCTCTATCTCTAGACTTGTTCTGAATTTGAGTAAAGTTTCATTTGAATGGCGTGCTTGGGACACAATGTGAAGGCTAGTCACGCATCCGCTGAACGTTTGAGCTGTGAGGGAAACTGCACCGAGCACAAGGCCCGGTATCTCGGCCATCAGAGAGCTTCCTTTATCGATCTACTGCTCTCTTGGAAAGGATCCGTTTGGCTCTTGTTAATGCCTCCTGTCAAGAATGAATGAGGACGAGGCGCACGACTTTGAAGGTATGAGCATACTTACAGAGCCAGCAGGTTCATGAACTCCAGGAATTCTGCTGATCATCGGGTGATGTCCGTGTCGCTGTATCACCACTGAAAAAAATATGACACAAGTCCGGTCGACTTCGGCTCTAATCATAACTGAGGGATTTAGTGCGTGGCGAGGAGTGGATATGCATGTCGCCGGATCAGTCATAAGTCAGCACTGGAAGTTTTGTGTATCAGGTCATATGTATGTCGCTAAGTTTATCACCAATCACCACTGATTGGATTACCCCGCAGTCCCCTTCGCTTCAACTCAGAAGACAACTCAGCGGCCCACCCTTCATACGCTATGTTTGTGGGAGGAGCTGTTCAACGCTAACTACGCTGATCCCAAGAAGCTAGAACAGTCCATGAAGGAACCTGAGCTACCCTTCCTGGGAATATTATCAACCAGATATGCCGCGCCCTCCTTCCAGCGATCGCTATTTGACCCCAGCAGTTTCCATAGCCAGAGCTAAAGAGGAGTCAAGCAGAGCGCAACCGGCCACCGAATTTGAACCGCTTTTTGAACCGCCAGACTACTTGACAATCACCTGGCTCGCTGGCGGAATTCGATCGTATTCGGAGCCACACACAAAAGTCTCTGGATTGAAGGGGACTTTTTTGGTCGGAGAAGGTTTTACATTCGTTGTGTACAGGACTAGGCCCACAAAAAATGGCGAGGTCTGGGCCATCAAGCAGCCAAGGCTATCTTTCGCAGTTCATGGAGATGATGCTAGCGTTTTGCGCCAACTTTACTCACTTAGCTTGGAACTGAGAGTTCTCACTGATCAACGCATCCGGGCAAACAAGAATATTGCGAAGCTCCGCGACGTTATTTGGAATCCTCATGCAGATGATTCTGGCCGCTATTGGCCGCAGCTGCTAATGGAGTACGCGGAATTCGGGACGTTGTCGAGTTTTTACGACCTTGGATACCACTCTTCCGACGTTGAAGAAGAAGTAGGCTGGTGCTTTGCGATTGGAGACGCACTCAAATGCCTCCACCAATGCGGCATTATACATGGCGATATCAAGCCCGAAAATGTTCTAATATTCCGTTCAGATTCATGCCAGGATAAACTAACCATCACCCCTAAGCTAGCCGACTTTGGGTTCGCAGTTATTGACGGGGATAATTCTTCGTATATTCCGGGTGGCACCTTTCCATGGACCGCCCCCGAGATCTCTGCGCCGAACCTAAGACCGGATGATTTGTATAAATGTGATATCTATTCCTTTGGGCTTCTAGTATGGTTCGTCTTCGGGGGAGGAATAACCCCATTTCTGGCTCTCGATGTTTGCGAATTCTCCCTCTACTCTCCGGAAGCGAGAAAAATTATCCAACTTCGAAAGCAAGAGGACGAGCTGCATTCGCTTGCTGTCCGATCACTCTCAGCTGAGAAGTTGGTCTACAAAGGCGCATTTAAATACACACTCAGTGCAGACCCCAAAGTAAGAGACCTCAGCAAATGCCTTGAGTGCTTGAGGGGTTCTTCTCAAATTGAGGGTGCTGAGGAGAAAGGTATCCAAACCAAGACCGGCTCTGAAATTGGGGAAAACAGAGTGAGTAGGCACGAGGCATTAGATATATGTACTAACGACTGCACTAGTTCAGCCTTCGAGAGATGAGACATCTTGGCTTTGGAATACAAAAACAGATATTGAACAGTCTTGAGAAGGTCGCGTCGCTGGAAGGCAAGTACAGCGTGGTTCGGCGATCAGAGGCTGCTATGGTAGTCGCAAAATCATATCTCGATTATTTTGGCGGGAAAACTCCAACGGATAGTCTCAAATGGCTGTTGCTGGCTGCGTTCCTAGGTAACAACCAGGCCAAATCTTCAGTTTACCGCATCACCAAAGCAGTCGGACAGTATGAGCAATATAAGCATGAAATACTCAGAGTACTCATTCGTACTGCTGAAGAGGGGTTTACCATTTCCGTGGGTGATCTCTTGGCAGAATGCCCGGATGAAGGGCAAAGAGTTCTGAGGAATCTTCGTTTAGCTCTTGGTATGCCATTCCAGTTAAGTTTTGACATTCCGCCAAATGCTAACCATTACCACCCTCAAGAGATGCCCCTGCTTTCGATTGATGTTGAAGACGGCCCTTTGGAAAATGAAGGAGGGAAAAACTCCAATACTATCTGGGATGGGGTCGGAGAGAATCTGCTTCACCAAGCCGCTCGTTCTGGTAGCGTGAAGATAGTGAACTCTGCACTGAAACTAATCTCTGGGAATGCGTCCATTGACGCCAAAAATAACCTCGGCCAAACTGCACTACTCGTTGCTTTCATGTACGGCAATTATTTAGCCGCAATCACTCTTCTCGAAGCTGGAGCAAGTGGTTTAGAAGCAGACAAAATGGGAGATACACCACTCCACTGGCTGCATCTGTTTCAGGGGAACGAGCTGAGGGCCCTAGCTACGGCCTTGTTTGATCAAGGCGCCGACCCAAATCCGGAGACGAGCTTTCAAGCGTGGGATGCACACCACCAACAACTTATCTCTGCTGGGACCCCTCTACATCGCGCAGCAGCATGGAATGCGCACGAGGCTGTCACAGTCCTTCTCGATCATGGTGCTAATCCCCTTCATCCTGGAAAAGGACATGAGACTGGTACGCCATTATGGGTTGCATGTACATACCACAACAGCAAAGTGGTGAAAACGATGCTGGAACGAATCGAGAAGACTCAAGATACTCTCAGCATTATCGAAGACCACAAGAACAAGCTGTGGCCGCTAGTTAGCCCTGTCCTCGATATTGGGTACTACTACTCCGGCGGGGCGAACTTCGGACGAATGGTAAGGCACACTACGAACTACCGCGAAGCCACCAAAGAAACTATTCAGGCTTTGCTGGAGCACGGAAGCACTCTGTTGCTCCCAACCTCTGGAAATCCTACTGTAACTGTGCCGGCCGTTTCTTTAGCAATACAACTTCGATGTATTGATATCGTTGAAAGCATCATTGATCTTCGTCCGGGAATGATCAAAGAGCCGGGACCACAGCAACAACAGCCACTGCATTTCGCGGTACAAACCAATCGAGAGGACATAGTCCGGCTGGTGATTTCTAAAGGTGCCGACTGCGAAGCACGAGGGACTGACGGGATCAACATCTTAGGCAGCTACTGCAATCACCATACAGCTATTGCTATCCCAAGGATGCTATTACAAGAGGGGCTTACGTTCGAGATCCCACCAAATGGATTCCAGACTCCATTTTTTGCGGCAGTAAAAAATGAAGGACTTGATCTGGCCCGGTTCGTACTTGAAAATACACCACTCCATATGCGCCATCGGATGATTAATTCCTTCTGTCACATCGGTACCAACTTCAAATTTCCGGAACCAGGAATGAACGTGCTAGGGTATATCATACTAGCCCCCAGTATTGAGTCAGCAGGTTACCTGAAGAAATTATTTAAACTGATAGAAGAGTTCGGCGCACAGTTTGACTTTATCGTGGATGGGCATTCAGATCGCAGCGCATTGCAGTTACTCGCATGCTTCCAGCGTCACCAGAGGCTAAATCCGAGTATAATTGGAATGGCACGAGAAATTCTGCTTCATTACAATTCGCAGGAGCAGATAGATTATGCTGGAAGTACTGATGGAAAGACAGCTTTGTGGTGGGCAGTTAGGACCATGAACTATGACTTGGTTTCTAGCCTATTAGCCGTGAAAGCCAACCCACGCTTATCAGATAGAGACGGCAAAACTGCGCTAGCCCTTCTTCAAGATCAAATTGCTCATGTCCAGGCCACAGAAAGTCACCAGAACCGAGGGGATCAGAATATTTTAGAGGAGGTAAAAAGGCTCTTCCAGAGTTACGGCTATATAATATAGTAGGTATAACACGCCTGACAAGCGAGGGGCAAACCCTAACATTTTACGACGCTTCGGCTATTATCTTTTTTCCTGGATGGTTCTACTAGCACTCTATCTATATAAGCCTCTCTTTGCTCCATGTACTTATACAGCTCTCACTGAGCATTCCTCTCAACACAATCGACAATCTTATCACATCTTCATTCCTTCATCTTATAATAATCTACAATGTTTTAACCTACTACTTCTCAATTGGACTGCAACTCAGAAGATATCCTCCCTCTTTGATATCTTTGCCAAAACTCTCGGAGACCAGAGCCAGTTAGACGAAGCAGCGCAGATGGAGAGGGAAATGCTGGAGGAGGAGAAGTAGAGGGTCCTCGAGTATGAGCATCCTAATATAAGCATAGCTGCTTAGGTTTTGGCTATCCCACTTAAATTTTTTACAGCATTTTACTCTACACGGTAAAGTATGTTCTTTTCCTAACTTAGATAACAACCCCCTTCAAACTCCTAAGCATATAAAAATTCATTCCTTTAATAATTCCATCTGGTATTCACTTTCTGCGCCGTCAGATATCTGTTCCCTAGTCGTCTCACTATCTATTACTTCTCTAAAAAAAAGGTCGAATAAACGTATCACCCGCAGTCCTAATTGCATCATCTACCCTAGCAGGTGGTGGGAAACACCTTAATCAATTCGCTCAGGGTATCAAACTTCCACCAGTTAGATCAGCTATGGGCTTCAGATTTCTGTTGTTCGGAGTTCCTATGTGGATTGCGATTCCGATACACAGAGTGGCGCAAAGGTAACAATACAAACATAATGTCCCAAGTAAATGAAGGGTTTAATGTTTAAGGGTATTAATCAGCCTATCCAGAAATATAGTAAATATTAAGGTGTCTACAGACTTGATTGCTTAAAGCTAAAGTACCTATAATTTCCCTCAGCATGGCGGGATTCTCGTAACGTAGGCAGGGATATTAGGGAGGAATTACATTGTGCAAGAGGCTGGAGTTCGCATGAACTGTTTAATCACGATAGCCGAGAGAAGGGAGAAGGGAGCTTTCGCAACAGTAAACACGACATTAATACAACCTCTAGTTTAAGATGAGGACAGAATAGTCACTAAAAGAAACAATCAGGGGAACAATTGTTCAATCCCCTATTTTAGGCTGACGAAATTATAGTTGGCAAGCACTCTCCGTACGTCGCCAGATGAGATACTGAGAAGTTTTTGACCCTAACTTCGCTCCTTAAAATGCGTAAATTAACCTGCAAGCCATTCCAAAATGCACGAAAATAGAAGAAAGTTCCGAAGGACCCCACTTTTAAAATGTGGAGGCAATAAAGTTACACGCTAAAAGTTGCAGGAATGCGCGACCTCGCTATTATGGGTTTTATGAATCATCCTAGCCCGATTCTAGTCGGAGATTCGGTAGGTATCGGAAGACTCTACTAGCTATGTAGACGCTGGTTCCCAGAGTGTACATGGGGAGGAGGTCATGTGCGGAGAGTGGAAAGCCTGGCTCATCCCATGTTATTCAAATCCACTCTAAGCAGCCGACTCGGAGGTGCGGAGCGACCTTTGGTTGGGAGGAATCTTAGGATATAAGCACTGTACCCTTCGAGCGTAGCGTGCTCTACTCGGCAACAAAAGAGTCTAGTGCCTTCACTCCTTCTCTTTGCAGGGGGGGTAGTTAGGATATTTAAAATCCGCCGAATCAGGAGTCCCGTTCATGTGTTTAAGGTCTTCTATGGCATCTTCTTAGGTCCTCTTCCTGACCTCGTAATATGCTGGCCCTCCCTAGGATGCTCCCCTGGCCTATGTCGGGTAACCTGTAGGTGCGGTTGAGTTCTTGTCGGAGATGCAGGGCTATTTGGAACGGTTAAGTATTCCTGCCTTTGCAGAGCGGGCTCGTAGATCTCGGGGTCCTCAGGATTATCGATAGCCCTGCCTTTACCTTTGTCCACCTTTGGTAACGAAGCTCGCTTTGGTTCTGCCACGGGTGGTGGCTCCATTATAGCTTTAAGAGCAGTTTGTCCGAACGAGAATCGTGCCTTCTGCTTTGGTTTCGGAATGGTACCAGAGCTGACAAGATCAGGGTGTGGGTTACGGTCGGGCCTGCGATTGACTGGAGTGTAACCCTGTGTCTTCTCCAACTCTTTCCTCTCTAGATCCCATTCCCTCTTGATCGCAAGATACTTTATTCGGAATTCGTCTCGTGCCTCCCAGGTTGCGAATCTGAGTTCAAATCGATCCGCTTCAAATCGGTCGAGATCTTCGAAGTACTGGAGTACTAAAGGGCTTAGAGGAAGGCCGGCGGGATGGTGATCAGCCTGCTCTTCTGGTGTGGGACGAATCCAGGAAGCCACGAAATGGGGGTCTCGGCGTGGTTTATTTGGCTGAAAGTATAGGACGAAAGGATCATCCTCATTCTCTTCCAGGATCCAGTTGACATCCATCTTGATGGTGCAGATAAATCGACAGTCGTGGAAGTAAATGACAGCACGTCGAGGAGGAAGCTCTCGATATCCGCTCTGATAGTGATGCTCAACACGGACCGCTCGGTTGGAATACGTTCCTTCGGATGAGCTGGATTGCTTGCGCCGACGGTTCGCTGCCGCTTCGTCTACCTGTTCAATCCACAGTTGTATGGTTGCGGATCCAAGGTCTTTGGTCTCAATATAGTCTTCTGCCTTTTGTTCAGCTTTAGCTGACTTGAAGTATCGAAGTGTCTCGTTTAAAACCTTGCCTGCAACTGGTACAAATTGCTTGAGTCTTACCGAGCTCAACGCGAAGCTTGCTTCGATACTTTGGGAGGTAAGCTTGGACTGAACAATACGAGCAGCTTCAAGTGGAGAATTTTCAGAGAAGGAAAACTTTGCGTTGGCCAGCTCTGAAGTGGGGCCATGGCTAAGCATGAAGAACTTAATCCATGTCCCAGATGTGTCCAAGTGATCTTGAGGCCAAAACGCATAAAGCGGAAGTATTTTGACGTCGGCGCGACGGAAATTTATGTCGTTGGGCAAACGACCGTTTGCCCAACACTGTAGGCGCATGAATCCGGCTTCGTTCTCGAAGGCCTCCAAGCAGGCCTTTTCCCACTCTTTCGTACCTTCGATCTTATGCCACAGACTAAGGCTGCTCAGCTGAGGGCCTCCTAGGATCGACTCCCCAGCCGCTGGTACCATTTGTGCTTCATTCTGAACAGCCGTTCCTGGCGAAGCTTGCTTGATCGCATCAGACAGCATACGAACGACTTCAGCAATGTCAATTCTTTCTTCAACCTTGGGCTTCAGCATCCGCTCAATTAGATGGAGTATCCTTCGAATGAAAGCTTTAGATTTCTCTCCGCTGTGATCTCTAGTTGCGACGGTGTTTTCGAGATTCTCCATAAATGCGCGAACTTCCTTCTTTACGACGTAATCACCGAGTGGAGTTTCGCGATAGAAGAATCGCTCGTCTTTTCGCTTCTGCCAAGCAGGTTTCGCGCCCCGAACTTCGTCCAACCCTTCGAACCGGGTTTCCGGATCTCTGGATCCTTTGAGGCCTGCATATCCTAAGACAACAAAAGCAGTGACCTCAAGTATGATGCATCCTAGAGACCAGATGTCATACTTCCGGCCATAAGCCATGTTGACATTCTCGATCTCCGGGGGGGCGTAAGCGTCGGTACCAAAATGATTTGCTACGCGTGGTGTCCGCCCATTACTGTACGCAATGGCCGCCTGACCGAAGTCAGTAATAACCCAGGTCTTTTCGCAATCAATGAGAATATTATCCGGTTTTAGGTCGAAGTGAATGCACAAACGCTCGGGGATGCTGTCAGGGGCTGCAGCAGCCTTCTCGTTATCGAGACCGCTAATTTGACGAAGAGCCATAGAAACACCAAGAAGCTGTTCCCATGCATTACATGATTCTAGTGGACCCCCTCTTTTCTTCCCATAGTCTAATACTGAGTCTCGTAGTAGGTGATCCAGGTTGGTGACTGCCAAGGGCATTATGAGGTTTAGGCTGTCACCGTGCCAATAGGCTTTGATAAGCTTGACAATATGCTTGTTTTTGAAGTCATGGGCAAAGCGGAGGTTTGCTTTCTCGAGGTAGGCTTTAAATTCTGGTGTCTCAATCTTCTTCCTGGCAAACCATTCGACTTTGGCTGCATGCTGTATCGAGTCAGTAGGCGCAACACGGCAATGATAGAGTATAGGATCTAAAATGCGTACCGGAAAATTCTGGTATTCAGTATAGATCTTGAACTTGAAGACTTTTCCGTTGGCTCCTTCTGACGTCCACTGACCGCTTGCATCTATTTTCTTCCCGATCTCTTTTTCCTCGATGAAAGGGAGGATTACATTGGCCTCGTAGTGGGTAAATTCTCCGCTTTCCATGTGAGGCACGCAAAACTCAGGCATGGCTTTGATAAACTCTGATGCAAACCTTGCAAATCCGCCACTGTCATTTGCATGATATCTTCCAGTGTAGTCTTTCAGACTTTCTTTCGTAAATGAGCTGGCGGAGAATTCAAGCAAGAAATCACTACGCTCCTTCTCCATAAACCCGACAATAAGAAGAGGATGCTGGACATATATCAAGAGTGAAAATAGACTGTACGCCGTCTTCGTTCGGTCTTTCGTTTCTTTTGTTCCATCTTCCACTCCAGTTATACGGTAAAGGTAGTTCAGCGGGTCCGTGTCGTTGAAGAACTTGCGATGAGCCTTGCACTGATCGCAGTTGCAGCGGAGAATGTCCCGTACTTTGTCCGCCTTGAGGTAACTTCGAAGTTTATCTAGGGGAAAGAAGCTCTTGCAAAGAACGTCTTTCCGGTACTCTTCATATCGGCGATCGATTATATTGTTTCGAGCAATCGTGCAGGCCGGGAGGCTGGCCATGGTGTCATCACTGACGAAACAAAATGTCTGGATCCGGAAGGAAGCAACGGGGAGCTAGAGGCGGCTCTAACAGCCCCATAGGACATTCGGTGATGGTCAACTGGGCGAAACGTAAGAATAAAGTGTGGTTTGACGAGTAAAAACGAAGAGTACGCCTGTCGTAGATTTAGTGGAGTGGGAGCGCGATGCTCAAAGCCAATGCGTCAGCGACCTAAAGTGAGATAAAGACCCAAGAGGCCGCGAACGCATAATAGGGGCAGATTAGCTCGTCCCACGCTTTTGTGTCAGCTGAAGAGGCAATGAGGCAACCTTGGTTGCCTAGAGAGCGACAGGATTTCACATAGAGCGAGGCAATGCTCGCATTTGTGAAGCATGCAAGGCTCGTCACGGTGGCGAGCCATCCAAAAGAGGGGTAGAAGGACCGGAGGCAAGGCAAGTTTCCTTATCTCTGTAGTACGCATGTTCAGTTCCATCTGTCAAAATACCGAGCCTTTGTCTCCAATAGATAAGCGCTGGTGTCCCTTTTCGGATGCCGATCAAGCCACCCTCTCAGCCACCCCACAGCCTCTGGGGCTCTGTTGCTGGGGCCTTTGTCCAATAACCCTTCGCGAACGTCGAGATAATGAATGCTTTTCCAGGACCCCTCTCATTCGCTCCATGAGGGATCCCCATTACACCTTCTCGTTAGTAGGTGGTTCTGTATGGGTTCGTCTTCGGCGCGACCAACTCCAACTTCTAGAGGTGTCCATATACATCCACACACCAAGGGTGATGGCGAGAAGAATAAATGTGAGCACTACAAAAATCCACATTTCCGCCGCGAAATTAAGTGACGCGGGGTGACGCGCAGTGTTTACTCGGATATAACCCATGCTAAGAAATTGCTGTAGATCTGTTAGCGCGCTGAAATAGCATCTAAAATAGCATCTGCCTAAATATACTCACGGACACAAGCGACGCTGGAAGATATATTGTGGTCAGGATAGATATTTTCTTCAACATCCCGGCATCTCGTTGAGATTTAGCTGTCAGCTTCACCATGTTCTTGCTGTCAATATCCGCGAGGCGGGCCATCTCATTCGAGTTTTCGCTACTTATTTTGAGTGCATCAAGACCTCGAAAGGAGATGATGTCTTGCATCTGTGCACTATATTAGCGCGGTTCTGTGTGTAATGAAGCGTTTCGCTTACGAGGCCGGAGCCGCTCCGTGTTCTTTCGAGCAGGTTTTCCACGCGTATTTTTTGGAGATGGAGTTCACCCGACAACATGCTCACGTGAGGAACATCAGATATCTGGGTTTGGAGCTTTTCGCAAATGCTGATGTTAGACCCAAGGATATACTTAGCCATGTTCATTCGGTCGTGGATTAGTTGCACGTCTTGAAAGTCGCTGTACTCGATTGTCACGACTGGGAGCTTCTCCGTCATCTTTCGACCTTCAACTCGAGAGACATGAGCCTTGGATACCTTTGCAGAAATTAACTCTTAGAGGTCGTGTGTGGTTCCGAGGGGTGAGCCTACCAGTTGGCTAAGTTTCGTTTCCCAGAATGACAAGTACCATCTCCACTGCCAAGTAGCATGTGATATAGCGAGCATATGGATATCTCGCCAAGTTGGAGCCGCACCAGTTTTGGCTTGAGCGTCTTTTAGTCGCTGCTGGAAGGATATCATCGGATTGAGAATGATGAACGTGTCATTCTCAGGCTCATGTCGATGGTAGAGACCGAGCTGCCGGATCGACCACGGTTCGTCCGAGCCCTCCCGGCCATGCTTCTCAACATTCTTAGCCAGGTAGCAAAGTTCTATGTGAGCAGGTTAAGAGAAATTCTGGATTTCATGCAGTGATAGAGTACCTGAAACATTTCCTTGCTGGTGTCCATAACACCCACCAAGAGAGTCGCTAGTCTCAGATGTTGACTTCCCAAAGGCACAGAGAACGTCGATGAACGCCGGAAAGACTCCAAAAAAATCAAGAAGTTGTCGAAGCCCATTTTCGGATATGGTTAGGTAATCCCACGAATAACGTTGTGGTATTAAACTGTTTATGTCAGTATAATAAACGGTGGAGCATTTGGGAGCGGTTTACAATATTCTTGTTCCTTTGAATGTTGCTGAATGCAGGTAGTCATGGAGCTCGGCTGGGGTAGTGAAAATCCAGTCTATTGGGAACTGCCGCGTCAGCCAATGGATGAGTCGATACCATGACGCTTTTACCTTTTTGACCAACTTCGACTAGTTTAATCTGAAGTTGGTTGTCGGGCACGAAGATGCGCTTCGCATTCTCGCCCAACAGACCCTCAAAATGGCTCGTATCAAAGACATAAGGATCACAATTCTTCACACCCAGGGATTGTGGATAGGGTAGCTGCGCCATAATCCGCCACAGAGAAATCAGGAAGTAGATGATAAGAAGTTATTTTGATTAAATTCGCGGCTCGTATGTGCTCGTACTTCTGGAGAGTTCATTGAAGAATATAATCCCTCCAAAACCAGACCAAGCCTGACTTCCCCCACTCGAGACCGGTCTGAGGCAGCCACAATCATCGCTGGCACCGGACCGGAGATCAAGTGGTTCGCTGCGCCTCATTGGCTGGCGGACTTCGCCAGCATGGGCCAATGAAATCTCAGTCAATGAAGAGCGGCCCTCTGCCGCTTTTTTCATGCAGGTGATTAATTTCCGCCTGCTCAAGGTTAGTTGGTTGGATGAAGAGTTTCAATATGTCAGTCACGAAACATACCTCCGTCAGGCATCGCAGAGCAGTGAATGTGATCCTATTGTCTCTTTCGATCTTGGAATGTGAGCGCATACCTTCCTGTTGGTGGTGGCACTACAAACAGAATACTTCCACTCGACTCCAAATTCATTGACTCGGGCGCTGACATATTCTTCTAGAATAGCATCTCGAATGTACCTTTTTGAGTTGTCAGTTCTGATGATTGGCATTATCAATTCTATCACCTTTTGCTTATCACCTGAACATCGTATATGGCGATCGTTGATCCGGACATTCTCGCAAGCTTTGGCACAATTGAGCCTGGGCGGATTCTGGATCTCTACGTGTCCTTGGAAATCACCAGTCCGTTATATAATGATGACTATCGAGGCTGAAAAAGGCGGAAGAGGCGATCAGGCTGGGAACAAGAAGTGGTCACATCGCTAGGCAGCCATGAATAACAGTTCATCGTGCGACAAGGCTGAGGCGATAAGCTGTCCTCCATCTCAACCTTGTCGCCGCCGGGGGACTTCTGCAAAGGTGACCGAGTTCGGATTGGGAATTCGGTGAGGAAGGCTGAGGCTGAAGTTAAGGTAAGGTTGAATTTGGTGGCGGCGGAGCGCCATCCTCCTTGACTTTTGTTGGCGTAGCCGCCAGCCCCTTCGTATTCCCCCACGGCGGCGTCACACTCTCCATCGTGGTACTAGTCATGCAGTGCATGAGACATATTCTTTACCCCCTCTTTCTGCGTCCGTCTTGAGTCTTTTTCAAAATGCAACTTTAACAAGAGTCGAATGCCACGCCGGATTTCCTGATTAGGAAAGATGTCGCATAGCTTTCGACCTGTCCAGTATCCTCCACAAGATCAACCGCACGAACTATCGCGAATTTCTTTTCGATCCCTACGAAACGGCTTTGGTTCTAGTTCTATTCGATCCAAATCCCCGCAAAGCATTGTAGGAGAGAGTTCATGGAAGGGATACGGTTCACCTGCACCACCGAGCATTCAAGTCGAACATCATGATTCCTCTTCACAAACAACTGCGGTAAATACTGAAACTGGCAACACTCCCCCCAGCGAGCCCAACGATTTGCCAATAGCCAGTCCACCGAATTCACGGATTGATTCGGACCCAGCTACTGGCGGCTCTGGCCCCACCCCAACTAACTCCGATGACTGGGACGAAAGGAATGCTATCGTCCCGAGAAGCAATCTCACAGTGATAGATGTTGCAGCACTTATTTTAAATAAAATGGCAAGTGGTTTAGTTGTCTAGATCGTAAGGACACTCCTAATCTAGATAGGTCGGCACTGGAATATTCACAACACCGGGAACGGTGCTAGCGTTCACTAGATCCAAAGGAATCAGCGTTGGGCTGTGGGCCGTCGGTGGTCTCTGGTCCTCTCTATTGTAGGTTCAGAATGGGGTAATAAATTTGAGAAATGATCCGTGCTCACGGCCAATAGCTTACTAGTCTACCTCGAGTTTGGAAATGCGCTACCTTTCAATGGAGGCGAACTTATATATGTATGTCTCTTGAGAGAGTAATGCACTTAACTCTCTTTGATGATCGGAATAACTAAGTGTTGGGTTTTAGCTTGATGAGATCTACCGAACGCCCGAGTTACTCTTCACTATCCTCTTCTCCGGCTACTTCCTCGTACTCGGAAACTCCTACGGAAACGCTGTTCAATTTGCCAAGCATGTCCTCCTAGCCGCCAACCCAAATGTTGAGAAGAGCGCAGAACTCGATGCACGACTCGTTCGACTCATCGCTATCCTCTGTGTCAGCCTCGTTTGCCTTATACACTACTCCTCGAGCAAAGCTGGACTTTTCCTGAACAAGGCCTTGGCTTGGTACAAAGTCATTTTGCTTTTTGTTGTATTTGTGGCAGGGATGGCTTATAGCCATAAGCATGGGTCACAATTGCACGATAAGACCGCTCCCGCGAGAGGAAGCTCACTAGATGCGATGAGTGCTATGATTTCGGTTTTTTACACATACCAAGGTTGGGAAAATGCCAACTACGTAAGAGCCCACCATAGCATCTCATATTGGGTATTCAATTAACTTGGTGTAGGTTGCAGGAGAGATTCGTGCATTGGAAGGCCGAACACCAACACGAAGACTCAAGATCGGCGCATTCCTAGCAGTGGGCGTGGTTTGGATCCTGTATATTTTGGTGTCGTTGGCCTATGTACGTTTCCTGGAAGTGACCCCTGTGCGAATATGACTAACTGTTCCAAGTACAAGGTTCTTGACTACAAAACCATAACGGGTGGTCAGTCAGATCTAGGGGCGGCGCTGTACTTCGCGCCAAAGGTTTGAGACCTCAAATTTGCACTTAGTCACCTCCAAGTAACTTGCTCTAGGTTTTTGGTAGTTCATTCGGCATGAAGATCTGCCTAGCCATCTCGGCTTTCGGAAACGTGGTAGCAATTACATACACCGCATCAAAAGGTAGGCCAAGTCTATTCTCATTTACCAGCCCAACTTACATTCCAGCAGTAAAGCAAACTATCGCATTACAACGAATTCTGCCCTTCTGGAGATTTTTCCAGAAGGACCTCCCTCAAAAAGGTAACGAGACACCATTTGGGGGCTTGGTCTTGCATTGGATATCTTCCGTAGTCTTCATTGCTATTTGCCCCGTCAGCGCGGATGGATATTCATTCACCATTGGACTCTTCACCTACGGTCACATATTCTGGAGTAGTATGTCTCTAAATCTTCTACCTTGTTGCAATGATGAGAATCTAACCCTCTGCAGTGCTGGTGGCCATAGGACTTTGGTTCCTAAAATCCCGAATGGAGGAACAATTTAACGAATACCGCTTCACAATCTTCCAAAGGAAGTGGACCGTATACACCGTCCCCATTATCTTCGCATTAGGAACCCTCCTAGTACTGATCTTCAGCGCGAAACCGATTCTCCCAGGCAAGATTCCACGATACTGGTGGCCGGCGACCTTTTTCCTTATCCTCCTGGGTAGTTTTCTGTATTGGAGCGTCATCCGCATCGTACAGATTGAGGTTACCTACAAGGGTAAAATTCAAACTATTGGTCAAATCATTGGCTTCGAGATCATTGTATATGACAAGGACACAATTAATGTTCCGAAGAACGTGAAAGACTCGGTTGCTGAGGCACTTGCTGCAAAGATCGATGGGTCTGGAAGGAGAGTTGAATGCAGGGTATGTATATTCCACCGCCGCAGATTTATTGACTAGATTGGCTGACAAACTTAGACCTCTGGTAGGGTCGAAAAATTAGAAAAGGGACTGGTAAATGTAAAAGAGCGGCTAGTGAAGTGGCTGTTATAGAACCCTCCACTGAGGACCGAGTTGCTTTGTCGATAAATGTAAGACGCAAAACGTTCAGAAGAACAGAAGAGAACTTTGTCATATAAGGAGATCACAGGGGTGTTCTCGTAGATGTTGTTCAGCTGAGCTCATCCATGTCGCCTCGTTCGGATCCAACCGCGCCGCTCCTCCTTCGAATTATCAGGGTCGAAATCTGTTGTGCGGCTTAGAGTTTTATACTTGACAATGACGTTCTGTCCGTTAATAAAAGGTCGGAATGAAACGAGAGGGAAGGATGGAAGAGGCGGTGGATAGCCGTAGATCTCCTGCAAGAACAAATCTTGGAAGTGAATGATCAAACGGGTTCCTTTGGGTTCCTTTAGATGAGGGAAGTTGAAGCAGAGCAGGACATAAATAATATTATTGAAGATTCTCTTTATTCCTGTAAGCAAAGCCTTTATAGCTGTTCCCTCTTCTTTCCTAAATTCTTCAGTACCCATTGTTCGTTTTGTTCTTCATCCCCTCTAGCTCCTTGTCAGCCAAATTTGCATCATAGTAAAATCTGGCCGAATCATGCTCTCCCATACTTGGGAAGAATAGTTTCACCAATAGCACTTGGCAAGTCGTTATTAGTCGTCCTGAACGTGAAGACCAATATCATCATTGTGGAAGGGTCCCCCTCTTAGTAAGCTCCTCCATGCTAGCCTGTTTGTTGTAAAACGGGGGTGACCTCTTGTTTCAACTTCTCATCCTCTGGGTCAATGAAGATTTTCCCATTTCGCCAATTTGTCCTCGTCTGCGGTCTATTTAGCCTTTATTTCGTCATCACCACTGGCTGCACGTGTAATTAGCGATTCTCTGTTAGATAAGTTGAGCCTCTCCATTCCGTTTTGTCTCTCTTTCCTACATCGTCTCAGATCTGCTCTACTCGATTTTATTTCACTCGAAAAGTTTAGTTACCGCGTTTCTCAATCGTGTATGCTAAGATGAGAAGCATATACCCAGATGTTCAGCAAAGATTTCCTTTCAATAACGTATCGGATCTATTCACAACCAAAAAGTCACCTAGAGTCTGGAGAGTCTCTTCTCAGAGAGATCGTCGTCTTTCGATCTGACCACCGTAGCTCCTGCAATCATCGCCCAATTTCATGAGCCAAGCCCCAATTTAGAAGGTGGTTTGTTCTGAAATTCTTTGACCGGTCGCCAAACCAGACCGTCGGCGGGCGAATTGCTGGCGCTGATGAGCTTCTACGACGGTCAAGGCATTCCGGACACTCTGCTTCGAGATCACCCGGAAGAGGAAACCGCCCGGCAAGACCAGGACGAGCACGCGTCGCAATCTAGCGCTAGCGATGATAGGTTTGAAGACGATGTCCAGACGCTGCGCGACTACTCATTCATATCTGTGAATTCTGATGGCGCAACTTTCGAAATGCACGGGCTAGTGCAACTAGCGATGCAGAAATGGCTGGAAGTTCACAATCAGCTAGAGCAGTGGAAGCAGCGTTTTATCAGCAATCTTTGGGCCGCCTTTCCAACAGGACAATACGAGAACTGGATGGTGTGCCAAGCGCTGTTCCACGCTAAGTCTGTTGCAGCACAGCGGCTACAGAGAGAAGAGGCTGGGTATCACTACTATACAAGGCGCCATGGTATGCTTGGCAAATAGGAAACCGGGCGGAAGCAGAGGCGATGTCACTTCATTCGATGAGGACAAGGAAGAAGATGCTGGGCCGAGATCATAAAAATACGCTCCAGAGCATGGCAATGGTAGGCCATGCCTATCGCCTTAGGGGGCGTGGGATGCAGCGGAAGAGCTGTTTCTGCAAGTGATGAAGACAAGCAACAAGAAGCTGGGAACGAACTATCCTGACACGCTGACCAGCATGGCCAACCTAGCGTCGAATTACCGGAATTAAGGGCGGTGGGATGTAGCGGAACAGCTGGACGTGCAATTGATGGAGACTCACAAGAAGAAGCTAGGAGCGGACCATCCTTCAACACCAACCAGCACGGTCAATCTAATGTCGACTTACCGGAATCAAGGGCGGTGGGATGTAGTGGAACAGCTGGACGTGCAAGTGATGGAGACGAGGAAGAAGAAGCTAGGAGCGGACCATCCTGACACGCTGACCAGCATGGCCAATCTAGCGCCGACTTACCGGAATCAAGGGCGGTGGGATGCAGCGGAAGAGCTGGAGGTGCAAGTGATGGGGCCAGCGTGCCCAATAGGCCGTACTACTGACAGTACTGAGTACAGTGTACGGTTGATTTAGACCGTACAAACGTACAGCGATCTTCTGTTAGTGCGTATAATAGCTGTTGCCCTAAGTACTGTCTGTAGTACAGTGTACAGTTAGCATTTTAGAATAGCTTATAAGGCTTAATTTAGTGTTTTAAAGAGCCCTTGCTAGAGAAGCTGCCTTAGGGGGCTAATTAGTAGAAAATCTTATGTGCAACACTAATTTAGCTACTTAGAGAAGACTTTGCCTGCCTATCTAGATAGTATAGCTTATTAAAATTAAAATAATGCCTATTACTAACTACTTTTTATTATAGAATTACTTATCTATGCGCCTTATAGCTTTATAGGCCTTATTAAGTTAATCTAGTGTTGCTATTATACACTTTATAAAGTCTTAAAAGCTTAAAAAATTAAAGGTAATTTATAACACCTCTACTAGCTTATTTTATAAGGCTATACTACTTGCTAGTAATAAGTAATTAAAGAAGTACCTAGAGAAGTATAATTATAATGCTAGCACTAAGTTTAAAATTAACTAGGGTAATATATAGCTATTAGATTTAAAAAAGGCTTTACTAGCTACGTAATTAAGTTACTAAGTAAAAAATAAAAAGATAATAAAAGGCAACTATAAAGTTTTAAAAGTGTAGCTTTATAAAGCAGATTTAATGCTATATAAGAAGTAGAGTAAAGTTATACGCCTCTAGCTTTACTATTAGTGCTATAAGTAATATTATAAAGGCGCTGTAAAAGTAGTTAATAGTTATAACTATATAGTAAAGCATCTATAAAAAAAGTATAAAGTTAATGTTAATAAAAAGCTCTTACTTAATAGCTTTTAGGCTCCTTAGCACTTATAGGAGGCAGCTAGAGTAGAAGTAGCAGGCTTGTTACATAGGCTATTTTATACACCTTAGCAGGAAGGCCCTCTGCGCAGTGCCCTAGTAAATTAGGTTATAGTGCAGGATTAATTATTTAAAAACACTATTTTTATAAAAACTTAAGGCCTTATTAGCTAAAATTACATAGATCTTCTTACTACTTTTTTATAATTATACACTATGCTTTTTACTAATATTTAGGATGTATTTATGCAGCAGAAGTAGGAGATTTTAACAGTACTAAATTTAGCATTATTAAAAATTACATTAAGTGTAGATGTGTAGAGTAGTAAAAATTACTTTTTATTTTTTATAGTAGTAGCTTATTTTGTTAGTAAGTGTGCATAGGCTACTATTACTACTTTTCTATAATACTAACTCTGCTAGATGCCTTACATAAATAATAAGATTTTCTTATTAGATTTAAAAACTTTTATAGTAACTATACTAAAAGTGCGCAAGCCTCTAAAGTAGCTGCTACTATTATTAAATATAATATTATGTTAAAATTTAGTTACTTTATTAAAAATAATATGTTAAATAATAATAATAAGCTTATCTAAAGCCTTAACAATTACCTAAATCTGCTATACAAGCTTAACAAGTAGCACTAAATCTGCTGCGCTAGCCACACTATCTAGGTAGTTGTAAAGGCTATTATATATAGTAAAGGTGTTACTAAATTTAAGTAGAAGCTTACTAAAGCTGCTCCCTGTAATTAATTTAAGCTATATAGAAAGCGCAGTGTTGTTAGGCGTCTTTATAACCTTATAAACAGCGTTCTAGCCTTACATAAGCGCATAAGGCTTTTTAACACTATATAAAGAGACCTAGCTAAAAAGGACCTTATTTAAAAGTTTAGTACACTTAATCTTATATATAATAGTAAAGTACACTAGCACTTAGTATATCTTATGCTCCTATGCTGCTTTAAGCTTAAAAAGGTAATTAGCTGCTTTTAAAGGTAATAAAAAGGCTTCTTTAATGCTAAAAATAAGGCTTACTATGCTAGATTTAACACTTTATTAAATCTTATAACTAAAAATAATTAGGATAAAATTAAGCACTTTATAGGCTTTTTAAAAAAGTTTTATTAGATAATAAAAAAACTTAAAAGTAATAGCTTATTTAGCTTACTTTAGTAGATAATTATAAAGCTATAGTGCCTCTAAATCTACTTTAATTAGATAGGTAACACTTTTACTAATAAGCCTAGCTTTTTTTACTTTAAAAGTGCTATCTAGTTTAGCTATTAGAAGCTTATAACCTACTAGAGTAAGCTAATTCTTAAGCCTTTAGCCTTATATTATATAGTAGTAACTATACTTTATTCTTAGCTGCAATTACTATAGTTTTAAACCTACTAGCGCTATTATAAGGCCTAAATTAATAAAGTAACTTAGTTAATAAAGTTAATCTTTGCGTAGTATATAAATACTAAGAATAAAAATAAAAATAAAGATAAAAATAAAGCTAAGGCTTTATTTTTAAAGTGTTGTAAACTACTTAGTAGTAACTATTATAACATTAATTATAAAAACTACTTTGCTATTAACCTCTTTCTTATAATAAATAAGCGCTTATATAAGTGTAAGAGGCTATTAAATAAGCTATAATTCTACTATAACACTATACGCCTTAATCTCTATAAGAATTACTTATTACTACATAAAGATTCTTTATAGTAGTAGCTTACTAAAGGTAAATTAAGCTATTTTATTTTTTATAAGATTACTTTTAATTTCCTTACTATTCTAGCTATAAGCTGTGAGTGTAAGAGGTGTTTTAGTGCTACTAGCTGTACTATAACTAATAATTATAACAACTTATTAGGTGCAATAATTAAGGCTATACAGCTGCAGAAGCACTAGATTAAACACTAAATAGTAAGGAGTAAGCTTCTAGCTCTAGCTGCTCACGTTACTAGGGAAAATAGCCTTATAAGGAGCTATTAGGCCTTTAACTCTACCTCTTCTATAGTATAGTGTATTAATAGTTACAATGTACATTAATTGTACAGTACTACCTGTACAGCTTATTTTAAACGGTGCGGTTACTGTCCGTACAGCTGCCTCTCCTCCTCACGACCGTACGTACGTACAGGCAATCTCGTCCGTACAGGCCTCAAAATCTCCTAATCGTACAGTAGTACGGACTGTTGGGCACGCTGGATGGGGCTCGCGAGAAGAAGCTGGGAGCGGACCATCCTGGCACGCTAATCAACATGAACAATCTCGCATTTACATTAAAAGGTCAGAGACAGTACAGGAGGCAGGATGTACCAGAGGCATGACTGCAGGAGCCAGAACAACTTCTTGTGCAATGGCTAGGGCGGAATTGGTGTTGGAGGTGTAGGTAGTAGGTATAGCAAGCGTCAGAAGTACAGGAAGCTGTTCTGAATAAGCTGCGTGTTGCTCTGAGGCGCAGTTAGTCATGATATCGCACTCAGCTTGTTTATCTTTTCGCGTCTGGAATATGGTATACTAATAGAAGCCATAGCTTTAAGATAGAATGTATCTGGAACTAGAGACGTAGTAAGTCGTTTTGAATGCGCTAGTTGTTGATCTAGACTTACGAAAGGGGCGCGTCGAGGGTGCCGATGGTGAAAGATTGGGTTGGTTTGCCAACCTGCATGTAGAACAGGAGATGCAGACATTGTGTTACGCGCAGGTCCAAACTATACCAGATTTGCAAAAGGTATTTTGGTAGAAGAGCACACAACAAGTGCTACAAAGGAAGGAAGCGTTTATTACGCTGCTCGTTGTACAAGAGGGTGAAGGTTTCTTGAGCGCACTGGGTCTTTAAGACTTGGATACTAAACTGTGTATGGATCTACTAGGAAGCGTGTCAGGAAATATTCTGCCTGTATATATGTACATTATGACAGATGTATAAAACTATAGTAGTGGAAGAGGACGAGGCAGGGTTGCTGTTGTAGTAACGTATCTGAAGTGTTTATAGAAATCTGATTTTGTGATATGGATGAGATGTTTCCTAGGAAACATGGCATATAAGAAAATGCAAGCATACGTTTAAGAGCTACCACATTAGGTTCAGCATGGAAGAAGGTACCAGTATCATTACCGGTACGATATTAGCAAGAGCTTGGAATATCAAGACGGAAAATATCGCCAGACTGCTTGATGGGGCTCGGTTTCTAGCCTTACCCTTAATATCTACTGTACTTGATCTCAATGGCTACCATCCTTGCCTAGTGCTGTGCCCTCACGAAATGGGACTCTGATAAAACGCGGTATCAACGTTGTTCGTCGCTGATGTCTAAAATATTTTATAGGCTTGTTGTTGAATGGGCTCTTTCAGCTAGCTGCTTATGGTATGAGCACTTAAGTAGCAAGAGTAAGAGTAGTGTACGGTGTGCACAGCGTACGGAGTAGGCAGGGTGGGCAACAGATTTCTGGTCATTGCTTGTCTTCTTTCTGCGTACGGATGAAAAGGAGAATATCTACATGTTCGCGCACGGAGGTTCGCGCACGAGCATCATGTGACATAGTTACGTGATCCTTCTCGCGCGATAACTAGTATCCAGACTGTAACGCTGCTGCTGCGTACGGACACTTGTGCTGAAATGTTACAATGTTGAAGTCATTCAAGTTGCTTGTCGTGATGCCTCTGCCATTCGACGACTTTCTAATACGATACTAGGAAAACTGGACAAAAAAACTAGAATAGAATGTCAGAACAGAATTTCAGAACGGAGAGTGAGAACAGAGAGTCAGAACAAAATAAAAAATAAAAATCCAACAGAAAAACTGTATAAAGTGAAAGAAGCCACCCAATCGCCAACATACCGATCCCTCCACCTCAAACTCTCTAGCTGTCTAACCCTTCTTTCGGGACTTCGGTTTGGCGATCTTTCTGCCAACTGGCGGCGGCATCGTAGGGCCATCACGGAGCGGGAAGGCGGATTGAAGAGGAGAGGATGGTCGGGGCAACACATGAGGACCAGCCTCAGCGTCATCCCCCTCACCTTCAGAGGGCGATCGAGAATCCACACGATGACCAGCCTTGGTGTCACCCTTCTCCCTTTCACCCCCACTATCTGACTCCGCGTCAGATTCGGCGTCCGGCTCATTCGACTGGCTGAATTCAGAGTCGCTGTCGTCGGAAACTCCTGCGACAAGATCATAGAGCTGGTTTGCGAGGTCGTCAGGAAGGTTGTGGTCAGGATACTCACGGTTGGAGAGCTCGGAATCCAGGTCAGAGGGGGGTGGAGGCAAAGGCGACGAGGAGGCAGCCGGGGGAGAGAAGGTGCCGGAGAGGCGGGCGCTCAACTCGTCGACCCGGGTGATGAGTTGATCGATGGTGCGCTGGGAAGCGGCCTGGTGGGAGGAGAAGTTTGCCTGAAGCTGGGCGGTGGCGGCTTTGGCGGCGGCAGCTTCAGCCCTAGCGGCTTCGACGCTCTTGCGAAGGTCATGGAGGGCGGTGGTGTGGTCTCGGATGGTGCTGGCAACAGCCATGGCGGCGTCAAGGGCATCTTCGAACGGCGAGAGGGCGCTGAGGATGGCATGCTGGATTTGACCCTGAAGGCCGAAGAGTGCATTGAGGTGCCGCTTCACAGATGTCACCCCGAGCATCTGGAGAAAGTCGGTCTCGGTGAACGCCGGGGCCGCCGGTAGGAGAGAAACTGGTGCCGGCTCGGCCTTCATCGCATTGCTAGTGAGTAAAAGGGCCAACAAGGCGAAAGTGTGGAGGAGGAGGCCGAGGAGGAGGCCGGAGCCGAGGAAGGTTGGAGCTGCAACAGACCCGGGAAAGTAGGTATAGGATGACATCTTTGAGGGCTGGGACAGTGTCTTGAAGCTGATGGTGGCGGTGATGGGACGACGGCAAGTTGTGGCATGGAGGCTGGAGGCTACTGTAGTCAGCGCTGGAATGGGGCGCGGTGACTAGAGAGAAAAGGCTTCGAGTGGTGGGCTGCAGGCAAGGAATATGGTGTAGGTATTTTTGGTAACGATGGAGTGTTGCTCGACAAATTTGCTCCACACTTTCACCTGGTGTACAAGGCAGCGATGATTGTACCCAGCATCTATACCCGTTCATCAGAGAAGATGAGATAGCCGGTGCGCCTTGCTATCTTTCACTGTCTTGGCAATATCAACCTCACCCTTGGCATCTTTGGCATTGATTATGGTACTCGTATTGTATTTGGAATATACCCGTCGGTACTTTAGATTTCCACCTCCGCTAGAATCAGTCATTAAAGAAGCTCTTTATAGCCGTATACCGAGCTGTGTTTCACCGTTTTCGACTCTTTCTACTCTACCCATGCCATCTATCGCCTTCATTATTCCTCACTCACATCAGACTTCGCCTTACTCGATCCGGAATCGATTCCCCAGCCACACTACTAACCTCAACCTCAACCTGACCACTCAAGATCCAATCGCCCAGCCCTCATGCCACATAAACTTCCCAGCACTAGAACCCCAAGAACCCTTCGCCGTCTCAACTCTCCACCCCTCACTCCCCACGCCATGATGGAACTTGAACTTGCTGAACAAAGCATGCGTCGCTAGATCACCTGAATTTTCATTCTATCCAGCATCCCATCTACCGTTTCCATGCATCACCAGTGCCAAGCGAGGACTCACGTCTATGAAGGACTGATTGATGACAATGTCGCCGAGCGTTGGCTTTAGGTTGAGACCGAAGATGTGGTCCAGAAGTTGGAGAGGGGTCCCACCACGGGGGCAATGGCTCAAGGTCCAGGGCTGGTGGCACATGGATAGTAGTACCTTTCACGAAAGGGCTGACAAAGACGGCATATTCGTTGCCTTGAATAAGTTCGACAATTTCAGCGATGACGTCACCGAGGGGACCACACGCTAGATGATGTGCTTCTGAGAGGAGCTTCTAACACTCCTATAATGTGGCACCTAATGGAAGAGAATACTCCTGGTTCTCCGAGAAGGACAAAACAGGAAGGTGGGCATTGCCGAATCAGCAGGTGATGGAGAAATCTCTCGAGCCCTGAAAAGGGTGTTGCAGCGAGAACGTATTGTGAAGAACAAGTAGCAAAGTAAAGAAGATATCATGAAATGGAGAACGTGCGTGGCTAACTAGAGGTTTCGGAATTGGTTCTGAGAAAAGGGCGTGTAAGCGGGAGGGCTCCACGATGGGCTGCCCAATCAACCTTGGGCTTGGCATCCAACTATACTATATAAATCATATAGCTCCTCGGACCCTTAGTCCACAATAGACAACTGCTCTCATAACTCGTGCCCCGGGAAGGCTACAGTGTGGATGGAGTATAAACAATGTGGAAGGAAGATGGGGTGAGAAGATGGTTTGGAGGGGGCTCGGACGATGTCGGATCGGAAAAACGTGTCGGGGTGTGATGGGGCCTGACGCAAGCTGGGTGCCTCCGCCCCATTCCTGAAACTGGATTCGCAGCTCCATAATGCTGTCACTTCTCTCTTTCTTTCCAGCATAGTCTTCTCAAATTCCAGACTCTCCAGCGCAACTGCGATTGGCAAATATGGATGCAGTTTCGGCGGCAATCGGTGTGGTATGTTTCCTCCGCCTACCCCTGGCGGCCTCCGCCTTTCATTGGTCGGTTTTCCTCTCCCAGCCTTGCTAACAATTTGAGTGCAGGTAGCCCTCATCCCGCAGTGCGTTAGCAGCGCCAAAGAGCTTTACGACCTCCGCTCGCGCTACAAAGATGCCTCAGTCCTCATATCTGCGATATATTCCGAGTCAATGGTGATTGCTGCATCGCTTTCCCAGGTCCAGAGTCTACTCCAGCGTGATGCGTTGCAGAACAAGCCCGAGCTGCATGAGACGTTTGATAGAGCTTTAACAGGATGTCGGGTCGTATATGTATGTCTAGAAGAGGAAGTGCGGGAGCTGGCGGGGAAAGCAAACAATAATGAACTACGTTCCAGAGACCGTCTCAAATATCTGTGGAGGGAGGAGACGTTCAAGGAGTTGCTGCAGCAGATTCGTGGGCAGCAGTCGGCACTGAGTCTCCTCATCCAGGGCCTGCAGATGTGCGTCCGATCTCCCGACTGTCGATGCACCTTGCTGATTAAGCAGGGAGTCCATCGCCGACATTAAGAAGCTCGTGCAGGACAATGGTGCAAAGCTGGACCTTGTAGCTTCTCGATCAAAGTCTCTTCGTCAATCTCATCCAAAGGTCAAGGTCCCTCGGTCTGTGTTCGACCAAGAATCGAATTCCGAAACCCTCGTGGATGCGCAATCTATTCTGCGCTCTGCTCAGTTCGTTTTTGACGATGAGGTCATCAATTCGACGGCTTATCGGAGAGCCATGGCACTGGCAACCTTACAGACCGACTCGAAGGACCCCGCTCCCAACGTTATAGAGAGAAATTTGGTTGATCTCAAGACGCCACACAAAGATGATCTAGATGATCTAGATCACCAGGACACTATTTCCCGGTCAGCTGATGACCTCAAGTCGCTAAATCTTACCTCGCCATCGCCAAGACCTGCGGAAGAACAGCATATGCTCAATGACCACGACCCAGAAAAGCTCGTGGAGGAGAATGATGAGCTGCTAGACTCGCTCGAACGGGATCTTTTGCCGTTCATGCTTCCAATGCCATCTGCAACGTCCAAGTCTGCCATCGCAATAATAGGGGAAGAGTCCCCGCTGCCCACAATATCGGAATCGTTCCATAACTGCAAGCGAAGCCTAGTAGATGAGCCAACTCAAACTGAAACCGGTAGTGAGTCTAGACCGGTAAACGAAAAGCCACCCCCTCTTCCACCACGTCGTCCTACTGCACCTGTCTCGGTTTCGGCGAGATCATCCGCCAGTACAACAAGGCAAGCCTTTTCTGAAGACAGCGCTTCCATAGTCTCCGATCCGTCCATATTTTCTGCGACTTCGACTACTTCTTCACGAACACTCTCTGAACCTACTACTAGCGAATCTGGTAGCTCCTCAACATTCCACGCGTCCACTTCGATTCAACGGAAAGGCCTTCCCACCATTCCTATATCGCGAAAAGCTTCCTACGACATCTTCAGCACGCTTTCTACCGAGCCGGAAGATTTAATCCGTGTCGCCTCGGCTGAAGACGTGGAGATACACAATATATGGGTCTCCCTTGTCGAAGAAGAGCAAAAGTTCATTGACCGCATCACTAAATTCCGCAGAATTTTCTACGACCCTGTAATCGCCAAATGGCCCATTCTCGAAAAGCATCTCGAAGTCATCATCATTGGCGAACAGCTTGTTCCGTTACAACGCCAATACTTGCTAGAGACTCTGGAAGGCCAAATCTCCCAGACCAGCTTTGCTACTTGCAATCCGGCAGTCTTCGAAGCCTGGGTGAGTAAAGTGCATAAGGTATACAGGGAATATGCGCAAAGGCTTCCGCATGCGGAGAGCGCCGTACGAGTGACATCGAACGCCGACCCAAAGTTCTCGCCTTTCATTGGAACGCTTGGCCTCAGTATTATCTGGTTTGGAAAGGGCTGGGAGGACTATCTCGAATTGCCAATCTCACAACTAAACGTATACGTCGAGAAATTGGAACGTCTTCTCGAACTTACCCCGACTGCTTCCAGTCCCCTTGTAAAGAAGGACGAGCTGCGATTGAAGCGCGCCCTTGAAATCGTGCAGAGACTGCGGTCGAGCTGTCAGCGTTTGATGGAGGAGTCAAAGAAACATGAGGAACTCCAAAGCCTTTATCGTAGGATCCATACCCTCAATGCGAATTTCCTGTCGCAGCTGAGTCTCTCGGATACTGGGCGACGTATCTTGATTCAAGGTGGGCTGGCGATCAAGCTTCGCGGAGAAGGATCTTGGCAACCAGTGCATGCCGTGCTACTAGACAACTATCTTTTCTGGGGAAAGGTCAAGCCGCCGAAGTCGAAGAGCCTGAGCTACCGCGAGAACAGGCATGCTACTGGTGGCAGCATCTGGGTACTCGAAGCCGTAAGTACATCCTCTAGACTTCCTGTCTCACTCCCTTGGATATTGACACTCATGCAGCCAATCCCTATCGCAAGCCTCGAGATCAACCTCCCAGGCAAAGAGAACCAGTTCCAGAGAGCTACTATCATGGACGACATCCCGAGGGGGTCAGTTCTTTACCAACTTTTCGTCAAGGATAACACCTCAGAGTCACATGCACATACGCTTGGTGTCTCCTCAGTGAATGAGAGGAGGACGTGGTATGATCATTTTATTGCAGCTATCGCCGCCCATGGTGCTGCAACTTGCGTTTGATAGAGACGGGACGAAGTAATCCTTTCTGTCGTCATTGGGCCTTGCAGTCTATTGTTTGGTAAGCTCCAACACGCTTGGCCTGATCCGGATTTGGAAAGCACGAGGTCTTACCTTTGGGCCTTTCGTATGGCGGACGCCAACCATCGTCTCAGAGAGTTTGCTACGATCCACAAGGCGCAACCGACACAGCTAGACCATGCAGCATCTTGCATGCCTTTTCGTTTCATTCACACTTACCTCAAGGAACACTAATAAGCTTCCGCTTTCCTGATCAAGTATCATCTTGCTCTACATTCCTTCAAGGCTTCTTGGGGCCACCGTTGACCGAGTTTCAAGGTATCCTCCCGGTATCACCTGTGGATCCTTTAAAACTGCCAAATTATAAGGGCGTAATTACGGGCGCTTGCCGGGGAGATGAAACCCCCATCCCCGCCCCCAATTCGCAGACACAGACCACTCATGCCCTATCCGCGGGCTTCGCCGCACACCAGTTCACAAACAGCTGGCAACCAGACGTGCACCTCGATTCCGGCCCCGACTTCGACTACAGGTCCTTCATACCGTACCGGTCGGATGAGTCAGCCAATTTTGGTGACTGTAAGGAAAACATGGTCCAAAAGGTGTCATCTAGCGAAGGTTGCTGATTCAAGCAAGCCGGATGGGAAGGTTGACGGTATAAAGAAGAGTGAGAGCCCTAGTATCGGGGTTGTCGGGTAGTTCAAGTTTAACTATCCGCTCTATTAGAAGGCGGCACTGGAGGAGCACAGTTGATTGGCGACTGTTCCTAGACGAGGAGGGACATATACCTAAGATGAGTCCCTCATATCATTTTCTCATATCATTCCCTCTCCAGCAAGACAGATTGTTGGGCACATGAAGGTCATAGATCTGGGAGACAGGATATATAGCATCGAGAGACGGTCATCAATAAACATCATGCATAGGCATTACCCAGGCGTCTGAATCAGCTATCGTGGCATTTTCCCCCTCTCCAAAACTGGTCTGACCACAATATGCACGTTTCGACTCGTTCTCACATCATCGCCGGTCTTCAGATAATCCGCACCATTTCACACCCGTAGTCCATGTCTCTCTCGTGTCCAATATCATTTCATCATTGCAGCATTGCTCATGAACAAAATATAGTACAATTGAAATATCCCACATCACCGTCCTCCCTCCCTCTCCCTCGCCTCCACAACCGTAACAATAACGTCCATCTCCTCCTCTTTCACTGCATCCCTCCCCCCACCTTTCCCTACGCCCACCTGCATCCTCTCCGCTTGCACGTCCTCAACCAACGTCTCCAACCCCGTATCCGTCCTCCTAATCCCTCCAAATTCCTTGATCTTCATCACATCCTCCCACTCCTTCGCCCACTTCTCCTCGCGCTTTATCACCGGGTGTTTGATATCGCGAAGATCTAAAGATCCAAGATTTTGCCCTGGCATCGTAACTGGACAATCCCCATCGCCTTTACTCCACGCCCCATAACCTGCTTCTTCATGGGCCAGACGCTGGAGTTGGAGTGTGGAAGTGTGACTCCATTCTAGCGCCGCATAAAGTGGATGGTCAGCAGCGGAGAAGAATTTATCCTGCATGTGGTGGCGAAGGTACCGGCGTCGCTGCCACCATGCGACCGCTGGCTCAAGTCCGATATCCATGACCATAATCCAAGCGCCCAAAATCAGGATCAAGGAAATCCCGAGGACGTTAAAGGACGAGTATTTCTGGCTCATGATCTTCTGGTTCGCGCACATACTGCGTGCAACGGTGTCATTGGCGTCCGGGGGCTGTAGGAAGTCGTCGAGTACGTGCGGCGCCCCATTTGCCATGGTAACCCAGACGTCCTGGACAGATGCGAGAGTGCCTTTGAGCAAGTGTTCGACTTCGAGTTGCCATTGATTCGACGGAAGCGGGCCTTGGTATCCGTACGATAAGCCGTATCGCGCGCGCAGCGCCGACGCGCCGATGAACCCGACGAGTCCGTGAGAGCTGAAGAAGTTGGATACGAGGTTTCCGTCGGCCCACGACAAGGTATCAAACTGCCTTTTATTTGGAAAGATCTTCTTTAAAGGAGTGCCTTTCCTAGGATCAATAAGTCCACGCAATGGCTCGCATTCTTTGGTGGAAGGATTGCAGTATTGGTATTGTGTTGCGCAGGCCATTATTCCGGCGGGTTCGTCTTGGATGTAGGAAGGGCGCGTTTGGTTGGTTTCGTGTTCAACGAGGTTGGTAGCGGGTTTGTGGGCGGATAGCCAGGGGTCGTCGACCGGGGCAGAGAAACGAATGCCGGGCGCCGAGACGTACATCAAGGACACATCCGCATCTTGCCGGGTAAGTGGTGGGATGGGGATGAAGTCGTTTGTGCCGGTGGGGTAGAGTGCTGGATCAGGGGGTGCGTAGGAGAGCATGGAGCTGGAAGAGGAGAATAATGTTAGATTGAGTGGAAGCCGGTGAAGGGGAGAGGGAGAAGAAGAAGAAGATGTGCATACCCAAGTGCGTACTCTGGTCGATTTGTTCCCGATGAGGCAGTGCCGTCGCCAGGAGGATCCACTGGTTTCATTGGCACTTCGTAGGACCAGCGCGTGCCGTTGATCTGTATATTAGGGCCGTATAGATATCGTACCATAGGCCCAAGATCAGTCTCATTATAGGTTTCGGTATACCCTTCTGTCACAATGGGGGCACAATGCTGTACTATGCGCATCTGAAACCGCTCTTTTGGTGACGTATTGATGCCAAAATGATCAAGACTATCCAGCAGTCCTGTATCAAGTATCAAGTTACCCGTATTCATCTTGCAGATACCATCGCTGAACGGGCATCCAGCCTCACGGTTCGCGAAGATGGGTAGCTGGGGCTTAATATACAAGTTACAGCCGTCGACGTTGGACGAATTGGTATAGCATTGTAGACCATAGTTCAATACCTGGCTTGCGCGCTCGGTGTAGTATGGAAGCAGCAGTTCCAGCATTTTGGTGATGTTATGCGGTTTTTTTTGGTTGACTACGCCACATCTTGCGCCTGTTAGAAGCACTTCGCTCGTTGTGTCGGTTGTCACGTGGGAGGAGAAGATGGATGCGATTCCGAAGGCGGAAGAGATGAGAAGCGCGCCGAGAATGATGGGGAAGAGTCGGGCAATGGGTCGGCGGGCACGAGCACCGGAGCGCCATGAGAGGAGTGAAATGAAGAGTCGCCAGGCGGCGTCCTGCGCTGTGTCGGAATTTCGGAGGATGGCTTGTCGTTGGTGGTAAAGACCATCTTCAGGATCAGAGGAGGAGAAATATCGGTGCATGCAAAAGCACCCAAGTCTCCAGAAGCTAATAATCGTCAGTCGTACGTTAGGTAAGGCAACTTCTAGAGAAAATTACCTCTTCCCGACCATTCCAACGAAGATGGCCAGAAAGGCAATCAAGAATCCACCATTCCTTTGAGTCAACGTGATCGTGGCCCCCTGAACTTTGCCATGCGACCAGTTCGTCCAGAAGCCGAGGTGGACTCCGAAGGAATTAGGCTCTGAAGCCATATTGGGGGAGGAAGCTAGCGAGTAATCAAGTGCTGCGGGAAGGAGCCGTGCTGAGAGACAACGATGCACAGCGCAGCCAGCGATTGCGGGGGAATGGTCAGCACTTATGTTGAGCATCAGGCTCTCCTCTAGCCCCATCCTTGTTTCCTTGGATCTCCTTATCAATACTACTCACCATGAAGCAAGCCGTCACAGTTGTAATTATCGCCCCGCTGCAGTCAGCAGCGCTTCCAAGGCGAGGGCTATCAACCGCATTGCAGAACATTGGCAGGTGGCACTTTAGACTCGTTTCTCTCTCGCTTTCTCACAAACAGGACCCCAAAAATGGAATCTATCCTTGAAACAAAGGTGCGAAGGTGGTTAAGGCTGACGGGGGGACAAGCAAGCCAAGCTTCTTCACACGATCCCTGATTCGCTGCGGGGATTTTCCAAAACAGGCTGACTTGCATAGCCGCCCGGCCAGGCACCGTCCCGACAACTCTATTTTGGGGCGCAACAAGCAACAAGCCTAAAGAGGCTTGGTGAGTGAAAGAGATGGCTATCAAAAGAATCTGCTTTTGCCTAAAGGGAAAACGGGTAGATGACTGAAGAGAATGAGAGTTCTAATATGGACGGTTGGAGTTGGGGTTGGACCGAAAATAGAAGTAGGGAAAGGAGATGCAAGATGATTGGTGCGCTATGCGAGCACGTCGAAGCGAGGCGAGGCTTCTGCTGATGCCAACTTCATGCCAACTTCATGCCAACTTCATGCCAACTTCATGCCAACTTCATGCCAACTTCTTGTGGAGACCTGAATGAACAGCTCTGGCCTCAAAACGTGTAAAGAGTTCGGAAAGGCCAGATGTCAACCAGAAGAATGCAGGTGAGGGAATATCTCTCTCCGTGGCCATGAAATCGACAAATTGGGGGATCGCAGCTTACGAAAGTGCCGTATTGCTGACACCAAAGTTGACACGAACATCTCAATGGAGATGCGGAAAGGACTGAAGGATTCAGGTGTTGGCAAAGGGCTGCAGGTACGAAATATTCAATTCAGACCGTCTTGTCGGATGCCATGAGGTGGCGTGTCCAAGAACTGAAGAGGAAATCAGGATCGCGATCCCAGATCTGACAGCGGCGCCACCCATCCTTCGAGATGCGGGTGCCAGTTCATTGGGAAATTATTCGCGATCGATTGTCGAGAAACTAGCATTGTGGTCGTACTGCTGACTTCGCCAAGAAACTTACTCCATCATTTGCTCTCAGGTACGATGCGAGTCAGAAGCCACCGAACCGGCAGTTCATGAGTTCATTCATTTGACGACGAGGGCTGACTCCTATCAAAAGTCAACAGCGAATGGGATCCACGAAGCGTCTAACAGGATACCGACAAAAAGCCACACGGCGGGGGAGAGTTGTGATGGTTGCTGACATATGCGGTTTCCAGTTGCAAGAAAGCCCCATGTACGCTGATATGCCAGGGTTCTGCAGGTGAGATCCCCAGCATAACACTCGGGTGCCCTCCCATCAACTCCTACATATTTGGTACCAGATCCCAGCCAATAGAAGGCTTTTCTTGGTCTCACATTGACCAAAAGAAGAACGGAGCAGCCGGAGTATGTTCATGTATGGCATTCTTATGTCGATCTCTTCTTCGCCCGCACACAAAATCCTCATGAATGTCATTTCGCTTAATGCCAAGGGCAGTTCTCCAGACCCTCACCGCCTGTTTTCATGACCAAGCTGTATTGAAAGGCCCAGTCCACCAGAAGAGGAATATCACATTTCGTACACAATTCAACGAACAAAAAACCATCCAAGAATCCATCATATTTGACCACTAGTATCTAGGGCGGGTATCTGCATATCAACAGCATAGAATCTCGGCACCTAGTAAGCCCTTCTAGAAAGAAATAGCGCCTCCCAGCAACATCCTTCAGGCTCTCTCACCTGCGCTCGTCTCCTCAACAGGCCGCAGGTTTTCTGAACCGCCCTAGCCAGATCCTGGAGATCCCCATAGCGCTTGGCCAAAGCCGCTCAAATCGAAGCATCTCGCGTGTCATATTCCGAAGCCCCCCTGGCTCCTTTACGCCCCCATACAATCCCTATCAGCAGAGGTTTCTCGAGACAAAAGCGCAGTCGTATCCACGTACTTCTCTCCCTCCGACAGATACTCAAGGCTCATATGCTCCTGCTAATATCGAATCATCCCAAGTCCTAAAAAGTCATTCTTTCGCTGCGCACTCTGATAATGATCCAGCGTCCACTCATGCTTGTCCACCCGAAATTCTAATTAATCATCTTTCTTAAACGTGCATTCAAAATCACCCTTTTCAAGTCTCTGAAAATCGGTATCCATGAAGCTTTCCTTGATCTTAATGTCACAGTGCATGAATTAGGTGATGCAGATAGTCGATTCCTCGCTCAATGTCTAAAGGGCGGCAATGGTATCAAAATTGTATCCACACTTGACATACTCCGCTAATACATATCGAGTCTCTCGAAACAGAGCTTCGTGATTTGTAAATCATTGTCTAGGATGACATATCCGTGTACGCAGAAGATTGAAGGCCGTTGCTGGTGGAGGAATGTGCAGGTTGCGATCTCGCGCTCCGTTGTTGACCTTGGGCTGTCTTTGTATCGATCCCGATAGATGACGTCTCACATCTGGTAAAAAAATTTTACTTACAGTTTTAGTAGGTCGAAAAATGAGGAGACGAGAGTCATGCTACACAGCTCGAAGGTAAGTAGTAGGCTGAAGGGTTCGATTGGATGGGCTTCTATACCCTGGAAAGGTTCACCTGTTTAGTGGAACGCGACCCGCTCGACGAGGGTTCAGCCGCGGCCAACCAGATTCCTCTCTCGCCTTCAGAGGGAACCGTACTATTGCTGTCTGGAACGCCAGCCATACAGCCGAGGTACTTCTATGATGGTGGGTTTGTTCTGAGGAAGGCATCTTGCCATGGTTTTATTTCCAGAATATTAGACACATTTGTGTCGACGAGAATATGTAGGGTTTGATGGGGGGACGCAATGCAATTCCAACATGGTAACTAAGTTTTAGCCTAGATATCGTTCCAATACAGTAGGAGAGCTCTGGTCGGAAATAGTATTCGATTCCGTCGGGCAGTCTTCCGATCGGCTCTATTAGACCAGCTCACCTGCGTAAGTTCATCTTACATATAAAAGCTCCAATGGAATCAAACTGGAGAGTAAACTCCAGAATTTCGGAGTGCTAGCTATCGGTTGGATGGCCATGAAATTACTGGGGAGACGCTCTTGAGCTTTCCAACGTATCCCTTGAAGGCTGAAGACGGCGCTAAATCTGAATCAACAGTTCTTCGGTTTACAGATCAAATAGAGGTATCTGCGGGGTGCTAAGGGCCTAAACTTGGGGCACCGTAGGCTGTGGGGTAGGTTGTGGACGCAGAATAGTATCGGTACGTTGGACAAGGAGACTACTAGGAGATTCTTGTTCATGACAGATAAGGAATAGGTATCGTGTCCCTTCTTGATGATACTCCGTACATATGTCATCACGATTGCTAATCCTCTGAGAACGAGAAAAGCTTGGAGGACATAGTCCACTATCGTGCTCTCAAATAACGTTCAATTTCGCTATAGAGAACGGCCAGGTGCCATTAAGGCTTCACCTGAGTTTGTCTCAATCTTCCTCTTCCTTGAGACTGCGAAATCGGCATTGCCTTAGTAATGGCGAAATTCCCAGAAAACTTACACTAACAGCAAGATGTCTATGAAAATAACCTTTCCGCATACAACCGCCACCCTATTTTTACCGTCTATGAATTGCGTCCTCGTGGGATTTCCAGTATTGGAGCTCGTGGTGAGTATTGGTAAAGGGAGGGGGGTTGGAGAGGCTGCGCGCAACCTGAGGGGACACAGCCGGAGGTAATGGGTTCTTATCTAGAATGACTACGTTGAGGTCAGTGAGTGAGACTCTGCTTATATATCCACCAAATGACCAAGTAAATTGAAGCGCAAATATTAAATCACGTCAAGCGCTTATTAAATCATGTCGGGTCAGTCACTCCTAGCTTGTTGTTCAAATATTTGCTAGTAGTTTTACACTTCTAGAATGGGCTCGCTTATTATTTGACAAATATTTCTTTGCTTTCACTGCTAACCATGCGCAACGCCGGATGAACTTTCATAGTTTCAATTCAACGGCGCGAAACGATACGAAACTTTCACCCCAACTCAAAAAGAAATATCATAAAAAGCTAGAAATTCAGATATATCTCCGCCACTGGTACACACCATCGAAACTCCTCTCCCTCCTACCACCGACAATCATGGTGAACCCGATGACCACATCACAGCCCGCCCATCCAGGTATGTCCCTCGCGATGCTTAAGGCTACATTCGAACATGAGAGTTCTACACTACGCGAAAATTGCCCTATCTTAAACAATATCCCTCCACTGGTGTTAAAGAGATTGAAAGACCTCAGATTCAGAATCCAGAAAGGCACTTACGCAGTTGTTGACCAAGCTCCAGGCCAGGTTTTCGGACCATATAGCCTCGTTCCGCCGAGATCGCGACCGCAAGTACAACCCATGCAGAATATACCGGCAGCAGATAGGAATCTTAGACACCTGGAACCGCAGTTGAAGCGAGACTTAAGTGTTTACGGCGGTCAACCTGCGCCACAACGTCCCGTGATGCCACAAAATCCACCTCCACAACGTTTCCTACACGGCCCTGCCCAGAACCAGCCTCAGCAGCAATATTACCAAAAACAACAGCAACCTCAACTGGGCATTCTGCCTCCAGGAACCGTTTCTAACGAACAGCTCTGGGCCCTCTTACTCCGTGTTGATCGAATGATGCAGCTCAACCAACAAAACATGAGGGTCCTCAACAGTAATGTGGGAAACCTGGCAAATGGAATAATTCTGCTCAGGAGGGACTTAGATCTTGTGCGTGGGCGAGCCGTGCCACCTAGAGAAGGAGGAGGTAGGAATGCACAAGGAGGTGTAAACTTATATGACAATGCAAATGCTCATCAAACTGGAAGTCGATTTCAGCGTATGTATTCCTAATTCCTGATGTCTCTTTCCACGTTCTTCCCGACACTACTTAAGCTTAAAGCTTATAGCATTTTAAATTACTAACACTTGTATAGATGGTCTGAAGCGAAAGGGATCCCCAGATCCGTCACCGACTCCTAAACTGAAGCGAGAAAAGGAATGATGGCCACGAGATGAGATGTATGGAAGTTATAGAAAGGAATAGCATGATTCCCTTTCAGAATGCGAATAAGGCAAAAGTGACGGTTCTAGGATGAGAAGTCTGGAAGTTATCCGAACAGATGGTATGGCTTGGTTGTTGTTTTCGAATCATATACACGTGCAAGGTGGATGTTTCTTTCCCATCAACCCCTGAATAATATCCGCAGAATACGTTAGTAGTTTCGAACGAGAGGGTGGGGAGGTCTTCCTGTTAGTTAATGTCGAGTAATGCATCAAATCTGTCAAGGTACGCCTACTATTTAATGAAATGTGTGCTCGATTGAACCATAATTGAAAGGCCCTGCCATTATAAAGACCCATCATCCTCCAGTTCTACCATACCCCACTACTAACGCTACTTGCTATCATATCTGAGCTAACGATCCCAAAGAATAGTAAAACGAAATCTCCGTCCCGCCATTTCAAGCGCAAATTCAGAGGGTTGAGCTCAATTGAGTGGTGAGGCCTAACCGAGGGCATTAAGCGATAAGGTAAGGTCTAAGGAGTGTGAGACAACCCTAAGCAGAGGTGGTTTGGAGGGTATTTGTACTTTGGGCTGTCCATCTTTGACCTCCCATCGGGGTTCCTCGAAATCGTTGGGGCCGATCCGGAATCCGTGCCGAGTGTCGATGAGATGGATGAAACTCAAGAATGGTGCCGGTGCGTCGAGGCTTCTTGGAGAGGTGTTGGAGAGGCGGTAGATAGATATTTATACGGGGAGGCTGGTTGACACAGACTAAATCACCCCTGGGTGACGATGACTTCGAGTTCTGCTGCGAGCAGAATTATTGGCAGTGAAAGTGTATCGACAGTGACCAGGGGCTAGTAGGTCCGCCGGGACGCAGTTAGGGACGCGCGCCCTGAAGACTTACACATGAAAGTCGAGTATACCTTCAACAATTCTTGCAATTTCACCCGTCACCCTGATATATCACTACAAATCACAGGCTATGCCAACGCAGTTATGTGGCGCAGGGCAAATTATCGCACGTGACATTGCTTCATGTGACCCTGCGTCAAGGTGAATGTGGGTCCTTAACTCACGCCAGTTTCCTGTTTAGGTCTAGTAATAACCTCATTAGCAGTAGTGCCTTTCGAACTACTGTATTATCTCTCGATCCTTAGACTTTACACATTAGCTCAAACGACTTAATTTGGCTCTCACCGCCCAATTGACTACTCGCAACTCTATATGCCCTCTACTATCCGTTAGCTGCATAACTAACCTCCCCGATAAAACAACTCTAACATAACAGAGTCCAAAAGGGGTAAGACCGAGAGAATGCAACCATATTGAGTCCTTTTAGCTAGAAATAGAGATCCTTGTTCCAGGAGGGGAATTGCTGATCGTGGAAGGCGCCATTTATACCAGTATCTAGGACCCGCTCGCTGGTTCTCTTAACATCAGAGGAGTGACATGAGGTTTGTCTCCTCCACCAAACCGGCTTATGTCAAGGGCGAACTCTTCAATGTCTTTAAAGCCATATTTTAGGTAGAAGGGATGCCCATCCGGAGTCGATTCTAGATAGACGGGAAAGCCGAGTTCGTTAGATTTATCCATGCCCCATTTGAGGAGAAGTCCACCTGCGCCACGCTTTTGGAATTTTGGGTCGGTATGGAGGAGATGAAGGTCTAGTGACCATTAGACTGCAGTACACTTATGGAGCAGCGGAGAGAACGGGAAGAGGAATTGTCATACTTACAAATATGTGGCTTGCTGCCTATGAGTTCTTTCTTTCTTTTTGCCAGTCCACCAAAGAACGCCGTAAAGGCTTCTTTATTCATACCTTGTCTAATATCCACCGACCGTTCCGCCGCCGCCGCGGACTCTGGGGTATCATATATATGCCATTTGGAGAAAGCTATTAATTGCCCGGTCTCTTCGTCTACAGCTTTCATATATCGGGTACTTAGGTCGCCTTTTCGTTCAGATATGAGACCTTGTGCACGCTTCTCCTGAGAGTCTGGAGGGAAAGGCCCTGGGAACAGGATCGAGCTTATGGGGTTTGGGGAATATGCATTAGAATATGCAGCCATCTCAACCTCGCACGCACGAGGGATGTCAGAGTCCAATGCTTCTTGCACGGTAATTGCCATTGTTGAAGATGCGAGTGGAAAATGGAGGAATGGAGACTTGAGGTGGCGAGTGTTTAGGCCAGGGTTGTTATCGATAACCTGATTAATTAGATTAGTAATTAATTAGGTTAGCGTGTTACACCACTCATCCACCAACACCAGTCATCCGCCAGCGCCAAAAACCACCAAAAATAACAAAAATTGCACCTTAAGATCTCAATAACACCTTAAACAAACAACAGGGAACCTTTAATATAGTCCTTTTTGCCTCCCTAGAGTACACTATATAAGCATAGAAGAAACCTATATTATAATACTTAAGATATTAGATTGTAGCCTAATTCTAGCCTCGAAATCTTTACATATTAACAACAGCTTAAGTATACACTCTAGGGCTCTAATATAAGTCTCGCGAGAGGTATAAAGAGGTAATATTAAAAATTTAGACCTTTCTGCTTAGCTGCTGTTAAGATCTTAATGTAAGGCCGGATGTCCCAGAACGGGCCAGTATGGCCTCACCTGACCTGTTTGGAGGTCACATAACCTGTGCTTCGTATATAAGCATGAATCCTGACAAGCGAGGGTTGGCAGCGATTCGTCTCTCTTACAATACACTCCTATTTCTCCGAAGCCTTGCTCTTAGTGCTATTTGTGCTATCTACTGTAACGATTCTCATGAATCGTTCCATCTCGGGTCGCACGGAACCTATCCGAAGGGTCCCCGTATCGGCCCTGACCCTGACTCGACCCTGTCCCCCGCAGTTACCCCTATTCCCCTAAGTATTTAGTTGCACCTCTCCCCTAAGCTAGCTTAGTAGTTTTCTAATATCCTTTTGTACAAGGCTTATAGGTGTTAATGGAATTCCTAGGTTATTAAGTCCCCACGCACTCCTATATGCGTCTGAGTGGATTCCTACCGCATTCGGACCTATTGTCTTGCCTGCGCCGTTACATCTACTATCCTAACGTACACCACAGGCGAATTGCTCACACACCTAAGTTGCTTACTTTTACTAAGACCCTACTAAACTACTTTTTCTACACTAATGCATTTCTAATAACACTACTTAGGTGTGCTAAAAGAATGTTAAATATAGCTTACACTTTAGGCTTTTACATAAAATATAATACTTTTAAAGTAATATACTATAGCTATATATAAAGTTTTTTAAAAAAAATAATAAATAACTAATATACTAAATAACTTTTATAAGCTAATTTTATAGATAACTTATAAAAGCTAAGTAATATATATAAGATTTTTTTTTTAGCTAGTAGCTATAGCTAATATAGCTAATTTTTTACACGCTAAGTATAATCTAAGCAATATTAGCATAAACTAGCCTAGTGTGTTTATAAAGTGTTATTTAAAGCTTAAAGTAAAGTTTAAGTATAAGTATAGTTAGTAAATATCTAGCTTATTATAAAGCCTATTTTATTAAAGTTATATATATTATTATTTTAAATACTATACTTAGCTTTAATATTTTTATAAGGCTAAACTAGCTTTAAATTACTTTAAAATTTATATAAAAAGCTTTTTTATAGTTGTAGTTATACTTACAGTTTACTTTAAGCTTTAGAATAACACTTTATAAATAAACTAAGCTAGTCTATGCTAATATAGCTTAGATTACACTTAGTGTATAAAGAATTAGCTATATTAACTATAGTTACTAGCTAAAAGGAAAATCTATACATATTTAGCTTAAGTATATGCTTAATAATTACTTACTTTTTTATTATAATTTAATTTTTATAAGTTAGCTATAGAATTAGCTTATAAAGGTTATTTAGTGTATTAGTTATTTATTATTTTTTAAAAAACTTTATACATAGCTATAGCATATTACTTTAAAAGTATTATATTTATTTAAAAGCTTAAAGAATAAGCTAAATCTAATATTCTTTTAGCACATCTAAGTAGTGTTATTAGAAATGCATTAGTGTAGAAAGAGTAGTTTAGTGTAGTCTTAGTAAAAGTAAGTAACTTAGGTATGTAAGCAACTTGTCTATGGTGTACGTTATTAGTTTTGCATTTAACTAAGGTTCTATTATCACCCGCCTACGCTATAGATTTAATTAAGCAATACCTTTTAGTCTTATAGATCCCTCTGTAGATTCCCCTACGCTCTATTTAAGCTGTCTAAAGGGTTAATAGCTATGGACCAGCTTTCTAAGTGTAGAGGTTAAGATTTTTAATTTATTAGGAGATAGAATATTTGGTTATTTCATTTATTGAGAGATTAATTTGGGCGATTTCTGGACAATCAATCGATTATGCGGCGTCGAAATATTAATCAATTAGGAGGCTCTTCAAATTGGTGGATAGTGAGTAACCTTCATAGCAAACGATGGTTCATGCACGAGAATCTAGCCAACGCTTAATTCGCTATCACCGCCCGCCCACCCTCGCCACAATATTCATACATTAGAAACATAAACATTCAATTAAACATATTACAACCACCTACAACAGCCCGAAACCCATAACGGCGACTACGGCGCCCACAACGCCACTCATCGTGTCACGCACAGTTAGCGCGATTGCGCCGCCAGTATAGAGCATGGGTCCACCGGTGGTGGTGGTGGAATTGCCGGCTTCATACGTGGTTGTTGCTTTGTAGTAGATGTACGGGCTCGTGGAGAGAGGGGGGTTTGCGGGTGCGGGCGAGGTGACGGCTTGGTAGCCTTGCACGACAGTGGTGGCTCCAGGGTAGCCCGGTTGCGGCGGGCTCGAGGGAGGTGCGTGGCCGGGGTGGGAGTAGACGTATGTCTTTGTGGAAGGGCCCCCGGGTTGAGAATAGACGTATGTCTTTGTAGAGGGGCCTCCGGGTTGAGAGAAGACGTACGTCTTTGTCAACGGCGGTCCAGGAGGATATCCCTGGGAATGGACGTACGTGTTCTGTGGTGGAGGACCGCTCTGGAGTTGCTGATACGCTGAAGAGACGTATTTGTTCCATTGGACCGTATACGCAACACCGGATTGAGGCTGCGTGGGCGTGGCTCCTGGTTTGGAAGTGGCCTTGGCATATCCATGACTGCATGTGGGACATGTTGCCGTTACGTACTGTGCAATGGTAGTAGTAATGACACTGGTAACGCGAGAGACTGGGTAGATGGTCATGATACTTGTGTCTGGGCCGTCGCAGACAGTGGTGACGACCTGAGTGGTGCAAAGTGTAGTGTAAACATAAGTGCTACAGGCGTCAGTGAAACTTCTAGAAGTGCAAGATCTAATAACTTACATCTCGGTTACCGGACCGGTTGGATAGGCCTTGGAGTTGAAGGTGGAGGTCGCGTTCTTGAAATAGCCCGTGGTTGTTGCATTAGCGATTGCAGAAACAGTGTAGTTAGAGCTAGTAGTTGTAGGCTTGACGGACGAAGTAGTGGTCACGTTCTTGTCGGGCAGGTTCGTACCCATGCCAACACTGAATATGATCTCCGACGACACGTTTCCGGGCGCCGACACAATCAGCTCGAGCTCGGTGGCTACGCTAGCATCGAAGGTGGTCTTCGCGGGCGCCTTGGACGTCGCGTTCAGCGTGGCGATGTTCTCGTTCGCGCGGACGTTGCGCAAGACACCAGTGATACCAGCAGTGCCTTTGACGACAGTCAGGGTAAAGTTGAGACGCTCCCCAGCAGACGCCGAGTAAATAAAGTCGTGCGAGTTCTTTTCAGGGGTAAGGTTTTCGGTCACGGTGACACCGGACGTGAGAAGCGTGCTGCCGACAGGAGAGTCCACCTCTGTGGCGCCGCGTGCAATAACCAAATTAATAAAATTCTTCTGGGCTTTGGCAGAGGTGATAATTCCAAAAGTGCCACCGGTGCTCAAGATGCCCGAGATGATGTCTGGAGACGGGTCGCGCTTCTGCAGGGAGCGCTTGGTCACAGGATTAACCGGCGGGCTGAGGAAGCCATAGTTGACACGGATGCCCTGAACCTTTGCACGAGCAAGCTGAAGAAGCTGGTTGGCGGGGCTCCCATCTTCGCCGTCAGTGAGAACGACGATACCAGAGCGCTTTGCGAAGAAGCCGGGCTGGTCCTTGATGATCTCGTCGATGCCCATGGCAATGCCCGATCCGATATTGGTGCCTCCGCTGGAGTCGATGACGCCAAACGTGCCAGCAGCACCAGCAGGGTCGCCCATAGGGTACAGAAGGGAGGCGCTGTCATCGAAATCAACAACAGCGACTTGGTCGGGATAGGGGCCAGAGCCAGCCTGCGCAGCCGTGGTGAGTTTCGCGTTGAAGTCCCGAGCAGCTTGGATACGGAGGTTAGAGGGATCGGTCCACGAGTTGGAGCCGGACGAGTCGACGACGATGGCGAGTTTACGGTTGCGGCAGTCCTTGGCCGGGTCGTCTCGAACCATGGCGCATATGATCAGCGCCGCTTTCTCCGGGTCGTGTTGGCGTTTCAACTCGTCCCGGAAGTTCTTCCATCGCTCTCGGGCATCCTGGATCGCGGACAGGACGGCGCGGGCAAAGTTTCCACTCACTTCCTCTCGCGGAACGCCATTGGCATCAGGGGTAATACTACCGTCCAGTGTGATGACGCCATGGTCCTTGTTGAGGTTCTCGTGGATAACGCGGTTCCGGCAGCCAAAGGACCCGGTACCGCCATTGGGGAGCATCTCTGCTACGTTGAAACATCCAGTGGTCAAGTCAATGGGCACCTTTTCAGATATGCTATTCGAGGCCCGAAGGTCCAAGAGGTCGTTGGCAAGGGTTCGGTAATTGAGACCAGGCGGGTTGGTGACAGAGATGGGCCGGTTCGGATCAGACTGGTCAGCCCAGTTGCTGTGGCTGTAAAAGTCCTCAGTGCCGTGTAGAGCCCGCCCAAGGCCTTCGAGAGCAACGCATTTGCCCCTGTTGATCATGTCATCCGTCTTCTCGCGGTGGCTAAAACCACATTGGCCGAAATCCTTGAGATTCACTTCATTGTCGATGATCTTGTTGTCGCTGTCGAGCATTCGGGCAGCGCCGCGAATACCTTGACCGAAACGCATCCTGAGGTGGTCGACGCACGCCTGAAGCGCCGCAGATGCGTCCGCGCGCGACTGAGGGTAGTCTGGGATGTTGAGGAAGTCGGCGTCGTCGCAGTGAGCCACAGCGTCCTCTGGGGGGAGGGTATCCGGAGATCCCACAGCGCCATTGAAGCCAGGACTGCCAGCAAGATTGTCGAGTGAGAGCGGCTCAAAGCAGATGCCGTCAGACTTCTGCCCATCTGGGCATCGAAGGGCGGACCGAGTGATCATCTCGTGCTCCGCATGCTGGTGAAGAGCGCCGTTGATAGTGCCAAAGGGTGTGGCAATTGAGAATGGTATTAACCATGCGATGAAGGCCACTGAGGCAATTTGAGCCTTCGGAGTTGGAACCTTCCTGCAGACAATGTTAGAATTTAATCTCTCCCACGCAGCATTCACTCACATCTTGTCCGGGGTTCACTGCGGACGGGAATTAACTAAAGAGCGAGAACGAGTGTAGTGGTGAGGCGGAGGAACGCCGTAGTATGTAAATTGAAAACGAGTGTGGGTTAGACAAGTAAAAAAACGCGAAGAGCGAAGGACTACAAAAGAACGACAATTCAACTGCTAAAGAGACAAAAATTTGCGCGGAGCCAGGCAAAATATACTGTCAAATATAGTAGAGATCGACGTCCGATGTACTTTTTCTGGCATCTTTGCTGCAAGCCACGAGCCGTATTGGTGGATGTAGAGAAACAATGGCGGCCAATTGCAGCATGAGATACGCGCTCAGATCCCAGAGTCCAAAACATCGTCAGCCTAGTTTGCGAAAGAGATTCGATTATTGGATCGACATGGCCGCCACGAGGCAGGCTCGATAAGGGGGAATCCCCAGCCTGGCGACGATGAAAGAATTGAACGCCCTCATGACCTGGTAGGCGGGCTAGGCACTCGAGAGAACTCTTTGCCAACGTAACCGGAAATTTCCGTCTCTCCACGGTAGTACATGTTGATGTCACACTTTACTAGCCTGTCAGGAACGAGCTGAAAGAAAGGTCGAGGTTCCAAGCCCTCCACCGGCGCGACGCAGCTTGGCAACACATCGACGCAGGTATGTCATCAGGCATCAATAATCTGGCTGGTTGAAGAGCCGATTCCGATTTTACTCAGTTCATGAGAAACCCAAAACGAGGCTGCACCAGACTTGGCAACAATTAAGTCAACTTGTTAACTTAACTTAATTAACTTAATACTATTAAGTTAATTAAGTTAAGCATAGAAGCTAAATTTATTAAGTTAATTAAGTAAATTTTACTTACTTAATTAACTTAATTAACAAACTTAATAGGCTGTAATATTATAAGTTTTACTAAAGGATTACTAAAAGTTATAGTATCTTCTAGTATGTAGAGTAGTAAATCCTAGTTACAGCTACTAAGGTAGTACTTTACTGCCTACCTAATAAAGCTTAGTGTTTTCTATTCTGCTAACATAAAAGCTTACTGCTTACTTAGTAGAGCTTAGTGCTTATCTAAACTTATTATAACTTTAACATGTTATTTTGCCTACTCTACTAACGCTTATCTTTATTAATACTAATACCTTTTCTATTAATATAGCGTTGCCTAATTACATAAAGGGCATAAATAGTAACTTTATTTAAGTTTTTAGCTAGTAGCTTAAAAGCGCAGTGTTATAAACTATCTTTAAAGATAGCGCTACTAATATAGCTACTAATGTGTTGCTAGAGCTTAACGCTAATAAAAGCTTTATAGGCAAGTTATAATTAACTACTAATAGTAATATTAATAATAATAATAATAATAATTATAACAGCATTAACTAGCTACGCTTATTAGGTTATTATAAGCTACCCTACACACTAAAGCATAGTTAAAAGAGCTAGGTTTAGTAATATAAATATTACCTTTAGTATTAAAAGTAATAACACCTATATTAGCTCTACTATTACTGCTACACTTATAGGTAACTTAACAGCTTTTATTAAGCTAATTTATTAACTATATTAATTATGCGCTATTTTAGAGAGTGTAAAGCTAGCTACAGCATTAATAAAAATAGTAAAAAGTCTACCTACTATGTTATAATAACATCCTCTATGTAATTCTCTTTACTTGCCTATATCTATTATAAAGGCTTTAAAGTATTATAAAGTGTTACTAATCTTATTATATTAAGCTTATTATATATAACTTTTTTATAGTTAGTACTTAATTAGGTAGTAGCTAATAACTAGGCGCTTTTTATAATTAAAGGCGCAGCTTTTTATAACATGTTATAGTAAGCTAACTTGTTAGCAGAGATAAAGCTCTAGAGATTCTATAATACCTTATAAGCCTATATAATTGCTAAGTATAAGTCTTATGTGCCTACTATTATTAATTACTTATGTAACACATAATTAGCTATCTATATCTCCTTTAATAATTAGACATTAATAAGTAGTAAATAAGTGTTAATAAGTATTTATATTTACTACCTTAATAGTAACAGTAAGCTTTATAATTACATATTAGGCCTACTTTTATTAATAGGCTAGCATATAGGTGTTAATATTACTGCTGTTATTAACACTACGCTTAAAAGCTTTAAAATATTTATGTGTAACTTAGGCTACTTTATTTTTAATAATGCTACTAATAATAACACTGCTATTAACACCTTAGCTATTAAATATAGCTTTAACACTTATTATTAACGCCTATATTACACCTACTATATAATTAATTTTACTACTTAACAGATTATATTTAGTAAAAATTAAAAAGTGTTTAATAACATAAAAAAGCACTTAAATAATAAGGCAGCTTTTTTTAATAAGTAGCAGTAAGTAGGCTCTTTAAGTGTTTTAATTAATATTATTGCCTTTATTTATACGCTATAAGCTTGCTAGCTTCTTAAATAATGCTAGGTAGCCTATAACACTTAATTAGATAGTAATAGTAAGGTAAAAATGCTAAAGATTATTAAGCTAGTAAAGATAAAATAAAACTTTTATTATAATTATTTTTTACACATGCTTAAGCTTTATATGCTTTTTAATAACTATATTAACTATAAGCTTATTAAGTACTAATGCTAAAGCACTTATTAATACTTATAACTACTTAATCTTAAGCAGTGTTACTTTATCTAAAAGAATAGCCTTAGTGTAAAGAATTAAGTAATAATTATAGAGTATTATAAGATTTTATAACCTTTTAAAAAGGCTACTATTTATATAGAGGGCAGGGGCGTAGCTAGTATGTTAGAAGTAATATAGAAGGTTTTACCTACACTTACCTAGCTTTTTACTACCTTTAATAATATGCTTTATTAATATAATAACATTAACTTTAATAACATTAACACTTTAAAGAATTATATAAAAGCTACTTATAATATAGCTTATATAAAGATCTACAAGTATCTACATAAGTTAAAGAATACCCTAGCATATTACACAGCCTGCTGTCTCCACCCGCGCACAAAAGGCTACATAGATAAGGTGTAAAAAGTGCCTTATAATTATAATAAAAAGCTTTATGTAGGGCCTTACTTTTATAAAGGCTAGCTAGATAATTACTATATTAGTTTTTAATACTTATAGGTAGAGTTTAAAAATGCCACCTCTTTAATTAGTACACTAGAGCCACTACTAAAGAAGGCGCGTACTAGGCTGTCTAGAAGCTAGTTAGACTTTATAAGAGCTACTTTATAAAGTAACAACACACGCTTATCTCTTTACTGTAATAAGTTTAAGTAGTAAATAATTAAGTTACTTATGCTAAAAAAGTTTTTATTTATATATAATCTAATTATTTACTAGATTAAAAAGGCTAATAAGTACTTTATTTTATTACACTTTACCTTTATAGTCTTTAGTATCTTTGCTGTAGCTACTAACTATAAAAGGACTTTTTTTAAATTAGGTAATTTATTAAAGATAAAATAATTATATATAAAAGTAAATTTTTTATCTACTTTATAATTACTATATAGCTAAAAGCGCCTTAGCTTAAAGCCTATAACAGTATTAAATAGTCTCTGTAATAACAGTATCTTTTCTAAAGAGCTTAAGACTATCTATAATATCTATAGTTAATTTAATATGCTGTAACTACACTATAAAGCTATTAATTAAGTTAAGTTAATTAATTAAGCTAGCCCTTTTTAGGGCTATTAAGTTAATTAAGTTAAGTAAAAGCTGCTAAATCTGTTAATTAATTAAGCTATTTACCTTAACTTAATTAACTTAATTGTTGCCAACTCTGGGCTGCACTGAATAGCAAGATTGGGAACCTTCATATGCTGTATTACTCGTTATCTGTAACAAACTCCGTACAAAGTGGTCCATAAAAATACCTATTCCGCATCGAATACTCCATACTCCCCATCGAACTCCGGGAAATCATGCGGAAAGTCAGTGACCAGGCAGAATTCAAGGCCAGCAGTCATGCCACGTTCCACAACGTTTCAATAGACGAAGATATTCCTTGGCTCCGAGCAACAGAGCGGGGCAAATTAAACAACCATCCAACGACTGCGACTGGCCCCTCGGCTGGTTGAACATGACGGCCATTCGTAATGCTAACCCACGCATTTCCGTCTCGTAGGAAGAGAAGAAATTGGTTGTATTAGTCACAACCTAAGTTGGCAATCAAGTCAAGTGGGGCCTTGAAAACACTACAAACTTGCTGGTTGACAAGTCTGAAAGCCGTATATGAGCGAGAACTAAATGATTCCAAGGGAGGTAGCAACGAGCTTGGGCGGATGAAAGAAATTGCCATCAACTTGAAAGAGCTCGAACGAAAGGAGTTCAATAGTCGAATATCGACACAGTTCCTTTCCCAGCCAGCCATCTAATGCAAGATTCGGGGTTTTGTTTGCCTATAACGTATAGAAGCAAGTTTTGCCGTTGCTCTATACGTCCCATGTTTGCAGTCACAGAGATCCCCGAGCTCTAGTCACTTGATGACTTACTTTCCCCCTGAGACACTACTTGTTACGTTACGTGATTTACCTCCTGCTTATTCACTTGCTGCCTTGGTCACTCCTTTCCATATATATACCCTTAGGTACATTCCTTTAGCCATCAATCCGGTTCCTCATGTCTCTGATGCTCCTAAAAGCTTTACATCCCAAATTATCGACATGGAAATGACGCGATTCAAGTGAAATGCATGGTATGGAATATGGAGCACGGTGAATAATGGAATATGGATCATTGGGCATACAGATTAGACATTTGGCGTTTTGGGCGTTTTCAGTTTTATTTAGAATATCGCGGTCGGCAGACCTTACCCCCATTCCGGGTCTCACATGGTTCAACCCTATATGAAGTAGAACTTTATTATATATAATAATCTGATTCAAAGAATAGTTTCCGAAATGGAAATCCTTCAGTTTTTGCTTCTACATCATGGAACATAATCAGGGAAGAATTCCTCTCTTCAGTATATTTAGACCCCATGATAGCATTAATACGGTGCAAATATCTACCTTTACTTGCCATTTCATGTTCTCCGTTTGGCGACCAAATGTTTAATCCAACCTTAGAGGGTCATAATGTCACGTGCGCTGCTTAGAATGTGCCAACTTAGGTACCTAGAGATTTAAGCATCATGGAAGGAAATATACCTTCGAACTCTTTCAAACAAGAAATACCTCATCCTAGATTGAGAAATTAGCAAAACCCCCTTCAATATCCAGTCAAGTTTTACACGTGCCAAAGCACATACCAGGCTTGGCAGGCCTTTCCAATCTCGGAACTTTCAAGGTTGCCTAGCTTACACTTCCACTATCAATGAAGCCCCATTCATCATTTGTTTCATCTTTACCCATGGCTGTGATAGGCAGAAGAACTCTCTCTACTACTAGTCCTATTATTTAGCTTATTATTACTGGCATAACTGACCCTCAGAGACCGGATTTGCTTTGTCCGCTTGTGCGGGGTGCTGTCTTCGTTTAGCACGAGAAAAGCCCAAGACAGTAACAAGAGTTTGTTGGCGCTAAACAGTCTTCGTTTCTAGTGAAGGGCAAAATGTCACTTTTGTCGTTACCGGTCGAGCTCGTCCAATTGGTTATCGAGAGCACTGTCCTCGCTGTCGGAATAGACAAGGCTGTCAGTCTGCGTCTCGTGTGCAGTAAGATATTTGTTTTACCTCCTAGAATAACTTTATCCCGCTTACCCATTCAAGCACTCTTTGACAATGAGGTTCAACGGGCTATATATGCACTTCCCACGTTTGAGACCCAAGACGCTGCACTCATACCAGAAACATGCCCACTACCTTACCGAATGGGCGTTGAAATGAAAACAAGGCTTGTTATGACAAAGATCAAAACCAAAAACGCGGCCAACCGAATTCTTTGCCGAGCTATCAACTCAGCCGTGGATGTGCTCGCCGAGGTGCTAGCACAGGATGACGCTTCTACGCGTCACAGCTACGCTCGACTACTAGCCGAAGAAGCTATTGGATATAATAAACTTCTCCGCATCGTGGGTTATCTTGAACCTCCTTGCAATCTTCCTGAGGTCGATCGAAGCTTGGATCACGCAGCCATTGCTGCAATATCTGCCAACCAGCCCTTATTGCTGGATGAGTTATTAGAAAGGGGCGCCAACATCCATCCACTAGATTGCCTTTTCGGTGATCCCTGGGCAATTGCTGGGCGGCTTGGAAATGAGCAAATGGTGTTGGCTCTCCTGCAGAAGCTATTAGAAAGTGGTCGTAAGGACCCGAAGGCACGGTCTCGAGGTCGTCGATGTGCTGCGTTGCAAGCTGCCGCGTCTGCTGGTCATGAACATATCGTGCGCATCATGCTTGAACCTAAGTATCGGGCAAGCGGTGGTAGTATGCGGTACGATGAGGCAATTTTCAGAGCAATCAGGGCCGGCCATGAGTCCTTAGCTGCTCTACTACTGGAGCATCGATCACCTCTCGTCAACAGGTCCGGCCGGTCAAACCCCCCGGTATATCGGGAAAAACGGTTTTGGAATCGGCTCGCTGAGTGTTCCGCCCAGAATAACTCTAGAAGGATCTTAAAAGCTGTGCTAGACACAGATTTTGGAGCCCGCGAGGGTTGCATCATGCGCCCACTCGAGGAGGCCTCCAAGGAAGGGAACACCGACATCGTCAAGCTACTACTTTCCCGTGTCAATACGGAAACTCGAACGTGTTACAGATTAGCTTTGTCCCACGCAGCACGAAATGGCCATTTCGAGGTTGTGAATCTTCTACTCGAGGTCGGCGCTACCATAAACAACGAATTCACCACGGGTTTCTTGTCACCTCTCGTGGGCGCTGCATTTGAGGGGCGGCTTGAGATGGTTCGTCATTTGGTTGAGAAGGGCGCATCGCTTGAGCTAGGCAACCAAGGAGCTCGAGCCCTCGCCGCAGCAGCGTCGAAAGGCCATACAGAAATCGTTCGTTTTCTTTTACAAGCTGGCACTGACCCAAAGCCGGCTCTAGAATCACGGATCCCCGATACTATCGAATGGATGAGGCAAGCAACGGAATATCATGCAGATATTGTTCAAATGATGAATGACCACAAGCATATTCCTATAGGCCTTCCAGAACAAGTTAAAGGGTATGATATGATAAAGAGTAGCCCAGGTAATATCAATTGATCCCTCAAGATGGTGGCAACAGCAACACTATCACCCTCTCGATCCTCACATCCTCACAAATAGACACTGTTGTGGACCAAAAGATGTTTGAAGTCCCCCATTATTGCGACATCTATAGGAGGAACGATATATGATTGAAACTAGGGTATTTTTTACTAGGGATACTTTTTCTCGTAACTTCTAGCACATTCTTTTATAGCCTTTCCTTTCCTCACATCTTCCCACAAATACATCTAGACAGTCTGTTGCACCATCTTCATTGTTCATTAACAAGGCATTGGCTGCCTCGCAACGGAGCTTGATCCTCTTTTGTAATATCTCCGAGATATAAACATCACATTCATTTAAACCGTTCAAGTTAGTACTGAAATTACAGTCCAGTTAGCCCCAAGTGCTTCCTCCACGCAGAAATTTGCCTTCCAATATAAAATCACTCCAATCTCTGGGAACGAACTTCAGTGAAGCCTCTGCCACTCCATGTCGCTGTTATTTTTCTTAAACTTCACTTGCATCACCAAGCAGACTGCCAAAGCGTTCGCCCCCCCAAATGCGAGAAATTCCCTTGACGCCGCCAGCTAGCCCATGCCCTCCCATTGTATACATCTGCCAACCCAAATTCTCCACCCCACTTCCTCTAGCACACCCGCATTTGGGGTACAAATCAACTCGACTATTCCAGCCTACGTTTGCTAAAATTCAACATAGTTTAGGACTCTCCAGACTCAGTACTATCATTTCGGCCTACCAATTATGGTGCAATCCAGAAGACTCACACGGAGCCCAACGTTAGATGCCACCATGCTAGTAGCCTTAATGAGCCAGAATTTTGCGTCTAAGTCGGACACGAAGCTCGCGGAGCTCAAGGTTCAGCTCAACGAGGACATGGGATCGATCATCTTAGACTACCCTGGCAAGCTCCGAATTGCGAGTATATGTTTAATCAGATACCGTTAATGCCAATAAATGCTTCCAACCCTCCAACAACACCTTAACCCCCACCCTCATAAACTACGACGAAACGTGATATCCTTGTTATATAAGATGAAATGAAGACGTTAGGTCGCCGCGATAGCCTCCAAGTCACCCAGACCAGCGAATAAGTCCCGAGTCCACCTGCTCCAGAACCAAATTGCCACAATAGAAGAGATCAGGAAACTGTTAGCAGTGTGCCGTCCCCCAGTAGCTCATCAACTAATGGAGAGCCACGCATGTAGATGTCGCCAAACGATAGCAATGCACAGCTCTCTATGGGCAAGCAGCTACGCCTACAGGATGCGGAAAGTCTGGTTCTCTCATTGCTAAATCTCAGTCACGTAGTAGCAGTGATAGAGAGGCTGCTCTTAATTACCGCTTTGAAATACCCTCAAGTCCTTTGGTCCACGAACGCAGGTGCCGTCTCCCCCGCTCGAATTTTAGATTGTCTACGGAAAGACTCTCTTTGCCCATTTATGGGATGAAGCAGGCACCGAATGCGATGAAAAAAGGACACCGAGTTCAAGCCAGGCATCACTCAGAGCAGCTTGAAGTCATAAATTACCCTAGTAACTCTATGTCTGGGGACGTTCGATTCCTTTTTCGGAGGATTTCTGTTGCCGCTTTTAGGTTCACTTGCACCCAAAGTGCCAAGTGCAACCTCCGAAACCCCGTTAGCTTTTCTTGTCTAGTTCCTGCACTGCCGTATCCTGTCTCGTTTCATGATTCCTAACAAGCAGTGTAGAGAGAGGAATAGAGGTTAAGATAAGCTTATATTTTAGCATTATGCGATTATAGGAGGTCAGATTTGGTAAAACCTCGATTATAGATATCGTAGGAGTCTAGGACGACTCTCCTGAAACGCATAATTCAGCATCATGTGAGCACGAGATGTTATATTTACCAAGGCCTCGATCGCAGATATCTTGGGACGGGGATTTTCATTGGACGATTTTCCTAGGAAGTTAATTGTCCTAGGACGCTAATTTTCCTGGGACGAATTTCCTAGAATACCAAATTTCCTAGGACTTTCCCAGGACGCCGATTTTCCTGGGACGATTGTCCTGGGACGCCCACTTGCCCGAGAGCTTTTCCCCGGGGACCTAAGGTTCCTAGGACCGGGTTTAGGCACCAGAGGCTTATTATTTCCTGGCAGGGAACGAAAGTGGCCCCAAAGCATTCTAGCAAGCGCAAGCGACTGAGCATGCGACTGAGCATATAGTTACACGTGCACCCCCGGCTGCCATGTCTCGGTTGGAGTACAGCTAAGTTTCCTATCCATAACTATATTACCATGTGTAACAGATTGCTAATTAAAGATAATATCCAACCTACATGTTGATGACTTGTAAAAGTAACGGGAAGGCACCAATTTCCCCCCTCATAGGATCATGATGACTGCGCAACAGCGCCTTATTCTAGACAAGGCCAACTTTTCTTCTGAAGTTTCCTCTCTTCAGTATGGCCTTGATTAGATCTTCTTCTAGAGCTGTCATGATTAGTTGCCGAGAGTAAACTGAACACTGCAACCTTTCTAATATCTGCTGTTGTTGAGCGACATTACGCGAATTATTGCCGGCTCACTCTTCAAGGCTGCGCCATGCATGACGAACAACTTCGCATTATTCCATGATACAAAGCATTGCTAACTCGCCGCCCTTGTAAGTCTCGACCAGCGTGTGCAAGGTATTCAAGACTCAGCCGCAGGTCTTCACAAGGCTAAGGCGGACAGCGACCATACTAACAACAGATGTGGGGTCCATATTGCGCAACATTGGACGTAGATTGCTCGTATTCATTGCACGGCGATGATTGCAGGATGGACACTAGAACTCTGCAATGCACTCTTTACAGCAGATTGTTTATGTCATTGGTGTAGAGGCGGGTCGTGACCGGTAAGAAGGCAGATCCTAGGCCAATCAACAGTAGGCTTTAAAATTGAAGTTGGTGTGAGGGAAGGGTAAGGCGAGTGTAACTGAAAATTGTAGTATGCGCTGAAAGGATATGATCAAGAAGAAGTAGCCTTCCTAATGAGTGGTGGATGGAGTGAAGTCCCGTGAAGTCTGCCTCGTTTGCCGCTTGCGTTGTTGGGGTATCTTAATAAACTTAGCTAAGTATTAACTAGGATAGTGCTTGTGACTTTGTTAAGTGGCGTAAGGCGGATGCAAAGGGTGGCGTGGAAAATTCTCGCAGCGCAATAAGAGGGGAAAGCCTGTTGTGCAAGCGACTGTACGACCGACGACCGTCGAAAGCGACTTTTGATTAGTGCGGCTGCGTGATTTGGATCGGGACTACAGATAAGCCTTTCAAAAGTCTTTGCCCGAGCGAAGAAAAAACGCCACAATATTGGCGCTAAAAACGCCACAATATTAGCGCAAACATCGGAGATCCTCAATCCCTGAATTCAATCAAATTTCAATAGATTTCCAGCTATACTACCATTTATTTCATCTCTACATGGCGCCTAATCACGATATCGCTACTCAAGCTTTAGTTGTTGCCCTTAAATCGCCGTCTGTGGGCAAAACTACCCAACAGGTCGTGTCAATTACTAGACTACTAAAGCGCACTGTTGATAGCATCTACGGCTAAGCAATTAAGCGTGGGTTTAATCTTAATGCCGTCCCTCTTGTTATAAAAGACAAATATCTTAAAGATGCTCCCTAATCTGGCTGTCTAAATAAGCAGACAAGTGAGGTCCAACAATCTCTCACCCAGAAGGCACGCCTTGACCGATATGGCCGTGAGAAGACATGTGCTGTCCTTGCTGGCGAGCTTAGCCAGGAGGTTATTAGGCTTGAAGGTGGTAATGAGTACAAAGAGGGAGGAGATTACACCCAGAGGAGGCATTTGCTTGTCCGCCCAATTTGAAATGTGGCTTTTTTAGTGCCTTAGCGTGGGCAAAGACTTTTAAAAGGCGTATCTGTAGAACAGTTCCCAACAGGTACCAAAATTGGTGCTACAGAAGTATCGCAATCAGTAAACTATATTTTCTGATCCGTCCTGCAGGCCAAGCCTAATTGCGGCGCAGCACACAAGACGCAGTCACAGCAGGCAGTCGCGTTTGCGTTTCCTGCAAGGCTCTGAACACACAAAGCAAAGCTCTGCGCCATCTGTGTTGACCGCCTTTTGCAGAGGGAACTTGCAACGCACTCTTAAGCCGAGCCTCGTCAAGTGAACTTTGGGAATCGCTTCTCTCACTTCCTTTTAGCACAATGCACGAACTTTACCGTTCTTTCCGTTATAGCCTTCTCTTTACCGTCGCAGTGTTCCATGTCGGGCAGGCTGCCAACTTTAAAACTTGTATCGAGTATTTGAATGGAAGAAAAAATGATTGCAGTGGTCCCGACTTAATCTGCCCTCAGGATAAGAGCGCGAATATTAAGTTCACTTACCCGGGATGCTTGAGTCATTGTGGGTCAGGCTTCGAGCTTGACGGGATCGATGACATCATCGGGAGGTTTTTTCTATGGCTAGTACCAGCTCTGATTTTGGGAGCCCATTTCCATTTTCCTCCGCTTAGCACGAGGAATACATTAGCCGTTTGCGCGATGCTTCTCGGTAATCCGATTGGGAGCTTGTCTTCGATGCTCACGAGATTGGAGAAGTTCCATCATGGGTATCGGCAAGCACGGGAACATGGAATTGCTGGGCCAGAAGATGGAGATTCTGAGGATGTTGCAGCTGACGTTGCAGCTGTTTGTGTTGCATGTGATGAACTTGGATTCAATAATCCTCTTAGTACCATTCTCGGCCACATTACGAACAGATCAATTGGAGGCACTGAAACCTTAGTTGGATCAAGAGAGGGAAATTTCACCCCGAATACCGCTGTTTGTATTCAAGATACTGGAGCCAGTACGGCTGCTAGTGAGGCTCTGGAACCGAGGTTGAAGAACCAGGAGGGTCCGATTGGACAAAGAATGGAATCGATAGAAGAGAGTGCAGCACCGCGCAATGAGATGGAGAACGGGAATGCCGAATGGAGAACCAGTAACTCGACTCCTGGGAATAAGGGGCTCGACCTAGATGAGGTACTTTTCTTCGCAGAGGCCCGGCACGATCTCATTTCACACCGAAGAGAATCCCAAATCGGAACAACCTTCGCTATCATCGGTCTTATTTGCGCCCTCGCTGGTGCATTCGTAAGGGTTTGGCAAAACCGTGGCAACCCTTGGTCCTCACGGACTATTCCCATGGTCATAATGACTTTCCACTTTATTGCGATGATTCAGACCAGCGCCGTAATTGGATCATTTACTTCTCCTTTCGGACCTCTTCTAGTCCTTCAATTGCTCCAACGCCGAATCAGAGATCGAGATTTACAAGTAGGACGACCATCGAGGCAAAGCCTCCTCTTCCCTATAGATCTTGATCCGGACACCATCTGGAAGGGAAGGGCAAATCTTCCAGATAGCCGGTCCAACTGTATACCGGACGTTGAGCTTCAGGAGTGGCTTCCTGCGCCAAATCTGGGTGAAACGAATAAGCCGCTTATTGATAAAACTTGTGAGAATGGTTCGGAGCTGCCTTCATGCCTGGAACTGCCGAAAGAATGGCCGAAAACTGCTAGATATCTTGGGTTGAATTCGACATTCAGACCTCTCGAACGACTAAACGCAAGCGAAAACAAACACAAATCTTCCTGGAGAGAATTCTTATACGCATTCGGCTTTGTCACACTGGCATGGTTTACGGCCTTCGCCCATTCCTACTTCGCTGTTGGCCATTTCGGATTTGGGTGTCGAAGTCTAATCTGGACTCTAATCTACCTTAGCTGGATACTTAGCTTCTCTGCTAGCTATGCCCTACAATCCCCACTAGTCGAGAAATGGCTGGGAATATCGTCATATGAGAGTCTTTGGCGTTGTACTGTGGCCAAGGATACCTTCGTGTCTGCTCTCATAGTTGGCGCCATTACGGTTACGCATATTGGTCTGACAAGTACTTGTTTCTGTAAGAGTGGAGACATTAGGCCGCCAGTATGGCAGCATCCGATCGATCTTTTGCCACTAACCGGCAAACAAGAGAAGCTCCGCTGGGTACAGATAACAGTGAGTGCTATTGGTGGCCTCATTTTTATGTGCGTTTTGATCTTTTACGGGGTATATCGTGGTAGAATGATGGGAACAGTTCTGTCCCCAAGAAAACAAGAGCGAAAGAATATGCATTTGCGACTGGCTCGTCTTAGAGAGAAGAGGAACAGAATTATAAGGGCAGACAAGTAATATACTTTAGACTGTAGGCTCTTTTTGTCTTTGCTATAATAAGTTATAATAAGCCTTAATATAAAGTTGCGCACTCTATTACTATTACTACTACAACCTATATATAACAAGCCCTAGTAGGTGTAAACCCTAAGTAATACTTTAAAACTTAGGTTATAATTAATGCTTATAAAGATAAAAATTTAAAAGCATATAAATAGTTTACTAACTTTTATAATTAAAGCATTTAAAAAAGTCTTAAAAGGGGCAGTAATAATTATGCATAAGTTAGTATTAGTGTAATAAGAAATTACTAAGTTTTAAGTAGCTAATAAGGCTACTATATAATATAAATTATATAAAAGAAAGTGAATTAAAGTAAAAAAGACCTTTATAATTTAAAAAAGCTTATACTTAACAGCTTTAAAGAAGTTTAGAGCGCGCAGTAATAGAAAAAAGGCAAAGAAGTAGGTGTAAAGTAAAGTAGGTAAGCTATCCTAAAGGCGCTACAGATAGTGCAATTAGACTAGGCATAACACATAAATATGTAAGCAAGAAGCAGAAGTAGTATCTAAATAATATTCTAGGCTGTACTGTACTATATAGTGCCAGAGCGGGTTGCTAGAAGCTATAATAGAGTTTGGTAGGGTGTGGTCTTGGCAAAGTAAGCGACTTAGGTTGTCAGATTGAAGCACTGTTTCTGGGCTTCCTGAGATGAATGATGGGTTTGGATATGATGTATGGGATGATAATTAATTGTGTTAATTTATTAAACCTTTTTCTGCTCTACTTGTGTTGCTTAGCTTTTTGTTTTTGCTAATCTAAGTCCCTTGCGCACTTGCCCTATGCGCAACTAGCTTGCAAAATGCTGCAATTTGCAGTAACATACTGTTTAAGCTTATTGCTTGTACTATGTAGCAGCTTTTGTTAAGCGTTCCTCCTGTCTTAACAGTAGGTGCGCATATCTAACACACCCTTTTAGCTTAGACATGCTTTAAGCTAGTTTTTAATTACGCAACCTTAGTATGCTTCTAGGGCTTTTATTTTTACTTTAATCTCTTCTATATCTGCTTTCTAACTAACTATTCTCTCTCTAATGTTAACTAGCTAAATTTGCTAAAGAAAGCTTAGCTATTTACTAGCTAGAAGCGCTTTAGTAAGTCTGTCTATAAGCATCTTACTAGAGAGGACATAGACAACCTAGATTGTTTGTTAAAAGACTTTCTATTAAAGCTAGTAGTTATAGATGTTAACATGTTAAAGCTTAGTTTAAAGTTAAGATATTTTTTTATTTACTAGTTAAATTATCTGCTTGTTATTACACTAAATTATAATAGTTAAATTAGGCAGCTTAACCTACAGTTTATTAAAAAGCATTTTTGTAAACATAGCTTCTTTAGTAACTTAGAATAGTGTAAGTAATTCTGCTTTAATTATTAACATTATAACTATATTTTATTTATTTACTTGCTATGCAATCTATCTGCTAAATAGCTAAATAATATAGCCCTAAAAGCTCTTTTTATTTAGTGTATTATCTATAAATAATGTATTACTGTTACGGTCTACGGTTGGACCAACGTAACTCCACCCAGGATGCTCCACAATATGGTACGATTGGAGCAGGACTCGCTTACAAACCAATCGGAGGACGCGGAGGTAGCGCGGCTACCCAAGATCATGGAGGAATGCGTTGTCTAATAGGAGGATAGGACGCAAATCCCACAAGTCTAAGAGAGCTTAGCAAGCTCTGCTTAGTAGGCTTATATAAACTTGTTTAGCTCACCTTAGCGTCCCCTACACATGTATATAGTTTCTACATTAAATAACTTTTAGAAGGTGTGTTTAATGTTTAGTTTATTTTTTACATAGACTAAGTAGCATTTAGCTTTTTAAAAAGCTGTAATACTATTTATATATCTTGCACTATATATACCTCTAACCCTGTCTATTAAGACTGTTTAACTCTAGCTTCTTTACTGCTGCACATAGGGCAAACTACAATCTAGTCACCCTCCCTTCCTCTATTAGCCTAATAGCCTGTACGTAGGACTGTACACCCTACTAAATTAGCCCCTACTATCTGTCCTACTTCTCCCCTAGAAATATTATTAGACCTAAGTGCTTTACAAAGCAAGAATTATAACATTAAATACTACCCCTTTAAAAAGTATAGCAACTTTATAACACAATTTAGATTCTAACATAGCCTACGCTACGCTATTAGGATCTATAGAAGTTCCTACCTAAAGTAAAGCTGTCCTAGCAGAATAGATTAACTTTATCTAAGACAATATTAAGAAACTCTAGCAGATTAGTAACAAAGTTAGCAACTTATTAAAACTTAAGTAAGAGATAGCTAACCTCTACTAAAAAACTATAAGCTTATAAAACTTTTTACTCTTAGTTAACCTTTATAAAGTAACTACTTAAGCCTATTAGATATATAAACTACAAGTAAAACTAGCTAAAGTTTAGAATATCTTAACAAATAGAGCAAGTGTTACAGCTAAAAAAGCTTTAAGACTAGCCCCTCTAAAGCCCTTTAGTAGTTTATTAAAGAACCTCTAACTATTCTTTACTAAATGCCACCTCTATATGCAATATAATAAAGGAGCATTTTAGACTAATGCAGAAATAATCTCCTAAATAGAATTACACTTAGAAGGCCCCTTTGCAATCTAGTTCTAGCCCTACACTAATAATTAGATAGACTTTAGAGCTAACAGCGCACTACTTAACCCTAAAACTAAAGAAGTATTTAGCAGTGTTAAGAACTTTAAATTAGCCCTATTAGCTATCTATAGGACCCTAGATAAAAAAAGGATTGCAGCTAATAGACTAGATAATATAAAACAAGGTAGCAGGCTAGTCTAGAACTATGCAGCACGCTTTAAAGAACAAATAGCTATTTACAGATAGAACAACTAAAAAGCCCTGTGCCACATGTTCTATAACAGACTAAATAACAAAGTAAAAGACAAGTTTATGCACATAAACTAACTAACTACTCTTAAAGACTACATTAAGAAAGCAACAACTTATAACAACTGCTATAAGAAATGTAAAAGAGAAAAGAAATTAAAGAAAACTTTCTAGAAACTAGAATTTATCTCTAAAAAGAAAGAGCTTTTATAATATAATAAAAAGCTAATAGACCTTAGTTATGTAAAGCATACATAAAGCCCCCCTTCTAAAAAAAGCTAAGTTCTAGAACGCAATAGGCTGCTCTTAACAAAAGAATAACAAAAATAGCTAGAAGACAAGGCCTGCCTAAACTATAAAAAAGTAGAACACTTCTGCTAAAACTACCTAGACTCCTAGAAAGAGAAAAATAAAAATACTACTATAATAATAAAAGCTATTACTACTAAATACAGCCTTACAGATAAGGAAATACAAAAAAGGTTAGATAACAGACTTTACTAGTAATGTAGAAGAAACTATTCTTTAAACAACTGTTCTAAACTATATTAGGAGGTAGTTATTTAAAACTTTAGTAGCCTTAATATAGTGTTACAGGACCTTGCAATCCTTAAAGGATATAAAGAAGAAACTTAGATCTAAGGATATATTATAAACATCTAGAAAAGAGAGAAACGTTTTCCCCTCTAAAACTAGACCCCTAGTACTTCTGCAAGAGAGCTTTCCTAACAGTTTTAAGGATGCAGATGCTAGAAGTGTAGATTGCAACATAACTACTTAAGCAATTATATAGTCTTACTTTATTAAATAAACATTAGCAATAACTACTTAACATTTAACATTATATAAAGGATAGCTAAAGTTAAGTACAACATTATAAACAAAAAAAAATAATAGCAATTCTTTATAAAAATTAAGGATTAGAAGTTAGAATAGTTAGGTAAACCTGCTAGGTTTAAAGTACTATAACTAGCTTCTAAGAAACCTAAGACACTGCTCCTAAGCCTAGCAATCTCTAGAAAAGCTCTTGCAATACAACAAAATTATAGACAATGTGTCCTCTGCAGAAGCAGCACCTATAGCATAAGCAAGTGCTAATAGAAAGAGCACCCTATACAGCTAGTACAAATAAAAGAATACCCTTAGTAGACTTAAAAGAGTCCTCTTAACATGTTACATAGACCTAACAACTGTCTATACCCCTAGTACTAGTGTACACAACAATACTGCGTTAAACACTAGGATAATAAACACTAAGCAAGATAGTAGCCTACATAGGAAAAGAACTACAACAGTTGCCTGTAGTAAGGAACAGCCTTAGCCTGCAAAACTATAAACTATTACACTTGTTAAACAGCTCCTCCTTATAAACAAGAGGCATAGACTAAGTGCAATAAATAAGAAAATTGCAGATTCTACTATTTCTAGTAGAAGGCAGTAAGAAAAGAAGACTATCTAACATTGCACTATCTAGTTAAAGACTATAAATGCAAAGCAGCTAACTGCTATAATTAAAAATATTAAATCTATAAAAAAGAAAAAAATAAGTTTAATAATAATTTATAAAACATTAATCTCTATCTTTTTCCTAATAAAGAAACTAAACATAACATATCTGCAGTAATTACAGTAGGGCAAGGGGCAGGACACAGCCTAACAACTACCTTCACGTATAAAGGATGGCCTAGATTAGCCCTTGTAGATAGCAGATGCACCTTTACTGCTATAGATAAGGATTAGGTAGATAAGTAAGGTATACTATTTTACATAAAAAAGAACCTGTTTAAGGTAACCCTTACTAACACATCCTTAATTAAGTATAGTAGAGGATAGATTAACCTAGAAACCTATAAAAAAAACTTTAAAACCCCTAACATAAAAAATTAGAGATCTATAAACATACTTAAACTAGAAGGCAAATATAATGTAATTTTAGAGTATAATTAGCTTAGAACTTATAATCCTGTAATTAATTAGAGAACTATAACTATAGAAACCCCTAACAACCACGCACGCATGACCTAGTTAGTATGCTATAACAACAGATGCCTGGTCTACA